CTGCTGCTACCTTGACCACTTCTTCAGAGACTGGGAGATTCTCTCCTCGGTATCGAAATAGAGTCTCTATAGTTTTATGTCCACCATACCTATTCCCTGCCACTGCCTTGACCACTTCTTCAGAGACTGGGAGGTTCGCTCCTTGGTACTGCAGGAAGAGTTCAATAATGAGAAAACCATATGATCCAGCATTGGTTGTTGCAGCTATGACTGCTTCTTCTGAGATTTGTAGGTCATCTCCTTCGTCCCACAAGAGATCTCGTGAAAGCGCCACTGCAGGGGTTGTATCTTTATCGTCGAAATACGGACCCACTTCTCTGATGATTGGATCTTTTGTTCCACTTTGACGGAGTAGTTGCTCTATTGCCTTGGTTGTGGACCTTGCCCGCTCTAACATCCTCAGGACAATATCTATCACTACTAGCGTGGTATGTTTCAGTCTTTTCTGAGCCTCGAGTGGCTCTTCTCGGAAGTCTGGTGTTTTAATGAGCGGGAACATCATCCCAGACCTATCTTTACAGTCTGTTTTAGTCAGAGGGGTTTTCCATGTGAGGAGAATATCACAGAGACCACTTGTAGAATACCTTTCCTGAGGCATTGCTGACGGGTTACTCTCTTTCTGTTGTCGTTGCTGAGGTGTCACTGCCGGCGTGATGACGGTGAAATGGTCTTTGCACAATCGAATAATGCTTGGCTTTGAAGCCCCTTTCAGAAGGCAGATGATATCACCATCCTCAATCAACACCGCAGAAGCCTGGGGCTTCCAATCGGTTCCCCAATGGTCTTCACAGCCCAATGACTTGGCAGTGTTATTGAAGAGAACTTCAATTCTCTGTTTGCCAAATTCAGAAAAATGCTCCTCAGCAGAGTTGACATGGCCTAAAATCCATCCTTTGCCTTTGATAACAACTGTTTCTGTCTCATTCCATGTCTCCACCGAACATTCAGGGAAAAGATAATCGGTGACCTCCTTGAACACCTCCTTCCATGGGAGGTTATAGTTAGGCTCTAGGGCATCTGTCATCGGGTCGGCACATAAGCCTAGCAATGCATATAGTTTGTCATGCTGCTTGGTCGCATTATGATGATGATACATGCCAATGAGCTCCCCTATAACGATGGACCCGCGTGAATCAAGCTCATATTCTGGCCGATAAAGTGCACCTTTTATAAGATAAGCGACAGGGCCAACCCTGCTCAAGAGATCCGAAGTAAGCCTTAGCCTGCTAAGCCCTTCGCAGAAGATATGTCCGCTTATATAAACAGAGCCACACATGATATAAATACATCGCGCGACACCAACTTCCTGAAGCACCTGTTTTTGCTGGTGAGTAATAGTTAGCAACACTGTTGATGGAGTACTATCTTACCCAGATACGGCTGAACCAATCTCGTTGCAGCAAGCGCAAACACGCATCATAGGTTTCCGATGTTTCCAGGGTGGAGGTTGTATCCTGTTCTTCCGCAAGGCAACGAATTCCTTCAAGGGCTTTATCGCCATTTTCTGTGGCATCTCCAAGCCAGACAATAACGCGTTCGGCTTGTGCATAAATGGTCCGCATAAGAGGGATCTGCTTGCTTTTCTCATCTCCCTGATCTTCCTCTCCCTGGTTAATACATATTGCATCAACCCATAGTATTCTTTCAAGTTGGCGGTTTCGCAGGTGTGAAAGGGCGGTATGAAGATTCGCTGTGACAGGGAAAGCACAGCCATTCAAAATGATTGGTTCAGGCTTCTCCTCACTTCCCCATACATAAGAAAGTGCCTGATACAGGTGTATTCCCACGCCTGTCTCTGATAAATCATAGTTGAACAGCTCACACTGTATTGGAGCACTCTTATCCTTATGCGGCAAAAGGCGGATCATGCGAGTAGTATAAGGCTCTTGCGGAAGACTTGGGTAAGTAAAAGAGGGCCGGGTGATATGAGAGATGCGTTCTGGATTTGGAGACATCTTCTGGGTGTACTATTTTTTAGTGTGTTATCAAGTACTGATTGTAACTCGAGTTCATTCAGCGTGGTTGATAAAACTTGCGCAATCTGGTTTTACGATCCAGGAAGATTACAGCCTTGCACATGTGGCTGAGTTGGCATGTCTAAATAGAGGGGTAACTGGGCAAGTATGATTGGGCCAATCTAACCCTTGGTGAATCTAGAATCTTTACTAATTAACTTAGAACTTATATTATGTGACATGTTACATAGTGCATGGCTCTCATAAGGTGCCGGCTGATAAATCTTTAGCCCGACAGCCATTCACACATATATTTAAACGGGACAGTCAGTTGGCCAGACATTGAAGCACGAAAACCCGGATATCTCTTCATGCATGTATCCATTTTTTATATATGTACTTATACGTACTTGATTTTCTAGGACGACTGTAGACTTCCTCTTCGGGGTACCGCCACTTTAGTGAGGGCGTTCAGGGGTCTGCTAGACTGATAGAATTAGTTTTGGAGTAGGCTCGGGCAGCATCCACACCAATCTAAACCCACTCTATATGTGTAATTTAAATCTTGTCTACCCTCCAGTCAGACATGATATTATATTTTATTGTTTTCTTCTCCAGATCAATATAAGGTGTCCCAGGAGAATGTTTCTTCGTCAATACCACTTGCAAATAGACCTAGATTTTACTCCGTCAGCTCGTCTTGGTTTGGGCATCCAAATCCTCAGTACACCCTTGTAGTGGCTCCGTGACAAGGCAGTCCCCAAGCCTCGGGCATCAGATCATATCTTATCACAACTGGTCACTAAGGCCTAATGGGGATACATTCATCATAGTCGGGTGGCTGCCTGCTTAGTTCAATATGGAAAAGCGGGCATTGCAACCTCAGCTGCAAGTCAACCGTACATAAATTAAATAAAATCACTGTCAGTATGCGGCATTTTGATCAAGGATCTGCTTTTCTGTGGGAGGGGAGGGGTCGCTGGGCGATCTACAAGGCAACCGACATATCTCAAGAGAAAATATCAGCGTCTATACAACGTGTTCAATCTCTAATTGACTTTGCGAATGGAGGGGCAAGAGATCCTCGGAAACGCAAGACCATTTGGGAGCCTTTGGGGCTTGGATGGCTCGGCTGAGACTGAATATACCAAGAGAAACACTGTGGAATGGCAGTAAACGTAGTGGGGGATAGTGACAGCTGTGTTCTGCGTTGCCCCGCCTTGTGTCCCTCACTTGCTCGGATGGTCTAGTGACGTGTCGAAACAACGTAGAAACTGGATTCAGCTCTGCATTTCCGTTCGTTTTTACCCCACTATCTGGAGTTTGCGATCTACGTACGGCATAACCTCGAGTATTTCCGAGTTTGCGTGATGCTTAGAAGGTGAGGGGCATGCATAAACATATCCTCTACATGATCTGGTTTATAAAGAAGGGCATATGCCCTTCTGAATAGGACCAACATCAAAATTCGATTTCCCGGCCAAACTTCTGCTTTAAACAGCTTATTTCAATTCTGCTACGGAATTATTGGTTTCTTCCATTCTTTAAGATTTCTAATTGAACCTATTTCCAAGATGAAAGCTGGACCTTCGAGCGGGATTGTATCTGGTGGTAGAGTTAATGTAACTATAGCAGGGGCGGGCGGAGTCTCTATAGATCAAGAGACCAAAAGTCAGGTCAGTGGCTCTATTACAGGACAGAGTGCTTCTGGCTCACAGTCTCTTCCCTCTGGAGAAATACTGACTGGGGAGACGGATAAGTCTGAACAAGAAAAAGCAGAGGAAGCAAAAGATGAGGAAGCAAAAGCAGAGGAAGCAAAAGATGAGGAAGCAAAAGCAGAGGAAGCAAAAGCAGAGGAAGCAAAAGATGAGGAAGCAAAAGATGAGGGAGGGAAAGATGAGGAAGGAGGAAAAGAAGTTGACAAAAAAGGTGATAATGATCTTGACGATGCTGGCAGAAATACAGGTGGCACTGGCACTGGAAACGGTATTAATCCTTCCGAAACACAAAAAACAGAGAAACAGCTTTTTCGCATCCATCAGTATGATCCAATCAGTGGGGCAGTGCGAAGAAAACGCATTGTCGAGCTCGAAATTGCAGATCTCAGTCAGGATAAGACGCTTGGCAAGATTCGCGAGCTTTTGATTGCAAAAAAAGTCTTTGACAAATTACAGTATGTTTCCTCTTCCTTTTTCATATCAACCAGCGTAGCCCTCTCCTTACTTTCTTCTTGAATAGTAAAAACAGTTCCTTTTGTGATACGGATGGCACGGTAGTGTCTGATGATATGGCTCTCTCCGTCTATGAGGACCAGGTCAAGACCAGCATCGAGGAAAACAAAGGGGAAAATAATGATCAGGATAACAATAAAAAACAAGTGAGCGATCTCAGTTCAAAATCTTTAGTGGTGTTAATATTCATACTTTTCCCAAAGGCCCCGACCTCCGGTACCGACAAGCAAGCAACGAAAGGGAAAGACTTATATTACAGGAAGCGAAGGAAATTGGGAGATCTGAACCAAACCGCCAAAGACTTTCTGAATAAGGGGGTAGATCTGAAATTGAAGGTACATACTTCCTCGATATAATAAATAAAAGCATTGGTGACTTACTGTTCAAAGGATCCCGCCGCTTTCTTGAAAGCAGACACTACTCTTTTGAAGTCATCGTATGATGCCAGTCTGTACAGGGCCAGCGAAGGAGCAGCTCTGGCGTACGTATCTTTCCTTTGTATCAGTAAAGGGCAACGACTAACCAAGACAGACACCCTGCCGATCTTACTGAGCACCAGTGGAGTATCATCGTCCGCACAAACTGTATCCTCAGTGGATATGCTATGGTGGAGTACGAGAAACCGGGGACAGATGGCAAGATGACTACAGGGATGAAAGTACAGCGTAGTCCATATAATGGTAATAATAGATCTCTTTGTTTTGTCGATCCTTGGAGCTGACGCTTTATCTACACAAAAGCCTTCACCCTCAAGTCAAGAAATGAAGATTACGAGATAGCAGCCCCCTCAAAGGTAGAGGGTGAGAACGAAGGGACTGAGGTGAGCAATGGGAGCGCTGAGGTGAGATATGAGTATAGTCAAGTTTATGAACTGATCTAACACTGACGTTCCCAGAACACTTATCGTATTCCTCGGTTCTGGGTTGACGATGACTCGTATGTGACCGTTATGGAGACGAAGAATACCCTGCAGCAATCGATGGCGAAGAACTCATTCTCTGAGACATCCGTGCAGGCCTCAGTGTAAGTGCCTTTTGATCTCTCTATCTACTCTGATGTTCTGTCTCATCTTGTTCTTTTGTAATAGGGGTGCCGGTTTCTGGGGAGGTTCTGGTGCTGTCAGTGGTGGATGGGCGACTAATAAATCGACCCAAACTGTGGACGGCTCAGCAAATGAGACGCACCAACTTACTATTACATACAACGTGAATCTACCTACCTTTCTAACATTTGCCAAAGATTCGAGGCAATTGACATGGTTGCGAGTATAGTTCCCCCGAGTGTCGGTGCTCTTGGATAGCAAGTCTCTTGAAATCAGCAAAGAATGTCAGGACGATCTCAAACAACTCAGCGATAAAGAGAGCTACATAAAGTTTGGCAAAGACTACGGCAAGGGAACAATGAATATTTACTACATAGGTGAAATACTGACCATATCTACAGGCCATGTCTTTGCCCAGCGAGTCGAGCTGGGCGGGCAATTGTCGTCTTCGGAGTCTTTCAAGGCCGACAGTGGTAACAAGATTACGGATCAATCAAACGCTATGAGAGCCAAAGCTGCCGCTTCATTTTCCTCTCCGTATTTACAGGTATCTGGGAGTTTTGACCATCAAGAAGCAGGAGGGGCTAATAGCAATGCTTCCCACCAAAACCTCAATAATTCCATGGTCTGGGAGGCCAAAGGGGGGAATACTCTTCTTTGTAATAAGTACGCCAGCTGCTCTTCAACTGTGATAACAATATACTGACTATCCTTTAGCCCCCCAAGCTGGTGTGCAACAGTGGGTGACTTTTACAACTGGCGAGTGGTTCAGGTAAGTCATCCGAGGCGAAAACAGAAGAATAGATTACTTATTGTTTTAGCAACATGATGTTGTTCCGCTTTACAAAGTCCTAGCTCAACTTTCTGATGATAAAAATCTAGCCAGGAGATTTGAGCTCGCTTTCAAGGGTGACTCGAAGACTATCCGGTTCAGACTCATTGAGCAGGAAACAAAACAGCCGCTCAAGCTCTTCGAAGAAGACCCGACCTTATGTAAGAATAACTCGTAATCCTCAGGTGCATTACTAACGGTTTCCACCAGACAAGGAGCTCTCTCGGCATCAGCATGCTAAAGCCATGAAGGGGCACCAAGGAGAGCGCTGGGATCCTGGATTTTATATGGAAGTCTGCAATTTGGCTCTTGAAACCAATGCCAGCATACGAGTTACCTCCGACGGTGATGGGATTGATACTTGGGAGACCCAAATATTGAAAGATCCTAGCAGCGGGGACAAGGTATGTTCATTCCTGTATCCATGCGGATTATCATTCTGATTAGAACGATAGATATACCTTGGCAAATCTCTTTCCATCCAGTCATCCGGAGACACCAGGTATCTGGGCTTCTCCCATTCTCTCCTCGACAAGGACTGTGAAGGAGACCAACTTCCGTACTACCTGGCTCTGCAGGACCGAAGGGTTCAATTCGTGTTTCAGACATGCGGACGTCCCAAGAAGAAGGGGCCTATTGGGCCCAACACTGAGTTCGAGATTGTTGTGGTAGATCCTAATACGAATACGAACCTTGGTCTTCTGACGGAAACAAAGAGCAACAACGGCCTTGTCGGCATTGAACCCTGGGAACCGATTCATAAGAACAAAAGCTTGGCCTTCAAGATGGAGGTTGTTGGGGTGGTTGATCAATCAACTAACTAACGTTCAGTTCGCATGGAATAGCCCACCGATTGTTAGGTACTACTATAGGTGCTTTAGTGAATTTAAGAGTGACTGTCCAGTCATTAACTACCATAATAAAATTCAAATCTATATTCCTAATATGGTTTATTGCTTATTTCTTATTGTACCTGCCTCAACTACCACAAGCAGGAATCGTAACTAATCCTATCTTCGCTTCTAGGCAGCCAATGATTATAAAGCCGATATAATATGGCGAGGCTACATCTGTATGTCATGGGAGTAGTAAAACGATAACCAGGAACGGACCAATCAGAGCACAGCTTTCAGCCACATGGACTGCAAGTGAAGAAGCCGCGATTTAGCCTGCTTTCACATCAAATCCATATCAATTCTTGGCCAAGGCTTGATGTATTTATTCTCACGTGTAGATAAACGCAGTACAATGTCACTCCAGGTCGCACAATACTTCCGAAATTAGTCAAAATTATCGATCGAATATAGAACAACGTATTTCCCTAACTCCGACAGATGTGCAGTGATAAATCTCAACATCCACGATCGCCATGAAGGCTCTCCTTGTGCCGATGATATGAGTGCGCTGTACGAGTCGAACTGGGATCTCTGGCAGCAGTGGATGGGAAACATCTCCACCAAGATTCCCTATATGGTTCTGCCCGGTAACCATGGAGCGGCATACGCCAGGTTCGACGGTCCGGGTAATATCCTGACTGCGTATTTGAACAACAATGTTACCAATGGAACGGCGCCAAAGGACGGCTTGACTTACTACAGCTATCCCCCGTCTTAGAGGTACCTTCCATTTCCTCTTCGTCCCTCCTTTTCATTATGAGACAAATATAAACAGAAACTTGACCACATACCAACACCGCTTCCGCATGCCAGGTACTGAAACCGGCGGCGTAGGCAACTTCTGGTACTCTTTCGACTACAGCCTGGGCGACTTCATCTCTATGGACGGCGAGACAGACTACCCTAATAGCCCTGAATGGCCCTTTACTGAAGACATTAAGGGAGACGAGAAGCTCTCTACCGCCAGTAAGACTTTCATCACGGATAGTGGACCATTCGGTGCTGTGAATGGCAGCTACAAGGCCAAGGAATCCTACGGGTAGTACTAGTGGTTCAAGAAGGATTTGGACAGTATTGATCGCTCCAAGACACCGTGGGTTGTTGTTATGAGCCATCGTCCTATGTACAGCTCTGCGTGCTCGTCGTATCAGCTTCACGTCAGACAGGCGTTTGAGCAGTTATTCTTGGACTATGGTGTTGACGTTGGGTTTATCTAAATTGGCGCGGGTTTGGGGCGGGTGCGGGTTTGCCCATCAAAAACCCGCCCGGAGCAGGGTTAAGGGCGGGTCTAGATTTTGGACCCGAACCCGATATCAACTCTATACCGCTACGATTTCACCCATATAAGCGAGGAGAGATAATGGTCAGCCATCTGGAGTAAACAAGACATAACTCCTAGAGCTCTTTGGGTTGCTGTCAAATCTGAAAGACCAACGACTGGAGACGCTGGAAATCGATTCCAGGGCCTCGAGACACAACTTCTTTACCTGTAGCAGAGCAAACTCCAAGTAGCCATGGGGGTGAGGAAAACCAGGACTCTACTGCCTGAAGTTGATGGCTTGGAGAGTAAGAGCTGAACCCGCGTACTCGGCACCCTAGACAAGCTTAAGAAGCTGGGAATCAATGAGAATACCTCTCTGCCACAGAGATAAAAAGGACAGACATCCCGGTTGCTGTGGATCTCTGTACGACTTCTGTAACACATCTAGTGTTTAGAGAGAGACACTAGGGCTTTACCCCTCATCAGATCCCTGGGCGCTTTATAAAGCGTGATATCTTTTTGTTTAGAAATACAAACTTGCGAGGGCTGGCAAGGGAGCGGTCACTCCGACGAGATTGACCGGGACACATGAATCCACATACGCCTACCACCACGATGTCGGAAAAAACTTTATACATCTTTGCCGCTACCCCTGACGTGTTCTTCTGTGCTATCAATAGGAGGCAAAGGGGCGTCTCGCAGAAATGCCCATTCATCAAATTAACATTGGATGCCCTCTTGGTGGGAGGTAATGGAGAGCCTAGGAGCTACCATTCTTCTGTAAAGTCCACTCACCATGAGTGCACCTGACGGAACCGACCCTAGTGTCTAGAGAGTGCGCCTCCCCTTGATCACTGGTAATGTCTCAATCTCCACCGGATCAGCCGCGCTCGGCGCTAGCTCACTGGCATCAATCTTTTTCCTTCCCATCGATGAGGCCCATATAGTTGTCGAAGTCTGTGGCTCCGTCGAGCCAGGATAAAGGAGAAGGGTCATTGTCCGTCCGACAGATGTATAATTCAGATATCTGCGGACAAGAGATGGGCGCGCCTTACCGCAAAACAACAGAATAAACACGGTTACCATAGAAAGCAAAAGCCAGAACAGAGCAACAAAGGCTGGAATTCCGAATGGGACTCGGTACTGGATGGTCTTCCTGTATTCTGTCACCGGTACCTTTACCTGCCCCGAAGCATCGGCACTGCCTACTGGAATGTTCGACGGTGAAAGCCATCCTCTGGTACCGACCACTGCGTTAGCAACGATATCCGTCCAGATCAGGTTGACAATGGTGGAAGTAGTGTCTGGTTGCGTTGAGTATTCTCTCCATTTCGAATACAAAGCGCTGCTCGTCTTCCCGGTATAGTCACCTACACTGTACGTAATGGTATTGCTCAGAGAGTACAGATATCCAAGCGACGTCAGATGGAACGAGGCTCCTGGTAAGTTTAATAAACCGTCGACCGGGCCGCCTAATGTGGTGTCACCAAATCCGGGTAGCCAGAGCGATGCTTTTCGAATGACTGAGATGTCGCTTCTGTTTTGATATTCTTTGGAGACAATACCCCAAAGTGGCTGCGCGACATCTATCGGTAGGGAGGTGTTTTCAACTCCCCAGAGCGGGTTTTCATCCTCAGTTTGATACGTCTTCTCAGTCATATCCACAACGCTAAGGCCACCAAGACCACCGGAACCGTCGTAGCGGAAGCGTACCGTCTTAACCAGCGCCTTGGCAGCCGAAGCGCAGGAGTAGATTGGTATCTGCCATGTGCTGGCGGGCTCTCGTATCAGAGAATTACCTCCGTCCGTTCTTCGTGCTGCGCCGTAGACTGTTCCACAGACGACGCCCACGTTCGTCATATTGGCGTAGTCGAAAATACTCACTCCTTGACACAGGGGGCCTGCGCATGTAGTTAGCGAATGCACCGAAGACAGCAGACAGCATCTGTACCAATATTGGTGAAGTTCTTTGTGGTGATATTGAATGGATTTGGATACCGCACTCTGGCATTGTCCCACGCCATTCCAGAAGCATTATACCCAGCATCGGGTATATTGAAAAAGTCTCCCCACATGGTGGACGTCACGATGCCATCCGTGCCCCAGGGCTGTCCGGATCCATCGTTGAGTATGGGGAATGACTTCCCTACGGTCGAGTCCAAGTACTCGAAAGAATGAGCATAGCCGTGACTGCTCGGGTTGGTGACATTGAGATAGACCATGCCCATGGCATTCGTTAGCCATGCAGCCGTGTATGCCTTGTTATGCAGATCAAAATTATCCTGCGTTTGCACTATCGAATGTTCGGGTTGCTGGTGATGTAGGTTGACGAATCCCCCACGGTCGGTTACGCTGACATTCACGGGCACCGATTGCCACTTAAAATCCAGAGTGAGGTTGAGGTTGACGCAACTAGTTTGAGGCACGACGAACAGTAAGTCTTCTTTCCAGGTGCTTCCGTACTTGGACCGGGGAGGTAACGTGTGGTTGCGGAATCCAATGCCCCCGTTCTTGGTGTCCATTATGACCCCTTCGGCTACTTCAATGCTGTCGCTAAGGATTCTGTTCTCAACCTGGCGATAGGAGCCAACCGCATACAGCGATCCTTTGTTGTAGTTTTCCCTCCGCGTAAGGTCATAGTTACGCCACTCTATATCCCAGATACTTGAGACGGTGGGCGACAATTCTGATAGCCCACTGGCAAAGGCATATGTAAGATTCCATGGGATAGTGATGTTCCACTCATCATCGCGGTCCGTCTCCGGGCCCAAATTGCCCGCGACTGTGATGTTGGAATTGGATCCTGGGCAGATATAGAGGCCGCAATGGCGGTTAAACCCAAGGGAATGTCTTGGCGGTGTCCCGTCTCCCATGGGAGATTGGTCTGGGACGTACCTAAAGATTTTGGGAGTGGTGTCGGGGGCGGGGAGGACAGCATCATAGAGGCCCAGTGGTGTAACGATTCCGGCGGCGGAGATAATGACTGCCACGATGAGTCTGATCCAGCTTTCAATGCTCACAGCCCGATCTACTTCCGTCGAACAGTCAGAGTCACTGCGGAGGATGGTCGGCCATAGCGATGACTGCAATGTACGAGCGAGCACAGACCTTCTTCTCTTAGTGAAGATAGCCCTATGTTGTGATTTTGCCTTACCATGTTATAGCACTATTCTTCTCTTGAAGGAAAGATACTAGAATCAATGCGCTGAGGGTTGGAAAGAGGTACCTCGCTGCTCCTGTCAGTATGGCCTATCCCCGTGCCAGCCCAGAGGGAATTACTCACCTACGAAGACGCCAGCAGCGATTATACCGGATACATAACCAACTGTGAGCTCAACCATGGCAACATCGATTCGGCAGTGTCATAGAGCATAACAACGTTAAAGTGGGAAACCAGGAGTCTTCCATGGACTTGAAGCCGTGCAATTATCTGTTCACAGACCACCAGTGAATGGCCTGCATCATCCAGCCTTGCAGTTAGCCTTGTCGCTAAGAACACGTGTCACATGCAGTATCATTTAGTGCCTGAAAGACTGGCCAAGCAGGGAATCGACCGAGGGAAAGCCCTGAACGACAGGGCAGTCTCTTGGCATGAATGGACATTTCTAAGACGAACCCGGAAATGAGGATGCGCGAATATCCGTGAGTAACGAATTGCCCGGCAGCCATCCATGAACTGGGCGGCTTCCATCCGGCATATTAAAGCACAATAAACAATGAAGCCGTTGGTGAACCTATTCGTCTTGTATTTGTATGAGCGGTAGTCTAACCGCTACTCTATGCTCAACACCAGGCTCTTTGCCCAAAAACTATCAATGCAGCCTTTTTTTCGGATGACCCACCAAGAAGCTCAGGCCACGGGACGATGTAGATCTTCGTATTCTGGACTTGGAACAGGGAATAAAAAGGGAGCTAGCCCATCAGTGCGGGGTCCCCATTCCACTCACTTCCTCTGTGGGCCCTGCTACTCCCGATCGAAGTCATACGCGCCAATAGGCACGGTGAAGGCTATTCTTGCCAGTGTACTTTACATAATTTGGTCAGGCACAGACAACTCAACTGATGGCTGTTAAGTAACGTCTATCATTATATGTTGTACTGAACATCAGGATGAGGTTACATTGCGCACCGGCGAATTAGCGGAATCACCCAATCACATACTGAATAATACGAGAAGATATAGTACCATAACTTGGCTCAAGCTCACCAAAGTGCCTCAGGACGTATATAGCCGAAAGCATTGGAACCCCAGTCCCAACGCAATATCCCCAAGGCCATTGTACTAGTCAGGTATCCAGTCTACATATTCTTTGTCCAACTTTTTGCCAAGGCAAGGTACGTCGCATACATGAAGAACCTGACCACTTGCAAACTTACACATCTCTTGGCAGGCATGTCTGGTCCGGTAACTACCGATAAGGCTGTGGCTGGCCCGCTTCCCGCGCTCACGGCCCCAAGCCCTGTGAGACCACAGTCATCCAAAGCATCAACCTATACAATGTTCACTGTGATGTTGATGCTACTTATCAACATTGCGATTGTGGTCTTACTAGGTCTGCTTGTGCGGAAGCTATTCGAGGTCCATTCGATCCTGGACCATGGACATGTCTATGTCCATGCCAGCATCGTCAATGACAATATCGAACCCTTAAGTGTCTCTGTCGTTAATACTGGCTACGATGCCATTCCCGTGACTATGTATCGGTAATCGTTGGGCGCTATTGGAAGTATGGCCTTTGTTCTCGATACACCTACCTCAAAAAGAATTATATTCTCCTTGCACAATAATTGTTTGATCCAGTTAATCGAGGCAATTCTTATATGATCATTTAAAGAGACCTCTACTGTGGAAGGACCAGACCCGGTTGTAAACATAGCCACAGGGATAGATGGATGGCCTTCATTTTAACAACGGCTGTTCCGATTCCAGCAAAAGTCAAGTCCGCCTAATTGATAGTCGCGTGATTGGAAATTTCCAGTCACCTAGCGAGAAAGCTCTAAGTCGTACATACAGCACGGATACCGTTCCGGCCGAGCCGGTCCGCAAGAGCATCCCTGGTCGGTGAGGTTATAACTGGAGAGGGAAGAAGGGATATTGGTAATTCACCATTTATGATTCAGAACTTCCATCTAAAATTTCTCGGCCCGAAGGGCAACTATTACGATTCTACCAATACATTTCCTGTTATCTGCGGTGTCTTCTTAGAATCCATGCTTGGTTACTTTCAGGATTTGTCATCTCAGTATTAGAATCGTGACGGATCCTCGTGGGTAAGTAAATTATTCGTAGGCTGGCGGGAGGGCGCTTCTTCTAGTGTTCTGTGTTCAACATCTCGACAGTTGAAGCGCGCCTACCGTGTCTGGCACATCCATGGCAGTCAAAGTATAGACGTTCTTGGCACAGTTGTGTAATCATTGAAGTTTGGAGAAACAGTAAATTAATATTCGTATCAAGCCACCATATATATTGTACAGAAAGCAAATCAGTGAAGTATTTCAACTCCAAGCCAAATGAGCCTCGCAAAGGGACCCGTCACGTTTATGTCACGGCGACGATGTTATTGTCGATGAAACGATCTGCCTCTCTCTTCAGCATCAAGATGCAACTCGCCACAAAGAAAGCCTCTACGCCGTCAGTGTCGGCATGCTTCTCATCCTTCCACATGCGTAGATCCATCACCAAACGACCACCATTACCTCCGGAGTACCTAACCGAGCCGCGGGTGCGGAACTGGTCGTTTCGAATAAGCTGAGCGACTCTGGCGCCGCTCTTAGTCTTTGTGCCGTCCCCTAATACCATGCGATCCATGCGCTCCAGAATAAGCAGCGAATCAGCGTTACAAGCCTTTCTTTCTTCCCGACTACCGTAGCGCCACTCGTATTTGCCAAGCGACGTGTCGAAAACCTGCGCACGGCTCACCATCGACCGGCTTTGCACGTCCACCAATTCTCCACACACCTTATCGTCGTCTATGGCCTGCTCCACCGAAACACTAGAATCGCGGGGTAGAATGCGCATCCTGGGGTGTCTTCCAGGGCCCCAACGATAAATGGTTGAAATGAGAGCATTCTGACGTGGGTCGGATGGGCGCACCAACGCGCACGAGTTGGAACTGCTCTTTAGGCGGATAGAGGTGTACTTTTCCTGCATGGGTGCTCCGAATTCCACGCTGTAGACGGAAATATTCTCCAACAGTTTGCTGCCGCTGAGTGCCTGGTTGGTGTTGTATCCAATGGCTTCGACCTGAAACTCGCTTGTGGCGAGAAAGCCGTCTGGGGAGGAGGATTGGTTGCTAGCGTAATCGGATGCAACGACCTCATTGTAGTCGGGGGGAGACTGGGACTTCCAGTCACCCATTGGCTTGGAAGGGTTCGCCCTTGACTTTCGTGAACATGTAAATATACCCATTGAGCTTGGTTCTTGAAGTTTGGGATTTTGGTTGTTTGAGGATTTAGGTGTCGCGGAATAAAAGCTTGGTAAAATAGCAAGTATGACTTTTGATGAAGTGCCGATTTAATTTACGGATTTCCCTGCACTGATATATATCCACAGATATATGCTGACGCTCAAGATGATGGCATGTTCCGTGTTGCATTGATTGATCTGCTGCGCCTTGCGGCGATACTGGTTCCAGTGATCATTGATAGGGCTGACAGTGACACCATTGGCGGGAAGGCAACCCACTCACGCCTTGCATGGGCCACTTCAGTTAAGTTGACTTAGGGTCTGTGGTGCTGCGGACTGCCAGGGCTTAGCCGTTTGTCTGAAAGGCACCTCATCTCCTGCTGCAGCCTTTCCTAAACAGGAATCATCTGGCGCTCAATGGATCTGCGGCTGAGGCAGTGCTGTGCCAGCATCCGCCAGCAGACCTGGCCATTATTGGCTTCCTTATCGCGTGATACTATCACAGCCAATAAGAAGCCGATACTAAAAGCGGAAGGAAACTACGAAGTACTGAGCACCGATGATAAAATACAGCCTTACTAACTTTCCGGGGTAATTGGCCAGAAACAGTAGTACCTCATTAGGCTTAAATAGTCGTTCGAAAAACCTATTGGGGCATCCCATTACCTTAGAAGGGCCGAAACCTGGTTATACTAGACATAATACTAGTAATGCCTTTCCACCTGATCTCCACCGAATTTAGTTGTTCGTTTGCATCATTGACATTCTCTTCTCCCAACTTTCCGTAGCGTTGGATTTGCATCATGGCTACTTTTTACCAGAGACCTCCACCAAAGGTCCCACCTCAGAAACTTGTAGAGCGATGGGAGCAGGGGGTTACCGACCCTGCCAGCCTCACCTTCGATGAGCACCAACATCTTCTAAATCGGTACCCGTACGGAAGATGTGATGACTTCTGCAAGGCACATACTGGATTGACGATCGATGAACTTGTTCAAAACGCTGCCAGAACAGACGATTTAAGCCGCCTCGAAACGAACATTATCTTTTTCGGCCCAGATCATGAATGAGACGATCGTGACCCTAGCATGATAGATGCAAGGGATGTGATTCGTTGGCCGGAAAACATACGACGCACATAAAGGCCCAGGCAAATGCAGATAAATCCTATCATAGGCGTATTGAGTTGGACCGAGTGGCCCGGGAAAGACTCTCGGTATATGATCTCAACAAATATCAGGATATCTAACAGGCTTCCCGGGGCGCCTCGTATGTGTAATCAGACCCAACAGCATTGGGTCTTTCTTTGTATCTGAGCATCATTTCACGACGATTCCGCCTGGCGCCATTTCCAACATCAGCTTGGAAGGGCCATTGACCTGGGCCTCACCTTCGTCCGAAATCCCAAGGACGGATTTTGGACTCCAGGCAGTTTGAAGCAACGATGGAAGATTCAGTGGGTTGAGGACCCAGTGAATGAGAACGCGGCACTTAGGAATATCTGCGAGTATGCCCGGCTCTAGCTCCATATGTCATGACTGTCTAATGTCTCTAGCTATTTCCGGAATCTTCGTGATGAAGGTAAGATAGAACCAGGACTCCGGCAGGATGCCTTTCTCTATGTTGATTCCGCTGCCATCTAATCCTCTCTCGATCACTGTCCCCTCCCCGAAAGAGGCTATGTTCTCGCTGCAGGTGCTTCCCATGACGCTACAAAACTGCCGACCTACCTGCATGGCTTCAAGGGTTCAGTCCGTGTTGCCCTTACGGGAGCTTTTACTACCTTTTACGCTCGCTTGATACCAAGAGGCAGTCCGAAGGATAACCCGGCAGTGGAGCACGATTTACGCCAGAGTTGGGAAGTCATTTATAAACGGGCCAAATTTGATGAGAAGTAGAATGCGTACCCTCCTATATCAGGTTTAAACCGGGGCTGGTATCATCCAGCAATGGATAACACTATTCAGAAGTGGTAGCAAGTGCTTTAGTTGGCTGTGATGCATTTATTATTGGTGATTTTCATGTGTACGAATACTCTTACTGTCCTCTGGTGACTAGGTAGTTTCTAGGATTCATAGAAACTAAAAAGAATAAAAGCTTAGATTTATTAAACCTCTAACTGTTCAATTCCATATTCCAGGATAATATTTGTTATACTAACGCTGTAGGGTACACTATTCCGCAAGGCTAAAAGGAAAAAATATGCGTGGGCACTTTTGAGAAAACACACTATAGACTGATACATATATAAAACGTCTGTTGATATGACTTGTTGGCCTAACCTTCATACTATCCTTTTTTTCTAAACTTTCACCGAATGTTACTGAATCTATAAGACTTCTATAGTGAAATATTTGGATTAACAGTGTCTCAGAATAGTTAGGAGTAGAAATTAGATGTGTACAGGTTGATATATCTTTTTACAGGAATTTTTTCCAACTGAAAGCCCAGGCGAGAACATCCATTGCATTAGGCTTATATAACCAAAATAGAAAGCTCCTTTCAACAACTAGCCGGGCTAGCTCAATCGGTAGAGCGTGAGACTCTTAGTCATCACGGTATCTCAAGGTTGCGGGTTCGACCCCCGCGTTCGGCTTGTCTTTTTTTTCTTATATGTTCTCAATCACCCCCCACCATTCCTTGCGATACAATCGCACCAGCACACATCTATGTAGCTACACAAACCAAGAACCCCAAAGTCCTGACCTTGGGGACTCGTCATTAACCGATGAACTATTCATCCGGTTCCTCTAAAATTAATCTTGAAAATATGGCTTCCCCGTTACTCCGGCTACCACATCACTTCCTCTCAGGTCGACATGCCCCTTGTTCCCCATTCTCAACCAGAGTCATTATGAGAACTCGGTCCTTGGGAACTTTAATCTCGGCCACGAGAAAATATTTTTTTAGATCTACCTACCGTCAATTCAGCAGACAAATGGCACCATTCCAGGGTCTCAACCAAGCGATACCCTCTGATATACTGTATTTGCAGAAGAAAGATGGTACCGGTAAGAGGACTCTTAGAAAGTATATACCATTGAGCGATCTTCTTATCAGAATCTTCTACAGTGGTCGCGGCTCAAGAAGAAGATTTCTACAGATATACCACCAAGCGATGGCTGTGTGTCTCAGCTAATCACGACTATGTTTGATTGCTTATTATTGACTCCACAGCAGGTCCAATGATACCCAAGAAGCTTCACAGCGATATCAGAAATTCAATATTCAAGAGCTTCTAGCTGTAGCTGCCCGACTGATCAGCAATGATGCTACGAGATGTATTTTTCCTCTATTTACCCTTTCTTTTTTGTGATTTTACTAAGGATATCTCAAGGCACTCACGTGATGAAGTACCGAGAGGGACTCTATAACAAAGCCTTTCTTTTAAGGTTCAGTAACGGATCTGAAGTGGTTGCAAAACTGCCAAATCCCAATGCTGGACCCAGAACTCTCACTACTGCCAGTGAGGTTGCAACAATGGAATATGTAGGATCTGAAATCGCGAGACAGAAATTGGAGTTAATAGGGACAGGCGCGAGTAGTTCTGGGTCTACCTGTTCCGGAGGTGCTAGGTTGGAGCTCCAACTCTTCGAACCCGGTCAGAAGTGAATATATTATCATGGAAAAGGCAAAAGGGGCTCCCCTTGGTGATGTCTGGTATCAACTCCCGACCCCCTCTAAGCACAATTTCATTAGACAAGCGGTGGAATTAGAGGCAAAATTAGCGGTAGTGCCTTTCACCGAACATGGCTGCATATACTACGTACGAGATGCACCTAAAGAGCGTTCTAAAAATCACACCCCGCTCTATGGCGATGACCTACAGAAGTTTTGCGTCGGCCCAGTCGTGGACCCAATTCTTTGGTGTGATGAGCGGGCCGAGATAGGACTAAATCGAGGGCCTTGTAAGCCCTCAATCCCCTAGTATTTGTTATTTCTTCCTGATACTTATAGTATTTGTTAGGGCACCACTTATTCGATTATGCGACAAGCATTGGTATCAACGAGAGAACGTGGGCAATGCAGTATGCAAAACCGCGTATGAACTACTACCGAAGTAACACCGACTCTGAGATGCCTGACGAATACATCGACCTTATCGAGAAGTATCTGCTGGTTGTTCCGCACTTAACGCAATGTGAACCTGACAGTGCGGATCTCCTGCAACCGACATTGTGGCACAATGACCTCCATCTCAACAATATCTGCGTTGACCTCAATACAGAAACGATTACTGATATAATCGATTGGCAGAATACCACTGTTGCTCCGTTGCTCTTGCAAGCCAAAGTGCCTCGGATGGCTCGTCACATCACCCCACTCCCACTAGGCTGGGTGATGCCGGAAAAGCCAGAAGGATACGAGACGCTATCCGAGAAGGATAAGCTCAAGGCAGACAAACTCTATGAGAGCGCCCTATGCCATAAATACTATGAAGTTTGCATTGCTAAGAAGAACCCACGACACTACGCTGCTCTAAGTCACAACGATACGTGGAAATCACCTCTTATTCTACCAATAAAATCAGTAAGCGGGGCTTGGCCCTCGAGAGAAGTCTTTCGACTACGCTCGTCATTGATGGATGTGGTAGACCATTGGGCGGAGATGCAGCCTGCAGCGGATTGCCCTATTTCCTTCACAGAAGATGAAAGAAACTTACATAACGAAGAAATGGAGAATCGTGGCTACATTGAGGGACTTATGGAAGAGTTCCAAGGTGCAGGTATCTTGCCAAGTGATGGGATCGTTGATCCTGAGGATTATGACGTTGTGCAGAAGACAAATTACGCACAAAAGGAAAATTTCATGTCTTTAGCACAGGATGAGGAACAGAGAGAGTGGATGGACAAGATCTGGCCTTACCAGGACCGGCCCAGTGAAGCATGAATATTGGTTTTCATTGGGCTTCCCTCACCCCCGAGAGAGATGAACATCTGATAGAATATCAAAACAACACCCCAGAACTGAGTCTCTCTAGACTCTTCATCTGTCTTGGTTATCAAACAATACCTGGTTATCATATCTGTTAAGTAATAACATTTTGCAATCATTCAACCCACTAGCAACTTAGATAGGTATTCCTAAAATACATAAAAAGACGAGCATTTACCTTCCCGTCTGTCCCGGAGGTTACTGTAATCGAATCCTGGAAGCACCCTGTTCGGCCTGATACTGAGGAGAGTAGTGGAACCGTGTGTAACAGGGTCAACGCTCAGCAGCACCAGTGATGAGAACAGTATCGCAAATAAAGAGCACGATTTCGATCATAATGGCCTTCCCCTTGTACCTCTAACTGGCCTAGTCCTGACCTCAACAAAAACGTTGGATTCGGCGCTTCGAGAACCAACAAGAGCCCCGAGCTTCCATTGATAGATTCACAGATATTTTTTGGTGGTATGTACCGGCCAATTGGACTAGGCAAGCATGGAGTTGAATTTGATGAGGTGAAGGGACGAGGTGTGCTTGGCTTCCGTGGGCTTTTGTCAGAGACCGAATTTTCACCTAGGGCCGAGACATGATGATCGCACCAACTTTGACAAGCGGAAAAAAGAAATTTGTGTACAGACATCCTGATGAACCTATGAGATGCCGTATGACTGTCTTTGGACTACACAGGCCGTTTCGAAACCCTATTAATTAGATTCTTTCGAAAGAACTATCATAGGCGAGAATTGAATTGAATCAGCTGCTGACAGGATTTAAGAATTTCTCTCCCGCCTACAATAGTTCTTTTGAAAGAGCCCAATTACTAGGGCTTCGAAACGACCTGTGTAGTCCTGAGACAGTCACATGGCATCTCATAAGTCTGGCCGGAAGACGGGGTCCTGTTATGCGAGACAGAACCCGCGTTGTTGGAAAATAGTAGGTAAAGAAGAAGCCGAGATTATCGGAAGTTATGAAGATAGAATGCTGGGTTTCCTGAAACGAGACACTTTGTCCTTTGGCCGAACTCGCCGGGCGAACAGTCTGAAATCCTTACCTTTTTTTTGGTTGAAAGGATTTCCCTGGTACTGACTGCCAGTGGTATCCAAATCCATTGCGGTGCACAAACCGGGTTCGAGTCTCTCATTATACTTATCTTCTGCAGTCGTTGTACAGTCCAGAAAACAAGATCTGCATACAACTGGTGGCGTGGCCTACACAGGGGACGGTAGACTGAAGTTCAAACTATCAGCATCGCTCTTATCAACTTCATCTCAAACACTTACAGAAGATTCTGACCATTAGCCCCATGAACTAATGGCGCCTTCTTTCCTTCTCTCCAACATCTGGTACCGGGATATGTAGATCCAAACTTAGCAATCCAGGAAGAAGTCTTGTCCACTGGCCATATCTGGTATTTGAAGTCCTCTGCCCCTTTCACATCTGGATGGACCAACATGATAATTGAGATATGTTTGCCGTCAATACCACCTTTGAGGATGGGTTCTTCAATCACTTGGTAATTGGTGAACCCGGACGGATTGAACCTAAATGGTGGTGGAGGAGTCAATACAGTGACTTCTTTACCTCCACATATATGCCATGCAAAAAGTGCAGAAGCACCTTTAATATATAGGGACCATTCCTTCTTGCTCTTTCTAGCAAAAGGAAAGCGCCCATTTTCCTTAGCCATAAGGAGCCCCAATGCAGTGGTCAATGTTTGCATACCATGCTTTTCGGCCCATCTTTGAGCATGGTCCCTTGGTATTCCGGTCCATAGCACCTGACGATTTGGGCGCCAAGAATCTTCCTGGAACTGATGAATGATGGTCTTCTTTTCTTTTGAGGTCAGAAAATGGCTGATATAGTCATCCTTGATAAAAGGTGATGTTCGAGTGGCGTAAACATGGAGCCAATGTGAGATGCTCGCGGACAGAATATAATAAACTCTGGGGCTGGGTTTACTTGTCAGAATTCTAATTCCGACGTGCAGGCTAGACTAGGTCTATCTTACAAATTAGAAACAAGAAGTGCGTTGCGCGTCACTGTGGATGTCAGGTGCTAGCGATCGTGATTATTCCGGTTGGTTAGCATGTCACGAGATCTCGTAACCAAGGTGTCTTTGGGAGCCCAGAACCCTCAACTGGAACTGGTAAGGTCATGTATGTATTTGCGATGGACGGAAAATGGGCTTTTGTAAATAACACATGGGGGATATAAAATTCTGGACTCTGCTAAGAATGACTCCAACGAGACCAATATCTATGTCATGACTACTAGTAGTGGTTTCATCAATAGCTCCCCCGATACAGAAGGGTTCGTAGCCAGTCGAAAGTGTAAAGATGAGAGGCTTTCAGAATACATCAATCGCTATTGTTTCGATTCCTTTCGATCGCGTTCAACCCAACCCGTGGTAGCAAGCAGGGAAAGGCCATTTAACGTACGTGTCTCTGACCTAACATTGTTCCTACTCTCGATTATCTCTACCTAGGTAGCTAGCTGGCCGATCACCAGGTTGGACAAACTTAACAACTGACAAAGCTCCAGCTCATTTAACGAAGAATCCGGAAGAATATTCCAGAAGAATGGTATTGGGGCACCGCTGTAAAAGTTACGGCTCCTGTCGCAGCGAAGTCGAATCTTGAGTGTTTTCGCGGGATTTAAATTGATGATCTGCAATTCATGGAAGGCATGGCTCCATAATTAAAATACCGTATCGGTCCATATGTTCTAGTTATTATTCTACGGAAGTTGTAAAGTACACAGGACAGAAAATGGTGGATAAAGGCTTACGGTCAACAAGACATAGAACGTTGCGGCGACGACTATAACCAGGAGGATGGAAGGCACTGTACTGGCCTCCAAGGAATGACTCTAGACACAAGCCGTGCCTAGAACCACACTTTACATTTAGAATCCTAAGGGCAACTTGCTAGCAATTACATTATGAGCTTCCATTTGATTGCCATGTCGGTATATACCGTAATATATGGTAGTGTCTAAACCAAATGCTCTCCACCGTTCATAGTAACAATGAAATCTGTTGCATAATAGTCTTTCGTGAGACACAGGTAAGCCTAGACCATATTTTGGGATAAGTGACATCTTTAGTTAGACTTATCTATTTGCTCTTCTGCAATGCAGTCTCATGAAATTGCTCTGTGGGTTCTTGCTTCGTCTTAGTTGAGACATAGCCTGGGGCCACCGCGTTGACACGCACAGGCCCTAGGGTTATAGCTAGGCTCGAGGTCCTCGAAAGACGCTTGCACCAGAAAGACTAAGGGTGGTACGTCCTCAGCTCTGAAAAACAATGTGATCGATCGGAGAAGGTTGTGCTATGAATTAGAAGCAATGTCTCTATTATTTGTTGGAGTCCTGATCTATCTACACCGACAGTTGTAGTGCCGACTGTGTTGTGAGTGGGTCAATATCAGGCTGACTCTACGCTAAGCCACAGCGGGGTCAATGATGATCAATGCAAGGCTGAAACGATCCACAAGGCGCTTATTGCTCAATAATGCCAACCACATATATATCTCGACCTTCACCCGCTCCCTGTTTCCATGCATGCATCAAGGGAAAATAACATCTCTGCCCAAAAATGTCCTCCACCAATAAGCATGCCCACTCCCGCCCCGTCGACTTCGAGCAGCAGTGCGGAGCTACTCTGCCAGACGGCGCTCAGTGTGCTCGGTCGTTGACCTGTAAGGCTCATTCTATCAGCGCAAAGCGAGCAGTTCCTGGTCGTTCAATGCCGTACGATATGTTGCTCCAGGCTTATCAGAAGAAGATCCAGGCTCGTCAGGACAAGAAGAACGCTCAGCAGAGGAAGTATCGCCCACCGAACAAACCCAACTCGTCTCGAAAATCATCCAATGGATCGCACATTCAACCCGAACCCTCTACATCGAAGAACTTGCCGAACTAGCCATCATCTCCGAAAGCGGCATTGACGTTGATAAACGCCTTCCTGACCCGCGAGCTATTCTCACCATATGCCCGGACACTCTCATAACAACCACACCACCAACTCCCAATAGCCCGACCCCCGAAAATGAGTTCAAACCAAACCAGCACCAGGTCCAGTTCACTGACCCAGAAATAAAGCGATACCTTCAATCCCAGGAGATTCAAGCTACCCCTGAAAAACATTTAGCAATAACAGAACCCACATCCCACACAACCATCGCAAAAGACAGTCTCACCTACCTCCTCCAATTCACAGAGCCCTACACTACAACCCCAAGCAAAATCAAAACCTCATACCTCCTAAGCTACGCAGCAAACTACTGGGCCGTGCATGCCCGTCTAGCCCACCCAGAAACAAACCCAGAACTAACAGCCCTAATTCTCCGATTTCTAAATTCAGGAACAGCATACCTAAACTGGACAGCCTTTCTGGATGGCTACACACCATTCTCTGGAACAGATGGTTCCAGTCTTATCCGCCACCCACATCAAATTTACTACGCCGCGTCATTCGGTCTAACAAACATCGTCACAGCGCTCCTTGACACCGGTGCTCCGGTGGACAGTAGGGGACCGAGCGGGAGCGCGCTGGCGGCTGCTTCATTGGCGGGACATCTGGATACTGTTAAAGTGCTTGTTGACTCTGGGGCGGATGTGAATCTGGCGGGGCCTTTTGGGACGGCGCTCGTTTTGGCTTCTGGGAGAGGCTTTGTGAGCATTGTGCGGTTTTTGATGGAGAGGGGGGCGGATGTTGAGGCGAGAGGAGAGTGGAGTGAGACAGCTGTTGTGGAAGCGAGGAAGAATGGGTTTGAAGGTGTTGTGGAGGTTATTATGGGGAGGTAGGGTTATCTTTGCTCATTTTTTTCATCCTTCCTTTCTGCCTTTTTGAAAATTGGACGGTTGGTTTTGGTTGCAGGTTCATCCGTAATGGTTAAATCTGGGGTTCAATTGATGGACCGGTGCATGGGTATTGAGTAAAATATCTTGTTTTACATGCACGATGCCTTCATACAATGCAATGTTTGATATCATTCCTACACGAAATAGAATAAATCCTATGATGTTAACTCGGAGATAACTCGGCCCTGACATCACCCGCACAAAAGGACACGGTTCTAGACCAACCCAAGCAAAGCAACTTCTTATAACAATGGACGAAAGCCAAGAACAAATGTCATTGTGGCAAAAATGATAAGATTTATCCTTTATCATCCGAGCCATGAAGTCATACCTACCCGTTCCTATATAAACCTTGGCTAATCCAGCTCCTAACCGTAATAAGAAAACTAACCTCTAGACTCGAGGAACCTAAGTTGTCTTGCACAAATCACTATCCCATTTCATCAGGACATCGTATATATCGTACATTAAAAACAAATCGAAGGCAAAATGGCTTCCCAATCCCAGAAACCCGACCAATCTACCAAGCCATCCTCACGACGCCGCGCGTCCTCATTGCCAGAGGACCTTCAAAAACTCCTAGACAAAGAAGAGATCTACTGGGATTCATACGGCGATTTTGAGAATTCTTGGACTACTACGTACGTTCATCATCCATTACATTGAATTACATCAGTCGTGATGTTAACGTGATAGACGGACAAACAATGATCCGCCTATGGTCGTGGCGGATATGAGAAGGGAGCAGCAGGCTCAGAAGGGCCGTGCGGGTAATCTGAAAATGGAGGGTGACGAGAGTGGACGTTAGTAATTATTTGAAGTTCTTTGGTTTTAGTGTAATATAATTATGGCTGTTTAGTTGAAATGTTGATTGGATGAGTCAAATGCAGATGTGTTTTGCGTTATGGGTATATGTACAGGAACAAATCGAGCAATGGATATTTCATGACCGGCATGAAAGGATGATGCAATGCAAGGCAAATATATACAACAAAATGTAAAACAGAACCGAAAAAGCGCTAAATAAACCCGGTTAAAGAAAAGAATCAGTACTCCAACCGATCATCATGAACCAACTCCACATCGTATCTCTCATTACCCTTCCACACCCGACCTGGATCATTGAGCGATGCCACAGTCGTGCGAAGTGAAGAGATCAACCCCGTCGGTCCACTGGCAATGACACGCGTTGGACCCTGAGCAGTGCGTTGAACGAAATCAGTCAAATCCGCTGGCACATCAGGGTGTACGGAGGTACCGGAATTCCCGGGACGCAGGCAATGCACTGAGAACGGACTATCCGACAGATGAGTTTCGTGAGAAACAGTAGATAGAGGTCTCTTAATCTCGGAATCGGTGATATACGTAGGTGTGAAGGAGTTGCGAACATTGGCCCGGTCGTCTTCGCGCGTAACGTATACCCGGATCCGGAAGTGGGTGCATGCTTGGGCGGCAGTACGGAGCACTTCTAGTTCTTCGCTGAGCCATCGCATGTCTGACTTGCGACGGACGATCCAGACTAGCTCGACTAGACTTCTTCGTTTGGAGAAATATCGGTTCAAGACTATAGCTTGCAGGATGGGGAGAATGAATGTCACTCCGGTGCCGCCTGCAACACAGAAGAGGTTGATATCGTCTGAGCAGTGTAGGTCATTATCGACGATGGATTGGCCATACGGTCCAGAAAGAACGATGGATGTGCTTGGTGGTTCGTCCCATTGTGATTCCCGAGGTTGGCGAGCTATCCGAGCTAAGTCTTTCGTTAAACCCTTCTTCGCGCGGATGATGTAAGTATGTGATTGTTTGGATCCGCCAGGAACAGAGGATGGTGTCATGGGGTGGGATTGCCAGATACTAAGGCCGGGGAAGCACAGGTAAAAATGCTGACCGATTTCCCAAGGACTGTGGTCATGGTCGAAATCCAAGCGGACGACGTCCCCGTCTTCATCGTTGGGAAAGGAGGTCATGCGAGCTTTGGGAATGTGCAGACCCCAGAACGAGTACGTCTCTGAAGCGTGCGGGCCGAAGTGTGTGATGAAAGTCCGCAAGAGCCGAATGCTTCTATCAAGTAACCACACGACCAGAGAAGCGATCATCCAGCATGAAAGCTGCTTCCAGTGTCCCCAGCAAGCACCCACGTATAGCATGGCCACGACATAATGTGCCTTGCGGAAGAACTCGTATCCAGTGAGTCGGATAGCCCATTTGGTGCTGAAGAAGACCAGGAATGACAGGAATATCATGGCTACGATGCCCCAGATTATGTACTCCTGGGCTATAAACGCGTCCCAGGTCGAGGGTTGTGGCTTGTACAGCATCCCCTCCATGAGGGTCCAGCCAAAGGTGTGAAGAGCAGATTGAAGGTAAATAATCCAGCCGAGCCAGCGATGAAGGAAGTTGAAGTGATGGTACGGTATTCCCGTACAAAGGGAAAGGAGGGATTCCCTGGTACACAGAAGCACGGCGAGAGGCGTTAAGGCGTATGCGAGAACTCCAATTCGATCAGCCCACGGACCAATTCCGATGGGGGTCGATGTCAAGTTAGTCCCCTTGACGGGGAGGTACCATGTTTTGTAGACGATTCCAACAAAGCTGAAGATGATGAGATAGCCGGCTAAAATGGCGAGGACGAGGATATTGAACCGAGTGGTGCGGCCAAATATAAAGGTCAAAGATTCTTGGACAAAATAGCGGTGGTATATCGAACCCAGTGATCTTCTCATGCGATACAATGAGCTCTGTGGTCTATGTTCACTTTCGCCCTCTTTCTGAACGCATGAGGACGTGGACTTTCGTGTGATGGGATTGCAGTAATGACCGAAGAAGCAAAGGAACACAATCCCAAGAATGGCAGCCCAGAGAATAGCACTGTAGAGCACCGACAAATCGTGACTGTGATAGACCGTATCTAGATATGCACACTTTTCCGCACCACTAGTGCAGGGGAGTTGGCGGTTAAGATATCCCCAGTGGTGTTCAATACCGGGGCCACTATCCGGGATATCAGCATGGCGCGGGGAGAGCATCTCGAGTCGTCAATACTCGAGATATGGGACGAACGTTGCTGGACTCTGGAGAGGAGGGAAGAGAACATAATGGATGGCCGCGGGGGGGAGTCCGTATTAAAGTGTACCCACTGTCACGAAAAGTCGTTAAGACGCATACGTTAAAAAGTGGGTTGCCAAGGAGAAAATGTGCTCAAGTGCAATGCCAAGAACGCTATGGTCAGTGCTATTTGAATTGCAGTTGTTTGGTAATGAGACAGTGGGTCACTTGGCCTGTGTCAAGTTTATAACTGTATGATTAATTGGGACTCATCGATTCCTGGGAGCGCCCAAAGCAAATGACTCGTATGAAGGCGAATCGCTTTCGGCTTTTGGCCTTGACGAAACCGAATACTATCCCTGCGTAACACCGCTTGGCGCCATGGCGGAAGTTAATCTAATCGAAATCTGCTCAAATGGGATCATCCCCACCTTCCCGGGAAAAAAGCACCAATCGGTGCTATCGCCGCTTAGGGTTTTGCCGGCGACTACCAAATTGGCCAGGGTCATTTACCCGATGGTTCGCCGGTGATACTGGCCCGCTTGACACCTGAAGCATAAGGCTGAAACGTATTCTGTTCTGTGGTCCTTTCCCTTGCTCGTTGATGTACGTGTTTCAGTATAGGTAACCTGTTAACGAAGCAAGTCTATATAGACAGGAAGGAAGAGCATTATCAGTGATTTACGTAATAGTAGAATAGAACCGTGTACGATTAAGTTTTATCTCTTATATTTCTGTCTAAATCTGTCTCTATGTAGATTAGAACCCCCGTATTCGATAGGATCTCGGGTGAAGCATAGAAATGATCAGTTAGATAAAAACTTATCAGATCACATTAATGCAATAGAAGCGACTGCGTACTATATACAAAGGACCAGGGTATTCAGACGCCCCATGTGCTCCGCCCGATTGACGGCTCGATTCTATATTGGAACCGTAACATATAATCACATAACGTGGTTCATATCGATAAGTAATTCAATATTAGTGAGTTACAGGGAACTCACTGTAGTAGTATAATAGGCGGAAAGGGGGGCATAAAGAAGTGCATATTCTCGGCTCCAGGGAGTCCACTTTCAGCAACTTCTCAACTAACGTTCAACCACAGTGACGGCATCCGAGAAAGCAATTTCTAGCTTATGGATTCGATGTGGAATTGAGATTTCTATGATGAGGATTGCTGCTTCAATTCTCTATAACAAGCTGCCGAGCCATCTCTGCGTTCTCTTTCCACAAAACTCGCAATCTTCGGATGGTTCAGTAAATTTGAGAGAGCGCTTTTCGAAAAACGACTCGACGCCAATTCTGATATAGGTCTTGTCCGACTTACCGCGACCTCCGATATGTTCAAACGCTCTCTTCATGTACTCATGCTCTTAAATCCTTTAAAACCCGTACACTGTCAACCTTCCTGTCAGATTGGCCTGATTGTGCCAATGGTAAAGAACGCCCAGTTTAACACAGTGGATAATAAGGGCCGCTAGACCCACTGCCAAGACCGTGGCTATTGAGGATCTCCTTTCAGAAGGTCTGATTGTAGGAGATCTGGATCACCTTTTTTAATCCCAATGTTTTACTGTGGCAGGATCAAGTCGACTTGGCCCCGGGGTTTTGCCACAGAGATCCATCTTGTGTTGCTGCTCCAGTGTTAAAATTTTTAATGAAAATGTCACACTGGGCAGGAGAATTTGTCTGGCTGATGGTCCTAACCTTTGTCGTGAGCAGAGCAGAACAAGAGGATACCGGTGTCAGATGCTCTTTGTAATGCCTGCTTGAGCTTGTCTGTCTTCTACGACGCTTCAATATGTTCGCAATCCACTTAGCACAATCGATGAAAATCTGATTGCGTTTCTGATGGCTAGTGCGCTTACCGGTACTCTTTGTAGGCTTGCCAGCAATTGGTGATCGTGTATAAGAAGCTTGTGGTTCAGCATTTTCAAGACGACGGCCTTTATTGGCCTGGTTTTGGGAAGACAAGGCCTTCTTACCCGCCGTCTGTAAATGCTAGCTTTCCTCGAATTTTCTCCCTTCGGCTGCCCTTATTTCTCCTTTCTTTTCTTCCCGGTTACTATTAGATGATAATGGTTTCTTCGCTCCGCTCGGACCGAACCATTTACTGGAACAGTCCGAGTCGGTGCTGGGGTTCGGCTTCACTGCTTGATTGTTTCTACCGATTTGTCAAGGGTGTGTTTTCTCGGCTTTCTGAATATGTGCTTGCTTTTTAGCCCGTTCGATCTCCTTTGTAAGATCGAGATATGGCGACGAGTATCCAGGTTTGCCGCAAGCCCCGTCAAACGCCGATTCGCCATGGTCGATGAGTGCATTTATCATACCTGCTGACCTTTGGTGCATCTCTCAATCCTCTCGGCATAGTGTAAAGGGATTAATTGATAGGGGCCTCTTTGACAATGAAGCGGGTGGCGAGATGCTCTTTGGACCAGATTCACTATCAAATCCGGGTCCATATTTTTCTCGAAACAAGTTACTCCAATTTACCCGATTTGCTATCACTTCCATTCTCAGCGAAAGAAAGAAAGAAAGAAAGAAAGAAAGAAAGAAAGAAAGAGCGAGAAATAAAGAAAAACAAAGCAAAGAAAAGGCAATAACAGGGTTTTTCTGGTAGTTTACCCACTCACTTACCCAACACTAACCTGCCGGCCTGTGGCTTCTTCGTCGTCAATACCTAGACGGATGTCTCTTAAAATGAGCTAAAGACCAAGACCGCTATTTGGCCCGTAACTAATGGTGGCTTAGCTGAGTTCAGAGCAGATAGAGTCAGCCAATGCCTACACCGGCTGGTAATATCTCGGCAGGAGCATCTATGGATTCTTAGCGACTCCTGACAAGAACCCCTTGCATTAGTTACGATTTATCTCGTATAAGACATCGGGGCGAGACTCTATTCAGCGGCATTAGTCAGAAATTCTCCACCAAGATCAATTCCATGGAGTGATCTTGGCGTGACATGGATTAATCGCGCAGCTGAGACACGAATAATGGATAGTACAGAATGATTGGTTGCCCTGGAATATTGGCAAGACGTATTTTCTGGTTTTTGTTTCAGGTATCCCAACTATCAAGAAACCTATCATTCGCATGTGAGTACTTGGTTGCGCAGCGGAGCGAAGCGTAGCAAGCAATATAGGAGACTGCTGAATCGAATCTGGGTTCTGATTGGGCGAGAATTTACTCATGATATTAGCTACTTTCAGCTTCGTCTTATATAATCATTTCACGCCTATTTAGGTAATCTGGGCAGTGTAGGTATCTCCAGGCTCCAGTAACCTAACCAATTTCTAGATTGTTTGAATTGCCTGCGTTGCCTAGATTTCTAGATTATTTAAACACGTTGTAATACCTCTGCAGCCTATTCAAGTAAGGTAGGTAATCTAGGTGGGTAATTTTATGTAGGTAATTGGTTAGAAAATCTAGGTAATCTAAATAGTATAGTATAATTTTTTAAATAATCTTAGTAATTCAGGTGGTCTAATAAAAGTTTATAAATGTGATTCTTTCGCTGCGCAAGTATTCTGCCAGTTCGTTGAGCTAGTAGCCCCTAGTATCTCTATGTTAAATATAGCGAACCATCTATACAGACTTATACGTGATGTAAAACAGGCACCTGTGAAATCTCGAAATCTTGTACTATAATCACCACCCGCCTCATCCTCCCAGATAAGAGTATATAAGAACGCCCCACCTCCCCAACCTTACGGAGTATGTTAGGATAAGTTCTATTAGGAAATTCAATGCTAGTAGCTTCTCGGGTGGTACTGAGAGTCAGTCAAAGAACGCAAAGCCGCCTTTCCACGGCACTGTACCGCATCCAACAATCTCCAAACAAAACTATTTCTCACTTTTAGGTCTCACTTTTAGGCTGAATCTCACTGCGGCTTCTAATAAAGAAGTTGAGAGTGCTTGGATGTCCGAAGCACCAAGCGATGGTGTCTGGTTAGATTGGCTTTCAAACTTAAGGCTGCAGGAGCTAGCATGCTTTATGTCAAATGTCAATTCGACACATGAGGAATCAGCAGTTATGAGTAAAATTAATTAGCTCTGATATCATGACACTGGCTATTTCTTGATGGCCTTCAACGTCGTTGTTGAGTCATATATTATTGAACACACAGTACCATGACGATATCTTCTTGTTGTGACTCACTGACCCACTGCTGGTCCGCAATTCTGAAGCCATGGTTATATAAAAAACTCGACGACCATGGTAGGATGCGTAAAGCCCGTAAGTGGAACTGTCAGATGAACGTACATAGTGAAATGAGTGGCTATCCTATCATGTTTGCAATTTTAGAACGGCATATTATATCACTGTTCATACGAACCATGTCTAATGATTAATCTCTGGATTCAGCATGAGTGGAATACGTCACCGCCTATGTACTTATGCAAAACACGGTAGGCCTGTTTCATATTGCATGGCTTTGCGCTGTCTGAGCCATTCCTCTAGAGAATGTGTATGTGTGTGTGAGGGAATGCATCCACCCATACATCTCGTGGAGCATTTCATTGCATTAGGCGTGGTAATAGAATAGACAGTCGCCCAATAGATCTTTCCGGCCATAAAACCAAAACAAGCAATATTTATTTTTACACATTATCTCTGAGCTTTCTGTGAAGGTATTCACAGTCCTCAGGTCGGCCCTCTAAAATTGGAGAATAGTTGGACTTAGTAGTAGAAAATGTTATTATCGCTGTCTTTCCAGTTATTAATTCACATACACTCGAGTATCTACTAAGAATAAGTGCAAATGTTGTAGCTTAATAGTATTTTTTTTTCGCGGGGGGAAGAGGTGGTGGGGGATTGACAGAATGAAGTTGCGGGATCAGACCCTAGGCTAAGCTATCACTTGTGCCTGGAATTCCTTAGAGCCTTACCTCACTGGAACCCTGCTTTTTGAATCTGAGACCACATGAAGCGTATATAAGTGCGGCCTTCAGGCTATAAGAATATGTCGTTGAGGCTACTACCAATCCTATTTTCAATGAAAGAATTTGTTAGAAATCTATGCTTTGGCCACTGGGTTCTTGGCAGTCAAGTATTATTAGATCAGAAAATCCATCTGTGAGTGTCATACATAATGACATTATTGCCTAATTTCAATACTACGGTGATGAGGCACTTCTCTATCCTACTTAGAAGAGACCCCAGCAAGGTGTACTTTAGACTAAACTGGCAATCTGTACAAAACAGAGAAGATGTAGCCCTCTCCTCAAGTCGGGACCCAGTCCTCTTTCTACGGTTAATCTAGAGTCATCATTGGCAGCCCAAACCAACACGATATACGGTTGAAGGGAAAAGGGCACCCCCTCTCCACCACTATTTTTCCCTGGGGTCTCCATGATAGACTTGGAGAACACCGCCTACTTCGGAACCTGGCCCTACCATTGGCCTCTATGCAAGAGGATGTAGCGAGGTTCAAGTGAGGCATATCTAACCCTTCTGCTTAGTTGCTAAGCCATAGGTGTTCCTCTTTAAGTGGTCTCAAGTTAAGCCCACTTAAAACCATTAAAATAGCCATTGTACTTGAAGGGCTATAGTATTTGGACCCCAGATCCTTAGTCACAATAGTATACCGAGATTCTGCTCGGTATTGTCCTTGTTAATCAAGAATGGCAATATTAGATATGTCGGGAATAATAGCCTCCAATAGAGTGTTAGTACCAACTCTACAACCGGTTTATATTCAGTTGCACTGCAAGACTGATTACTGATGTCTTACAGTTTGATAGTAGGGGCTGCAAGTGTATACTAATATAGTAAGTTGGTGAACGATCGCTCACGGCACTGCCAGCCTCACATTTCCCTGATGCGGTAAAGATGGCCATCACTAGGACAAAGTTGGCAGGTATACAACAACTAAAAGGGGAATGGTGTTAGTTTATACCTGTAGAGCTAACCATTTACGGTTTAGTTTCCATAACTTCCGCCAGTACCCTGATTTTATATACCCGGGGATGGTGATTCTTCACTTATGTGATTGGTATTTTCCCCTGCTCACCCTCATATAGGTGATGTAATGAGCGGTGCCAATGTTGGCAAGACTGCCATTCAAGTCTCTATTTTCACCCGTCAGGCTTCTTTCTCCACAACTTGGTTTTAGCCCCCAACTGAGAGGAATACTGCAGACTAATCAGTACATGAGTTCAGTGCTGAGGATAGTGGCAATGTCTCTCGGCACAGCTGGAATACCAAGGATCAGCATAATTGAAGTTTGGCACGTAGTACCATTAACCAATCATGATAACCCTACCGCACATCAGGCCCCAACATCAACATCGGTGTCCATAGTAAATACGGTATTTGTTTGGAACATTTCGCGTATCCTCCGTATGCGCATGGCCATGGGCCCGAGGAAAAGCCCGAGAAAAACTCAATGCACTTGATTTGGAATACAGGTATCCAAGGCAGACTCGAATGTTAGAGCATTCCTAGCCCTCGGCATATCCTACGAGGCTACGACGTCTTAGTTCCCTATTCTTCGAATATAAATATCCTCACTCATCCCCTTCAAACCACACATATTTATCAATCCATCTATCAACTTTGTCAATTCCTCCTCATCTCTCAAGCAATTATATCCACCTTCAAGATGCAAATCAAAAGTCTCGTTCTCTCTATTTTCGTCGCTACCGCATCAGCCGGCTATGTCCAAATATGCGGCAGTGGGAGCGGCGGAACTTGCACCGACACCGGCAGTGCAAACAAGAACAGCTGTATCGGCCCAGTAAACGGCAATGGGTTCACATTCAAGGCTTACGACACCAAACCGAACAGCATGTCCATCTTCGCGGATGAGGGATGCTGGAACTACAATGTTGCTACTTGTGATGATTGTACCAGTGTTACCTACAATGGAAAGGGTAAGTAGTGACCCTGCCCTACTTTCCTTTTAGGCGCACCTGCTAATTGTATTTCAGGTCCTGTCTGGGCTATTTTCCACTAGGCTATTTTCGCGGGAAGTTTACAGGTGGGATTATATGGAAGGGTTGAGATATTTTAGGATGTGAATCATATCGTGATGTGGATATTATAAATATTAGCTGGAACATTATCATTATGCGTTTGGCACTGACTCGTACCTGTCTGTATCGGATATTTATTGACAAGATTTCCGATTGGTTGTAATCTAGAGAGGCGCAAGAGCGTCACTGTCGAGAACTCATATGAAGCTAGCCATCTGAACTTTCCTATTGCTGCAGTAGAATTAATTGTCTTCCGATAATTGGACCAAGGAAGAGGGAAATATTTCACTGCTAGTACAGCAGGCCGCCCTAGGCCTCACTGATATGCCTCTAGTTTGTTAATTCTCGAAAAGCCAAGTCCGCTATATGTCCCCAGCCTCAAGTCTACAATTAGGTTAGCCTCTCCTATATTTATGTTTATTCAGCGAATTATGTTAGACTCATTTCCTAATATTCGGATGATACAAAGTCCAAGGTAAAATAGTCCTTACCCTGTACAACATGAAAGTAGCCTAAATTCCCTGGTTAGAACAGATTCTTTCGTGATTTTCAGCTAACTATCTACCCTTCAAGCATTATCAGTTTTCTCACTCATTCTAATTCTGGTTTAGGGTGTAATGAATCTTGGCCCTAGTTCCTTGTTACTGTGTTGAATCCACTCATGTTTCCATTATTTCTACATGATCGAACTCACGAATACGGGTAAAGGCTTGCAGGTCCTCGCAATTTTTGTGTACCTATTTGTAATCGTAGATAGGTGAGCCTCATTTATTTAGAAATCACATACCCCCCGCGCACAAATTCATATCCATACCAAGACTAGTAGTCGAACTCCTGTCCCACAATATTTTCACTCAGCTTCCATAATCTTTCTGCGTCTACATGATCTCGGCCCCAACAACGGATCTCGGCTGGTTTCAAAACATTGCAGTTCTCAAGGTAACCGCCATTATTTTCTGAAACCCGGTTAGAGATAAAGCCCAAGCCCATCTATGACAACTCACCAGATATTGAATGGTGAAAACATGCAAATACGTGTGTTGCTAAGCCCTGTGACATAGATTTCCTTTTGAACCCGTCCCAGCACTGGCGGTTGCCTTGGATGTGATCCCATTTGACTAAGCCATGTCAGTTTAATAGTATGATGACAGGATAGGGCTTGAAGTGGTCTATTCTCACCAAGTGCCTTAACTGATTTAGCAACATCATGCCTTAGAATCTGCGTACTCACAACACCAGGATGTAAGCTGACCGAAATAAGGCCTTTGTTGCCAAGCTTCTGTGCAAGTGATATAGAAAATAGCATATTCGCTGTCTTTGATTGACCATAAGCCAGCCAAGAATCATACGTATTACCATCCTTCCATGCCCAGTTAGTCTCCCTCTCCACGTTATCCACGCCAGTGCACTCAACTTACATCGAAGTTCCAGTCATCAAATCGAATAGGCCCTAGCCGGTGACCGTCACTGGAGATATTCACAACACGGGAGGATTTGCCTGGTGCCAGCAACTTGCTAATAATCAAGTTTGTGAAGAGAAAATGGCCGATGTGGTTAATACCGAATTGACTCTCCACGCCATCCTGAGTCCAGGAGAAAGGCGGCGCCATTATTCCTGCATTATTAACCAGTACATCTATGTGTTCCTCGTATCCGAGAACCTCTTTTGCTGCCTCTCGGATTTGGGCTTGGGATCCTAGATCCAGGTGCAGAATACGGGTCTTCACGAAGGGACAGATAGTTGAGATCTCTGTGGCTGTTTGCTGAGCTTTTGTTACGTCACGAGCCGCGAGAATGATAAGGGACGGCGCGTAGTTTGCGATCGTTGCCGCGAAACCGGCACCGAGACTGGCCGGAGTGACTCCAGTCACTAGGATAGTCTTATTGGCAATCACAGCACGGCAATCATTTGAAACCTCCTCGGCTGTGGTTTGGGCGTTATACTGAGGCATCGTTGTGTGTTGAAGAACTTACCAGATCGATATAACCATGGTAGGAGAAGTCTACATCGGAGGACAGCGGCATGTCCTTTTATAGCTCACAACCCCTCATTACATGGCCAACAGTAGACGATCTACTATATCGGACGAATCATAAATACGCTCTAGGCGTCCAGACTTTCTCAATCATAACATGTTATCTTTTCACAAGTTGCGTCGAATATGAGTATGGATATGACATGATGTAAATCTATTGCCGCTTTGGGTCGAATTATTGCTCGACCTGTAACCGAATCTGGTTAGACTGACCGGAGTTACAGCGTGACAGCTCCGACCCTAGTAACCAACATCTTCGCTATTCTCCTAAGTTCTTTGTTCATATACTCACTAGATAATGGACGTTATATCTCAAAATGGATTATGAACCTAGTGAAGTAGTTTTTGCAACGACGTCATCACCGACTGCGTCGGGCATTGTATTTCGCTATGGACAACGCTCAATCAAGGTCCCCGCTCCCCGCAGGAGGGGGCGACCGTTAGGATGTAAGCAACAAGTCTTCTCTATTTTATCTAGCAAGTTAGGTCCTGACTTTACCTGATCAGCAAGGAAGGGAAAGACAACTGGTGCCAGTGTTGATGGCCACAAACAGAAAGATCATGAACGATATGAATTCGTCAATCTGGGCAGTAACTCGACCGACATTGATCGTGATACTCGTAAATCTATCAGAAAGAGGGTGATGCTCAACCACACATACATTAACCATAAGCGCAAAGGGACTTCTATTGAAGATAAAACAGAAAGAACAGCCTCTACGAGGGTACCTTCTTCGGAAGTTATAGTTCCCCAACCTGGCCGCGTGGATCCTTTCAATACGCTATCGATTGAGATTGAGCCATATATGCACGATCTACTCTCCTTGTGTAGGCTTCATGGTTCTTAATCTTGCTGAGTATGTGTAATAGCTGACTTTGATTGAAGATATTACTACCATTTGGGAGACACTCTACTCGATCGAGAAGAGGTGTGGCTGCAACCCAATGACGAATTATTGGTTGCCATTGGCATTCAATGACCCAGCTTTGCTGCATAGTCTGATAGGATGTGCTGCATCGTTTGTGATGATTGCCAACCGCTCTCACGGATATCCCTTCTTTGTTAGGCACTTGAATGAAGCTATAGCTATCGTCAACCAGAGAATGGCAGATTCGGCAGGTTCGGTATCCGATGAAACCTTGGTCGTCATTGCTAGCATCGCTATGATGAAGGTGTGTTGTACGAAAGTAAAAGTCTTGGACATTGCAAAATTATTAACATTTAAGTAGCAGATGCTAGGATTTCACGATGAATGGAATGTCCATATGCAGGGCTTGAAAAGCCTTGTCGATTCACGAGGAGGTTTAGACAGCCTGAATGATAAACCGCTTATTCAGGGTAAGATTTATCGGTAAGACTCGCTGAAAGCTATGATAAAAATTATCGCTGAGGTTTTATGTCTCTTAGTGCGGACCTATGCGGCTGTGTAGCTGCCACGCAACGCCCTTATTTCGGTGCACGTTACCAGGGTATCGGCGAGTCAGGACCTCAGACAGACCACCTTAATAACGGATTCCGAGAACTCGATCGGCTCTTGAACCTCGACAGCCTGCTCAAAGAGGCAATCTGCAGTCTACAAAATGCTACACAGACACTCTTCACAATAAATAGTAAAGACCACCAAGCCAAGGCAGCACAGGTCCGTTTCTGGATTACTTCGACCCAATACCGTCTCCTATCAACTCGGTATAGAGACTCGAGTATTCCTCACCTGCAAGCTCTTGAGATATGCCGCCTTGCTCTCTTGCTCTTTACAGTAACTATTTGCAATGAGTTCCCACGGGGTGAAACAACCTCTGATATGCTTGTCGCTCAGCTTCGAAGGTTATTAGACAATGATGCAGCATGCCGGTGGTTGACTCCGGAATTCAGCTTGTGGGCATTATTCCTTCTAGCATTGCCTGTGACGGTGAGCAGCTCGAAGGGCTGGTGCCTGGCTTCTATATCGGCGGCTATTTCCCGGATGTGTATTCGCCGAGAAGAACAATTTACCCAATTGTTGGCGACATTTCTTCATGATCCTGAGTCGCACGCGATGTCTTGTCAGGTCATATGGAGCGAAGTAACTTCATGAATAAGGGTCCTAAAAGTGAGAGATTGTCGAGGGAGCCATTTGAACAAACACGATTTTGCAAAGTCAATTTGTCTTCCCGACTTTTCACACTTTTGCCGTTTCTATTTATCAGGCCATCGTAGGATCGGAACACCCCGTGACGGGAATTGTTAACATACACATATTAGAAATACTTTTACTATAGTAATCTTCGATTCAGGGATGACGTACATGTATATACCCTGCCACTGCTATTGATAGGAAAAAGTGGCTTATGGAATAACCAAGCAATGAAAATAGAAGGAGCCGAACCCAAACGTACGACCGCGCAGTCACTATAGAAAACTAAGAGGGTATCTTTTTTTCATGGACTCTGTCCACAGGCCTAGGGGAATCCATTTATAGCCTTGGAATAGGAGGCCAGCTCCTTGAAGGTGTGATGGTCGTGATCACATCCATTTTAGCTCCACTCCTTATTTTACTCCGCTTACAGCGCTAGTTGCGTTGGCCCATTGGCCTGTGACTGAGGTGAGGTGTTCTTGGGGATGGCCATTCATATGAAAGAATGTAAGAATAGAAATGTGTCGACTGGAGACTGCGAAGCTGATAATAATCTGGATGGAAGATGTTCTACGTACATACTGCTCAAGCTGCGCCGTCACTGCGCCTGCACTCCCACCCATGCAACTGCGTTCTAAGTTCCTCTACATGTTTAGCTGTCACTGGTCCATCCATCTCACTCCCTGCCTGCTTACACAATTTCCCATAACGCTGTATCTGCTGCTGCAATAGCGCCACCAGGCTCAATAATGTCGCTCCCGCATCACGGAGCTCCTTTTCCATCGTCAGCCGTCGTGACTGCCAAGCCCCGAATGATCGAAACACCTGCGTGAACAGTTCCACCAGCACCTCTTCCTGAGTTGTATCTCGCTTCACCAGGTATTGTGGATGCATTCCTTGGACCACTTGCATCCGATGCCCATTCACATCTAACTCCCGCACCCGCCTCTCTCGCGCTCTGAGCACTGATGAGCAGAGTTGCTGTGCAAGATTGTCGGCGTTAAAGAATTCCCACCTCTCATTGTTTGGCTTCGTACAACACTGACAGGATATCATCACCCGTGGTTGGATCAATTCGAGAGTCGCCCTCGTAAGCGCAAACGATTCCCGTGCCAGCTCGTCCCGCCTCGCCGGCCCCATCTGCTCCAGAATATCGTCTCTGAGATTATCCCGGAGCATCGGGAACGTGTCAAGGATGATCACGTCGGCGAGCTGAAGCCCCATACTCTGCAGGATCTTCTGCAGCCAAGAAAGCGTCGGCGATTTCCGCAGCATGTCATCAAACGACAGGTGATCCCACGGACTGGGGTTGAGTAACAAAATAGCCGGGAATTCCACCCAGCCTGACAATAATGCTATCCAATTGAGGAAGCCATTGTCTGGAATTCCCCATTTCGTCTGGAATTCCTTCCCTTGAATGTATAGATCATCGGTCTCATTGAGTATGAATCGTTGCGGTTTCTGGAGTCTAGCAACCTGCTGCGGAATCACGTTCCGCGTGAGTTCGTCAACAGAGTACTCTGCGTGGTATGCTTCACTGCCATTGGAAATATGTGCCGCGGAGGGACTAAACACAGGACTGTTTTGCTCTACCGGCCCAACCTCCAACACTGGAGAGCGGTGTGTCTCAGACGGATTGGGCCGACTAGGTTCCCTTTCTACTGCTTCTGTCTCAGGACTATCTCCCAAGGAAATACCAGCAAGCAAGCCTGGGAGAGAATCACCGGATCCATCATCTGAAGGAGAAGCAGAAGACACGGAATGAGGCATTGTGGATAGGAATGTGATGTAGAAAGTTAGATGATGAGAAACCTTCGTGGTTCCTTACCTCTGGCGGCATGGCTATATACCCTATCTGAGCACAGCCGATCTTACTTGCATCCGACCAAATTTCCCATGACTCAACTACTCAGGTCAGACGACATAGGTTACTGCGCCTTTACAGATTTGGATAACTAGGATTCCACTGGATTGTATTCAGTGGCTGTGGCAGTCGGAAGTGTTGGAATTGACATGTGGTTCACGCAGCCTTGTCGACTTTCGTTACCAATTATAATGTTAGTATAGCCGCCCAGAAGAGGGGAATGTGTGAGGCTAAAATGCGCCCAGGCATTCTAGTGGGCAACAACGAGGCTGCGTCGATGTAGGTGTAGAAAATTCTCACGTCATTGATGGCACTGTAGTTGTCTGCCAGGTTAACCATGGTTACTTTGGTCCCTGTTTGATAACCTCCCTATATTATTGGATCAGTTCAAAGGTATTTATCTCAGTTGGTTAGCGCTTTCATAATCCAAATGTGGGAGAATGACCAGGGCGGTTAACTAGCATACGATTAATGTGGTACTAAATTTGACCTTCCATAAATAGACGCCTTGCACAGCCTAATCCAACCAATCTGCACACTACAGATACATGTCTCTATGCGGATTGGCACCTATCACATGGAAGATGAGACGTTGCTCGGCTGGGGCATTGTTATTGATTGATTCTGATCCAATCCGTCTAGGGATACTAATCCCCTACGCTGATCAAGCAGCCGTAATTCGCAGGTGAGCATAGTGAAGTCTACACGCGAACGCAGTATGTCTAAGAGTCAGTGGGATCGATGCAAGCGAGGATGAAGTAATACTTTGTCTTGAGGTCGACTGCGAATCATTTATTGGTGGACAGAAACCGATCAATCTAAGCCAGGATATACGCAATATCGCTGACAGTCACGGGGCACATAATGTGCTTGCGACCTCATCATCTTCTGCGGCGTACCATGTATCACCTTCTATGCTTCGTGTGGCAGAGGCTTATCATTGTGTTGGTGGGGCTGCCTCTGGTAGTATTTGCAGGGGTCGGCCTCCTGTACCTAATCAGGGTAGCCTAGAGATTGTTGGCTCTATGGCTGAGCCATGTCCGGGTACGGCTGGGCCTTTGTGAATGACCACGCGGGTATTGTTAGGCCGATGTATGAGGCGCTCAGTATACTGGAATTCCCGAAGGCAGTGAAGGCAAGGTTAGACGGCGCCGTGCTGTAAACCTTAATGTCGGAATCTCATTGTTAGCATAAGAGACATACTCGTAAACTCGCTGTTGATAAAGGAATCTGGAAATGAATACTCTGCGGTGAAAAGCTCCTGCAAATGCTGCAGAAGTTTTCTCCAAGCCTTACTTAACATGGCCAGCGTCAGTGTATTCTCACCCACAGCACGCAGTACATACAAGAAAAATAATGTTACGCATCATGTTATGCCTTTTATCCATATATCCCCTGGACCTGTATAAGGAAACCTTAAAACCATGTTAGCGGCCAGGAGCTTTGCCTAGCCGCCCTAGTTTCTCAGTTCAGGGCTTGAAACACACCTAATTCATCATAGTGACCACAAAATGTAGAAACACAGACTTGTACAATCCATCGCCAATCTAGAACACATAGTAGTAGCGTAGAATATCAATAAACTTTCACAGGGTTGCGACTGACTACAGGTGTAAACAGCATTTACCATATATATCGAGAAGACAGAGACGTATATAGATAAGAACATAGGAATCCTAAACAGAATCTATATTACTGGGCCATAAAAGCTATTATGAAGCTAAGAACCGTATAGTCTTATTATAATAGAAAGATAAAGAAGTCAGTAGACTAGACTACTATTTAAACTAGTATTTTATACTTTTCTGACTTATGAATATTCTGATCTAGGTACTTATTCTGCTATAGATAGAGTAAATATTAAAAAATAGTCAAAAATATAACTAAGAAACTGCTAGATATTATATACAATGATCTATATTGAGAAACTTGAAATAATAGAATAATGTCTCCGGAGCTATAGGATATATTATCACCGATTAGGGGATATGAGAATAGAGCTTATAGTAATATCAGTCAAATTTGCTGCGTATATATATCCAAGTACAAGTCCAGTACGTGGTGCGGCGAGAACGGACTAAGGAAAAGATGTTGGCCGAACTGTTCGCGCAGGTGTTCCGGCCATTCCGGGAGTGGCAGTCACGGCGGAGGGCGAACCAGGAGCGGTACTGTTAGGGCTCGTGGCGCTCTTGCAGCGGCAGATGAAGCTCTACAGGCAACTGGATGCACAAGCAGGGAGGAAGTGGAGGGCGCAGTAAGGGCCGCTTTTTGCACAGTGATTGATCCCGGAGCGTGGGGACAAGGTTAGGGTGCGTGGGCTGAGTGCTCCCTTGCGTATTGGGCGTGAGTTGGAACCAATCCGGAATCAAATTCCGGAGTAAACCACGGTTGTTTGGCTTAACTTCCCACCAAGCCAGCTATAAATACTAGGTTTATCTATAAAATTAAGGATTCAAGAGTAGTATCGTGACATACCATATCTGCACTCTGTGGAGAGAATATATGGATATCTTTGGCTACAAGCCAAAGTATTTATTTCCCCACCGAGTGAATGGCAGATTGACAGATGCGGGGCTGCAGCTAAAATGCAACTGCAACCATGAGCGATAGTAGTAAGTCCATGCACGCTAGGATCAGCTGACACGATGGTTATTCCGCATGCGTCCAACCATCCGCATGACTGTAGATCCTATGCGTGGCTCCATACAATACACGGACCCTGCTGTGCTGGTCAAGCCCCTGGTGTCGCTAAATGCAGAGTCATAAGAACCCTGCCTGTCCCCAATAGCAAGGCATACGGTTCGCTGTCCATCACTCGCTATTACTACAACTCCAACCGCATTTTGACTTCACCTTCCCTTTAAAAATTATATATAATGAGCGATAGCAAAGGCAACTCCGTTCAAAGGCCATCTGCAACGAAACTAGTTCCCGTCGCCCACTCATCAGAAGCATGCGAATTTCTGATCGCCAAGCCCAGCAGGCCGCACTGCACCGCGTACTTGTGGGATACTTGGGACAAATCACTAGAGGAACGGCGATTTTTATTTAAGCTTGATGCGGCTATCCTCACTATAGCCTCATTGGGGTACTTTATAAAGAATTTGGATCAAATTAACATCAATAATGCGTTTGTTTCTGGCATGAAAGAAGACTTGGGTCTCAACGGAAACGAACTCAATTATATGCAAACTTGCTGGACAATAGGTTATATTATTGGGCAAATTCCAAGGCAAGTGCGGAATCAAGCAGTCACTAAAGCAAAAAAAAAAAAAAAAAAAAAAAAAAAAAAAAAAAAAAAAAAAAAAAAAAAAAAAAAAATAAGAAAAAAAAAGCAATGAAAATATAGCAAATGGAATGCTTGGCAAGCGACTCCCCAAAACACATAGTATTCGCATTAACCATGGCATCATTTTATAGTACTCTTCTGTTGACGCGTATTCGACCTTCATTATGGATTCCTTCATGTGAAGTGGCCTGGTCCGTCTTGACTATTCTCATGGCCAAGTGCAGCAACGTGCAACAAATATACGTGTTACGGTTCTTCATCGGCCTCGCAGAGAGTACGTTTTACCCAGGTATGCAGTATGTCATTGGGTCTTGGTATCAAAAGGGCGAGCTTGGCAAGCGATCATGCATATTCCATGCAAGCAGTGCCGTAGGAAGCATGTTCTCCGGCTACCTCATGGCCGCCGTCTACCATTTCGACGGTGTGCATGGGTTCAAAGGTTGGCAGTGGTTGTTTATTATAAACACGATTATCTCACTACCGATTGCGCTTTCCGGCTTCCTTTTTCTACCTGACGTGCCGGAGATCACGCGGGCTTGGTATTTGACGCCCGATGAAATTGTCCTGGCGCAGACACGCATGCAAGCCGACGGTCGTGCGAACCGCGCACCATACACTAGAAAGAAAATTAAGAAAATCTTTTCGAGTTGGCATATCTACCTCTTGACCTTGTTGTACATCTTATACATGAATGGTGGTGGAGTATCGGGGCAGCCAGCGTTTGCTATTTGGCTAAAGCAGCAAGGCTACAGTATAACGCAGATCAATACGTATCCGACCTTAACGACAGCTGTCCAGATCGTCACCACGATGACCTACGCATGGACGTCGGATACCATCTTGCACGGCGAGCGATGGCCGCCAATCATCTTCTCGGGTGTTATGATAATCATCGTCAACACGAGTCTGACGATATGGAATATTCCGACTGGCTGGAAATGGGCTTGTTTCATACTAGCCGGCTGTTCTAGTGGAATTAGCGGATTGATATATGCGTGGATGCACGAGATTTGCGCTGAAGACAACGAGGAGAGAGCCTTAGTGGCGGGCTCAATGAACGAGATGGCGAACGTGGTCCAAGCATGGCTTCCCCTGCTGATTTGGCAGCAAGTCGAGGCGCCGGAGTATCCAAAAGGGTATTCGGCGTCAATAGGGATTGCGGTAGCCATGATGGCCACGGCAATGGCTATTAGACATTTGCAAAGAAAGGAAACAACTGCGCGGCAATTGCGTCTACCCGAGACTGAATCAGACCATCAGCGTCAAGAGTTGCCGCTGGAACAAAGGTTACTTATTAGCTTGTAGCTGTTCAATGGGCCATCGGAACGACACAAAAGTCATATAACCAAGATACATACGACTGAATGATGGAAGAGTAGGTATAAAGGATCATTACATGCATCAGAAATGAGTCAATCATTTCGAGGTCGTTGCTAGCGGCATCATTATGTGACTTATTACAAGATAATATGTTGACCATATTTTGACTCGATTCTTGGCTTGAATCTTGCTGTGCGCTTTGCTTTGTGCCTCTCCTTTTGCGGGATCTCCTTGAGAGCTCTGACTACCATCTACCAGTGATCGGGGTGCTGTGGGGTTTCCCTTTACGAGGAATATCCGCGTAGATTTGAAGTCAAACACCGGCGGTAGAATGAATCCTGAGTTCTAGAACCTCAGACCGACAAAGCGAAGCACTGCCCGGGTTCTTTTGTGAGCTGCTGGGCTCATAGCCTGCCAAATAGCCATCTGGAAAGAAATCGATGATTGTTCAAGTTGAAAGGTTCTAGCTACATGACTATCTAGGCTCTATTCGTAGACCAGCGATCCAACAATGATAATAGTATTTGTAGCACCAGAAACGTTGCCGACAATGTATCTCGCAGAATTACCGACCAACTTATTTTATTTATATTGAAGATTGAGTGTAGATTAGAACTGGAGCCGTTATTCCGTATACGGTTGAAGAGAACAGTGCGAGCCACGTAAGTGATAGTACTAGAGAGCGACCAGAGCGTGCCCACTGAGCAGTCAGTGAGTGACCGCAGAGTGCACATGGAACAACTACTCACGTGTTGCTCTCATAAAAGCAGCGGCACCTGAATCGGGTAATAGAACCCAACTCGCCGCAAAACATTTCACGTATGTGTAGCGGAGAATATAAGCGAAGTTTGACGGGATTGCGATTGAGCGCCGCCATGTACGTTGAGAAGGCGCAGAGGCGCACGAAAACAAGACCATGGGAACTATAAACACAATCTACGTCATTGAGCCCCAAAAGTCATTCTAAACTCGGTCATCTTAAGACTTTACTGTAGTAGGATGTGTAATCTCTTTGGTTTCATTTCTTTAGACCCTCATCAATGACAAAAGCAACAACAGAAACAGAACGATGGACGCAATCACAGACGGTAACGGCAGAAAACATTTCATGCCCATCACACATGTATATGACCCTGTACTGGATAGTAAAACTTCCTTCGATCCAAACATATTCAAATTTCTCCAAGGTCTAGACGAAGGAGTCGGCGGACCCGGATGTTATTCGAATTCTATTGTCTTGTACCCTTCCGAATTGTCGATATCCTGGCCCAGCTACTTGCCCTGCTGTCGACAGAGCAAGCACTGGAAAATAGCAGAAAGCATGACCAAGGAACTCCTGGATACTATATACGAAGACTCGCGTCGAGAAGCTCAAGATAATGGAGCAATGCCTCCGGAGCTACAAGACACATCGTCGGAAGTTAAGATGCGCAAAGAGGTAGAGCTCATGGCGACCTCAGTTAAATCTGCTGCGTACATGTATCCAAGTGCGAGTCCAGTACGTGCGGGCATGTTAAGTCAGTCTATGTTGCTTGTTTTTCTGCATGATGGTGAGTGTCATAGTCATACCTTTCGCTCCGTCGTGTATTTGGTTTTAACATTCGAATAAATAGATGTTGTGGAGAGCTCTCCGTTGGATGCTGTAAGTCGGATTTCCATCTTTGATTACATCTTCGTATTCAAGTTAATCTTAGGGATCTACAATCACCGACGCCATTTTCACTACATATGAGCCGAAGACTGGCACCCCACAGAGGCGTCACGAACCGCTGTGCGGTTTCTTGACAGCAATCATTGAGGAAGACCCGAGCCTGGGAAGGAGACTCCTCTCCAGCATAGTCACCTGGCTCAATCATACCAAGGGCTACCAATCGATGTCGGCAACAGTATTTGAGTCGCTCAGAAACTATCTAGATTTTAGATCGGATGATATTGCACGAGAGTACGTAAACCCGTAATATGTCCACTCAGACAGAGGATCTAGAGTTGCAAATAACCCCGGCCAGATTTATCATAACGCAAGTTATGTTTGCTTGCAACATCCACCTCTCCGAGACTGAGATACAAGTATTCAACAATTTGATTCGGATACATGTCACCCACCTCTCTCTCACCAATGACCTTTACTCCTTTGAAAGGGAGAATAAAGAGCACGAGCGAACCGGTGGACTGATCATCAACGCGATCGAGGTGATACGCCATGTATACCAAGTCTCTCTGGTAACGGCGAAGCAGCTTACCCGGGGATTCATTCTGGACACCGAGCGTGCGTTTTCCGGGGAGTTTAAGAAGCTAATATCGTCGGGGCTCTTGAATAATGGCCAGATCCGGTTTGCGAAGGCATTGGCTGAATGTCTTGCTGGGCAGATCTTCTACTCGATAACATCTGGTCGTTATGGAGGTGATAAGGCTGTGAGGGCGATTTCTGCTTGAGTTGCATGCTCATCCATGGCGCTAAGTTCTGGCACACCACGAGGCCAGTCATTGTATTCACGATGCTACTTCATCAACCTGTGGATACTCTAGGAGTAGGGCTGAACGGCCGGGGTGCAGATGAAAGACTTTCATTTGGTCCGAAATTGATAATGCTGGTATATAGATTGTTTTTTAAGAATATTTGAAGACACATGTTATGATATCACCCCTGTCTACTACTAACCATCTCAGTACCACAAAACCTTGTCCTATATGAACGCATACCTATACCGTAACCCAGATTGACTTCCGGCAGGCGAACCTAAACGAACAGCCGGGCTGCCTGAACATCATAATGAACTCAATTATACCTACCGATCCATCCATGACGTCAGTTCCATTCCGGTATAAATATATCGCCGTTTCCTGCTCACAAGAAAATAAATAAAGAACCAACATCACCAAGAAATAGTACGACTCCCTAGAATAGCAATCACAATGGTCAAAGACAAGAACACCGTCATCGAGTACTTTGCCCTGCCGGCCCTGCCGAGTCTGCCCTAATCCTAAGCTAACCCACAACCAGGGAATTCAACGACCTGGTCAATATGACCCCCAACGAACTCCGCGACTGGCTCAAAGAGGAACAGTCTCAGTCTTCCGGATGGAGTGGTGAATCAGGAGAGACAATCGGACATGAAAGGTCTCATCTACTCTGACCCCTTTTGCATGCTTTGAACGAAAGCTAACTAAGCACAGCGGTCGCAAGATCGTCGACATTCTAGAGCACAATCCATCCAAGGATCCAGAAGGATATACCGACCAGGACATCGATCACATGCGGCGGGTAGTGTCGTATTGTAAGCGGCATTTGGCGCAGGAAGAGAAAGCCAAGCAGGATCCGAACAGTAAGAGCCATCGGTCGTTGAAGAACTGGGGACACGATCCATTTAAGTCCTGATTCTAGACGTGCACATATGTAACACGCAGTGATCGGTATGTACGCTATGTACGCTATGTATGCGATATACGTAGAATAATTGTTACGTCTATATTCATTATCAAATTACTATCTTTTACACCATCTTGATAGACTCGTATTCCTCCCTCCATTAGAACCATTACTTTACCTGAATACACCTCGGATCTAATTCAAGGCACACATCTGGCCAGGTGTTAAAGAAGATCTGCACGATAAGGCTCCCTTCTGCAATTGTAGGGAATAGAGAGTATAGTGTTGCCTATCGTACTTTACAACACTCTCGACTCGGCGGGATCGAATGCCAGCAGCTCCACTCGACGGCGCACGTTAGCAGCCGTTAGACCCATGGGGGCCAAACCTTCTGGAGACCCATTGGCGCCCGCCGTCCCAACTACTGCATATCCGATTGAATTGCGTAATTCCATTTGCTTGACGGGCAGACCAATGTTACGCTAGGCTGTATAGAGGCACGGACGTGCATTAGGTAGTATAAAATAGTGGATTTTACGAGGAATTGACCAACTGCATTGCATGGCATGACCTGAGCAGTCTAGCGACGCATAGGAACTACTGAGAACCACATGGCAGCAACTCTAGCCTCGCCAATCCTTTATTTCTTTTTTTATTTTATTTTCTCTCACCTTACATTCTTCACTGCCTATGTCGAATACCTGCTCGTAGGTCAAAAACACAAAAAAAATATATAACCCAACTGCCTGACCCACGTAACCAAACACGGGATGTATCCGGGTAGATCAACGATCAACAACACCCTAGGTTGTAACACTGCCACTAGCAAAACGGGGCCGGCTCTGGCTTAACTTTTTCCAACCCACAACCAACAAGTGAACAGTTGTCAGTTCCGAGTCATGTTACAGCCTCGCGTATTTCACGGCTTTCTACTCGCCAATTTATATAGCCATCCCCCTATATAATGGGACCAATACCCCTGACCCCAGATCCACCCCTACCCATATCTCCATCCCCATTAACCCAAAATGCCTTCAAATGAAGCCTCCGTATCCAATGGCGAAGCTCAGAACGACTGGAAAGTCGATCCCTCCGTTTTTGCCTTCACTCCTCGAAAGTTGCGCGTGGTGTGTATTGGAGCAGGTATCTCTGGCTTAAACATTGCGTATAAGCTCAAGCACGAGAGGCCCCTGGATTTCGTTGATCTCACTATCTACGAGAAGAACCCGGAGGTTGGTGGGACGTGGTTTGAGAATATTTACCCTGGGGTGGCGTGGTGAGTGGTCTAACTTGGTTTGCTGTGTATATAGATGAATGTATACTGACGATGCTAGTGATATTCCTATTCGTGAGTTGAGATTCGTATTCTGAATGGTCTGGATCACAATAAGGTTGACTTGAAAAAGACAGTTATCAGTTCCCGTTTGCGCCTAATCCCGCCTGGTCTAGCTACTATGCCAGTGGAAAGGAGATCCAGGAGTATATTGTCAATACTGCTGACAAGTACGACCTGAAGGAAAAGATCAAGTTCAATACGAAGCTCGTCAAGGCGATTTGGAGCGAGACGCAGGGGAAATGGAAACTCCAATTGCAACAGGGTGAACTCGTTCTAGAAGACGAGGCGGATATTATGCTAGATGGGAGTGGTGTTCTCAAGTAAGTCTTCGTCTACTTCTTCCATGAAGATAATCTAACGATACCAGTCAGTGGAAATGGCCCGATATCGAGGGGCTGGATACGTTTAAGGGGAAGCTACTTCATACTGCTCACTGGTAGGTTCAATTCTATATCCAAAGTAGTGTGGTACAATAGCTCACGTCGACAGGGATCCGGCATACAACTACGAGGGAAAGAAAATCGCAGTCATCGGCAACGGCTCATCGGGAATCCAGGTGATTCCAGCTCTCCAGCGCAAAGCCGCCAAGCTGGTCAATTATATTCGCCATGCAACTTGGATTACCCCCAATCTCTGTGGTCAATTAACGAGGGATGGGATGGGCACGAACTTCCAATACACAGAAGAGGAAAAACAGCGATTTCAGGATAATCCAGAAGAGTTTCTGGAGTACAGGAAATCTATTGAGGGGTCGTATGGCTCTCCATCTACTCGTTAACTGATCATCCGGCTAACATAAGATTGACTGCAGTGTGAATAGCGTATATAGCATAATGATCTCAGGTTCTGAGGAAAACAAGGCCATGCACGATTGGGTACAGGGGGTGATGCGAAGCCGCTTATCCAAGAACCCCGAGCTGGTTAAGACGCTGATACCAACGTACGAAATTGGATGTCGACGTGTTAGTCCCGGCGAAGGCTATCTGGAAGCCATCCAGGAGGACAACGCTAGGATAACGTTGAGTAGAATTAATCGTATTACGCCAAACGGTATCGAGACAGACGAAAGAGAAGAAGAATTTGACTTGATTGTCTGCGCCACGGGTTTCAACAACTCATTCATTCCGCCCTGGGAGTTAGTCGGGCGCGACGGTCGCCGCCTCGCTGAGGAATGGAAGGACACGCCAGAAGCATACTTTGCAACATGTGCTGCCGGGGTTCCCAACTACTTTATCTTTGGTGGGCCGAACTATCCCGTTGGCCATGGGTCTTTGCCGGCGGCGCTTTATTTCTCGGCTGGCTATATGGTGGACTGGATTGAGAAGATTGCCACAGAGGATATTAAGTAGGTTTTCGTTTTCATTTCTACTATATTCTTGGCGAAACTAATATCTTCCAGATCGGTCGTCGTGAAAGACTCCGTGGTCCATGCTTATAATAAATTCGCTCAGGAAACCCTGAGCCGCTCTGTCTGGTCCAAGGGCTGCAGCGCCTGGTACAGTAAAAGGAACGAAGGAGCCGACAATACTGTCACTGCCATGTATCCGGGAAGTGTCCTTCATTTCCAAGGTATGTCATCCTTCTCAACACCCATCAGTCATGCTGACAGTCTTTATAGCATGCATGGAAAAGCTTCGCCCTGAGGACTTTGAGATCCAATATAATACCTCCAACCCTTTCAGATTCATGGGTAATGGACAGTTGGCATTTGAGAAAAAGGAGGGTGCTGATCTGGCTTACTATTTAAAGTAGTCCAGGCACATAAATTTGCATTAGATATCATGATATCGTATGGATGGTACGCTGGTCATGTACTGACTAGGTCTATACCATGGTAGTTATGAAATGAATGTTCCTTTTCTAAATTCTATTCTGACCTCTACGTACTGTGCGAAATAAGCGGTATTTATCAGAGCGTCATTTGGGCAATAATCTATAGTAATCACTGAATTAAGCGAGTAGAGTATATCAACAAGAAATGAGCCCGAAAGACAATAGCCGCCACATAATTCTCAAAAAGCCAACCAGAATGCAAATAACCAACCTAAATCAAAAGGCCTCCAACCAGGTCATGATCACTTTACCCATGAGCTGTGAAATCAACCCAGAGCCCTCCCACACCTCCGGATCTGCTTATATACAAGCTCTTTCTCAAGATAGTCCTGAGTCGCATCAACAATAGTCTCCATCTCTTCAATACTATCCAAATCAATCTCTCCCAGCCCATTGGGAACATCAAACCGGAACAGCCGATTCTCATCATCTAGCTCGGTATGCTCCTGAATGAACCGATTCGTATCGATTTCCGGGTCCACAACATCCACATCAGCCGCTTTGACCAAACCGAACAATCGTCTGCGAGACCGTTTGATCGATGGCTCCCCAGTTCCAATGGAAACCATGCATTTTAGTTGATTCTCCAAGGCCCCTGCCGGCCAAACGCCTCTCGCTTCGATCCATACTTCTCTCATCGGGTTATTAGCTTCCAAACTACTATCGTGAAATCGCCGTCCGCTAGGGCCGATCTTAACGGAGTCGAAAAGCGGTGCGTGAGCAAAAGAAGCGGCCCCAGCTTCATAGACCTTTGCGGACTTGAACAGCTCATTCGAGCAGTATTTGCTGGGGTAGCTTGTCATGTGGACCAGTCTCCGATTAGTATCGTCGGTGGCGCAGACAAATCTAACTCATGGAATTAGTCCAGATGCTACCTCACCAGAGCGACACCCCATAACCAAGGAAAACGAAGCATCGCAAGCGACTCCAAGATAGAAAAAGGGTTACTTACACCTTACACCCGGCGTCCTCCCTCAACAGAGCATCCTTCTCATAACTCAGCTCCCGCAAGATCTTTCGTAACGCCATCTCCACCTTCTTGATGTCGTATTTCGCGCGACTGCGCAGATTACTACCGATTGGTAGGAGTCTCTTCTGAGAGAACACATTTTGCGATAGTAGCTTGTAAGCATGAATGCACTGATCAATGTCCATTTCTAGGCGCCCGAGCATGATCGCTATTAATCTGCAACATGGTGAGTACTCATCTATTGTCCGGCCACACAGCCTTGAACGATGAACGAACCCACCCGATCCGGTGCCTCCTATCAAATCGAAATAATCACATGGTTTGGGGGGATTCTCGCGGTCTATGGATTCCATGATCTCTTTGAGGATAATAAGCGAAGAGAGACCTCGCACGCCTCCGCCGTCTAGGCTTAGGAGGTTGATGTTTCGGCCTGACATGGGAGGTGGATTTGCTCTTTCTTTATCACAGCTTTGGCCAGGAATCAGATAATAATGCAGATACCTATTCAATAAGGTAAAATAATAATAATTAAAAAAAGGGACGAAAAGAGAGTCAGCCCCTCTTTTTATCACTCGTCGAGAGCTACGTCTTCCATGCAGACAGCCGTATCACAAACAGGGGGGAGCCAGTAAAGTCAAGAATAAAAGCCTCACGGCAAATCCCACGAGCAGAAAAAAAGAAGCAGCACTACGCAGGCAGAAATAGGGCACCAGTGACCAACAGCGCTCGAATGCTTGAAACCCAGTGTGTTTGACCGCTAACAAAAAAATTGTTGGGGCCGCATTATCTGCACTGGAAATCGCCCCGCACTTTGGGCATATCAGATTGGCAAGATCCCGGTGTGCCTGTCTCTGATCACCCTTCTGATAGGTGAGGTGAGCTCTCCTCAGGTTCAGGTGGTGACACATCAGAGAAGGTTTCAAGCGAGTGGTGTTGAGTGGAGCGCATGGCAGCCACGTAGTCGGCGCTTACCCGCGATATCGGATGGAATTGCCCCAGTTCATTGGCGCAATTCCTGCAGGCGGGTTTGTAACGGCCGGAGCATAGCCACATCATTCTTGAAATGACGCATGACTGATTTCCTTAGTGTCGTGTTTCGCTCGGGAAAGGGCTGAGGTTCGTGGTGTCTGACTTATGGATTGGGGTTGCACGCTGTCTATGAGTTTGCCTTTTCAGGTCATTTACAAACGAGCTGGGGATGTCGTTATTGAACCTTTCAAGCTGAATGACGTCTTACTTCATATTTCTAGCTACTTTTGCTTGAATAAGATTACAAATAGTCTTTCTTTCATTTTCTTTTTTTTTAAGAAAAACAAAAGTGGCTCAACAGAGGTTGAAAGGATTCACTATACTCTGTGACCGTCTATCTATCCCGTGGCCTCTTTTTGAATGGAGATTAGAAGTATAAGTAGAGAAAATCGTATTATTATAAACAGATTTAATTAGAAGGTGTACAGAATTTAATAATAAGAACGCGACTATCCTGACACCTAACTGCCAGCATAGTATTCGTGATGTTCTGACAAATGGGTTCACGAAGTTCAGAAGGAAGCCATAAAACTCTTTCACCTTTTCAAACATACCCAAGATACTTTAACGGATATTTGAGAGCTTTGTTCGTGTTTCATATGGGCATTACCTGATAAGACATCTAGAACTAAATTGGAACAGCCCTCAAAGCTTTGTTGCTCCGAGCCGCCCTGGGCATCCCAGAGCTTGATGCTTGTGTTTCGCTTGACGAGAGTTTATCTTAGTTTCTTAAAGAACCAAAACGGATACAGACAGCTCTCATGATACTATGGGCTGCGACGGCTCCGTCTCCACATCATCTAAGCCTTCTACAGCCCAGCATGTGGTAGCATAACGAAATTCCTCTTCACAAGTACCAAGAATAAAAGGTATCAAAACGTATCATGAAGTTCCTCCACCTGCGTAACATCTTCAACAAATGTGGCGCCATACTCTCTCATAATCTCTATCTTCTCCTCCATATTCATCGCGAAACTTATTCTCCCAAAATTATCTGGTAATTGCTCGGTACTTTCAAATCTTAGTACCCACACACCCACTCCATCTGCCGGCCAACCGTATACTATGACCTTCTCTTCTTCCTTTGTGCTCTCCCTAAAGCCCAGCAGTACTGAAACCCGACTCTTCTTACTCGGCCAGAACGTTGCACCAGTCCGTCGCATAAGATTACAGAATCTATCTTCTTCGTCCGCATTTGGTGAGCGCTGCAATATATGAGAGCGCGGAAGCGACAGAAAAAGCATATCGAGAAGATCAGCCTCTTTGATAAGAACCCCGCCAGTAGAGGGGTAGCCATAGACTATACATCCCCGGGTGTCGAAGAGAGTCCGGTCAGTCACCGATTCAGCAGGGTCTGGGGGCCATGAGACGTCCCAGTCATATGGGTCGTGCCAGTCTTGTGGTTCGTCTATTTGTCGACGAAAAAGGGGGAAACGGTCCACATCGATGGGGAGGAAGCGGCCTATGGTCTGTTGGCAGATATTTGATAAAAGGTTGAGGGTGATGGCGACAAGCATGTTGCTACTAAGCTCCTTAGTAAAATATCTTCAGAGCTTAGTAGGTTAACAAGCTATAAAATTAGAAGTATGAGAAAAATAATGACTATTTAGGGTTCTCTATAAGAATATCTTCAGATTAGAATCAAATGAATTACTGAAAGATCTAAATCCTCTATATGATTGGACTTTATATAGGATTACATTAGGCAGCTATTTAGATGTCCGACACTGCGCACTCGGCGGGATAATTGTTGACTAGTAAGGCAACCGCCGTTACAACTAGCTATATTTACTAGTAATAAGACCTAAATACTGAATTAGGACAAATCTAGTGTAGGCTATAAACTATTAAAATAGTATCCGCCTGGCAGAAAGATTACATTCTTCTAAATACCACGGATAACCGTGTTATTTCTGTTGTTACCTAGAATTGCTCCGTATATACTCAACCAACGCACGTGACACAAAATACTTGATGTCATTTCCTACACTATCCTCATACCGTACAATTACTAATATTCCCTTCCAAGGTCATGGAGGAGTATAAGTTAATACCCAGCCAAACCCAGTCAAGGGAGAGTATAGCCACCATCAATAACAATATTCGCACCAGTCATGTAGCTCGACGCATCAGAAGCGCAGAATACATACGCCTATCAACCACATCAGCAAATCACATCCGTGCCCAGCGGGTCATTACTTACACCCTTAAGTTCATAAGCCTCAGCCATCCGTTTAGCCGGAATCATATCGAACCACTTCTCCCGCCACTCTTTGGGATGAATATCCAGAATATCCGTAGCAATAAATCCAGGCGAGATACAGTTCACACGACAGAAATCCACCCATTCAACAGACAGACACTTAGCCATCTGAACAACCGCAGCCTTCGAGGCATTATACTACTATCATTAGCCCAGCACAACTTCCCACCGAAGCCCACTTACGGCAGCTTGCTTCTGAGGCACATTCACCAAAGTCGCACTAACAGACGCCGTGAAAATAACATTTCCGTATCCCTGCTCCTTGAAGATTCGGGCCGCAGCTTGGGCGGTATAGAATGCACCGTCCAAGTTAACCTTGGTAATATTGTGCCATTGTTCAGTAGTGTAGTCCTCTGCAGGAACATTGGAGCAGATTCCTGAATTTGCGACAATGATATCTAGCTTGCCGAAGTCAGCGGTGATTTGCTTGATTGCCTTTTCGATGTCTTCTTGGTTCGCCACGTCGGCTTGATATGCGGTCGCTTTGACGTTGTGCTTGGCTGCTATTTCTGTCGCAAGTGACTCGGCTGTCTTGGATGAATTATAGATCAGGGCGACCTATTCCGTAGCTTAGTAGCGTGTCCATATTGACAAACTGAGGGGTCGAGGTTTACATCAGCGCCTGCTTCTGCTAATGCTATTGAGACTTCTAAGCCAATACCGCGGGCACCACCTGAGGACATACAGGGTAAGTTACTGAACGGACGTGAGATCGTAGTACTGCATAAATCGAAACCCACCAGTCACAGCTGCGACTTTGCCTGAAAGGTCAAAGGCCTTGAGCACGTGTTTGTTTTCTGGCTGTGCAAGAACCATTTTGATTTGAATATATTGAGTATGCCACAGTATACAGGTATAGGATGAGGGTAAACACTGAATGAGGCTGTTATCTATGAATGCCTTGACATGGCTTCGGGCAACCCCGCAGATACTCAAATCCCCGCATCGGAGATGCTCCGGAATGTCAAGTACCACCAAATAATCAATATATAATAGACCAGGATGGTGAAAAGAGATAGTAATAAGCTTGAAGTTGTCTTTAAGTGGAAACCACCCCCTCCCGCCTGACTATATAAGACTCAGGCTAACTGAGTTGAGGAAATCATGCACCTACACAAATTATAGAAAAAAGTGCGACAGAAACTTCGCTATCATGAATAATCTCCAAGTGATGAGGAAGAAAAGAAAAACAAATAACGTCAAGGGAAAGAAAGCTCTGTCTGAAGTTTCTTATGGTCGCCTAATTTAATCTACAAGCAGAATCGACGATCATCTTTCACTCCTTTGGCTGTTGCGAATATTCCAATCTTCTTTAACTGGCTAAGATCAAGTCTCATCATCTGCATGTATATCAAACTTCAAACTAAGCCAATACTGCAGGCAATAATCGCATGGCTATTTCCGAAGTTAATTCCGACCCTCGTGTATGATTTTAGGTCAAGCTGCTTCTCCACTCCCCCAGTAGTCCTAAGTTCAACCTATTTCCAACCCACAAACCCCAACACAAGTAAACCGTTACTACTACCAGTTTACATCCCCCCCCCAAATAATAGAAAAAACTAAATTCGTATCAACGCCGGCTCATGCCTCCACCCATCCGCCCGCACCTCATACCCACCCGTCACACCAACCACGGTCTCGCATCGCCTGAACCCTACAATTGGCCGTCGGACCCTCACCTCCGTACCATCCGGATTCTTTCTAGTGAACTGGTAATAGGTCTCTGGATCCAGGAGCAGTGTCAGCACCTGGGCCACGGCATAGGCGCTCAGCAGGATATGGCTCATGGTAGTGTGCGGTCCGTATATGAAGACCATTGCGACCCAGGATGTTCCGAGCAGAGACGTCGCAATCGAACAAGGCGTTTTTGGGTATGGACAAGTGTAGTATGTTTGTGGCATTGTGGGGCCTTTGTTGATTGCTGTGGGGGGACGGTTGATTCTATTGTTTGCTTGCGTGTAATGTTGGTTTGAAGGGCCTTGTTGGGGCTTTGTCTGGTATTTTGCTGGTATATCCCTAGTCGTAGGGACTTTTATTCGTATATGCTCCGAAATGGGGAACTGGGGGAAGTTTGATGGATGTCATTGGGAACAGGAGGTGCTGAAGGAATCATGTGAGATGACTTAAGCATTGGACACTAACGCAGCGCGAAGGATTTAGTATAGTGAACATTCTCCTAGTACCACGATATGTATCTGGGATTCCTTATGGGCAATGATCTCATCTATTACAGTGCCCTCAATCTAATCCGAGGAATAGCCACCAAGCCGAATCTTCAAGGTTACCAACTGCATGACGACTTCGGTTTTCCTATAACATACAGCAGACTAATAGAGCTTCCAGACAATGTAAAATATTACCAACTTTACAAACACCAATATACTATATTTAGCCAATTCTATCTATTTATTAAGTTCTACTATAATATCTACTAATAATAGTAGAGTTTTTATTCGGAATATCAACTAGTCTGGATCCAGAAATATATACTGCTTTTATCTTAATTCTGACCAGGTTCCCCGCTAGACCCGCCCCGAACCCGGTGATTTCTGGGGAAGGTCCAAAGGTCAAGCCCACTCTGGTTCTGGGCTTTAGAAAGACTACGCGCTTATGAATCTGGTTTCCTTTGTCCTGGTTCATTTTACATTTGATGCTGCTAAACAGAGGTTCTGTTTACGAGCTTCTCAGGATCGTCAAGTGGGTTACTGGCCACTTTCTAGCTGTCGGCGGGCCCGACAGCACTCACGCATAGCAGCCTGAGATTTACTGTAGCCAGAGGACCCCGTTGGTTGTGTTGATTACGGATTGATTGAGGCAATGCAAATCTACTCCCAAATACCTATTTTCGTTTTCCAGTGATCACAGGCTTGGCGGCATTATGGTGGCTTTATTTCATGGCAATGTCGTAGAGGGAAGCCCCGGCAGGCTAATTGTTGGTTGGTTAAACTAAATAAATCTATCACCTCGAAAGCTAGTGGCCACTGTAAAGAACGAGTTAAAAGGCTGGTACACCACTTAGCCTACACCGCAATCGGACGGCTTCGATCGATCCACATATAGCCTCGCATTGCCGTCCTATCAGTCGGCCCTTTCATACCTCGATGCATATGTCATGTAGATACATTCCACCCAGGCTTCATGGTCTAAAGGTAACAACGACACTCCGTATCGCGCTCATTATCCATATATTTCTACCATGTTATTAGGCTTCCTCTCTTTCACAGTTGCATCCTGCCTGAACAGCTGTGCTGTTATATCTCCGGCTCGCACCCATAACGAGATATCACGGCTTGACTCCAAGACTCGGGAGATAAATATTCCGGACATTCTATGCCCGTTCGTAGCTACAGATTGCTCTCAAAAAATCGATTCTTGTACTTACCTAGTGCTTTTGAATGCTTGCAATAATAGGAAAGAAAATAGAAAGACTAAATTCACCAGACTCTCGACTGCTCAACTAAAAATGGCATCTTGCCTGAAACAGTGACCCTATTTTCCGCCTTCCCTCCCGGCGCAACTCCACGCAGGCGGGCATTGGCATACCAGTCAACAGACCTGCCCTTAACATATGAACTCGACGCCCGATCCATATCAGCCGGCCCTGACAGAATGGTAGATGTTGTCCATCCTGAATCTGGAACTGTTTGATCTACATGCACGGCTAGTCTCCAACTTTATACTCTCTGTTTCACTAACCCGGCATTCTGACGGAATTCTCCTAATCTCTCAAGCTGAAACGGACCTCAACACGGAAAGCCATTATCATAGGTGGCCCTATTAAACGGCGGCCTTCCGACGGCGAGAGGCGCGGCCGAGAACTACATATACGCCTTGTCTGAAATGTCCACAGCCACATTCCTGAAACCTGGTCATCATAATGAGCCAGCTGTTAACCTTCATCATTCTTGCTCTTCAACATTACCACGCTATAGTAGATTGGCTGGGCTGGTTGGCAGAACGGCGGCAGATGGGCACGCCGGTTGTTTTCCTGCCCCTTCTGGGTGTTGTGGCAAAACTTTTCATTTCTTCTTTTTTTTTTTTTTTTTTTTTTGCCAAGTAATACTAAGTTTGTGCTGGGGAGCATGATTATGTTCTATACCATTTCCCCAATTATAGCAGGCGACTGTGAGGCTCATCTTGTTCAGGTTATTGGGGTGGCCCAGAGTGCTTTCAAGGACAAGGCGAGTTTGATGTAAGGAAATGATTGAGGGACGTTCCCTCCTTATTGAACCCCAAATTCCAAGGTTTAAGCTCGTAATTAGAGTAGATGATTCTGTCTATGAATGTACACGCAGTCATTGCCTAATCTAGAATCTCTTCTGCCACCTGATTCCCGCTGAATGTACTTTATAATCTATAGAGTCGACACACTACAGTATATTTTATAACAATCCCTGCCATCACCCTTTGCAGAGCCATTGATACGGTATCAGAATAAGAACTATTATTTCAATATTATGGGAAATAATGATGAAGCCTTACATATTATGGTTACAGACTTGTCGAGAGCGGACCGACAAGGCAGAATCTTATAGGATGACCTGATACGGAGTACTGAATAAATAACTAACTCTCCCATAGTTACGTCATAGGCGCATTATTGTATGTCGTAGAACTGAAGAGCACTTTCAGCACGCGCATGAAGGGTGGTGTTCATCTTTTGTTGGCCATCATAGCTGGGTGAAGACGCTATACTAGCGTCCAAACATCTATTCTCATTCTCCGCGTCCATGATCTGGGGCCAGAAGTTTCAGATAGCAACCCAGTCAACCGCCACACATAGTCAATGCAAGAAGCGCACTCTCGAAATTCTCATCACCCTCACTTTCGCCTTGTCGAATTACCTGATCATCCTTTACCAACCCATACCCATAGTCATGCTATGAGAAGGGGTGGCAGCATCGACTCGAGAGACTTTGGGAGCCCTCATCTCCTTAATGGGCTAACAAACATCTTAGCTAGGTGGGGTTGGTCGACACCTGAATGCGAAGGCCATTTTGTATCCCGAGCCAGCTCGGTTGATCAAGGGTCTCCAGGATCTGTAACCAGCTTTCCACCCCGAGGAACGTTCCTCAATCACTTCGACTCTGATCAGACACCCGTGACAACTATCACAACGGAAGAGGAATGGCCGGCATCATTCACAGCAGAATACGGGAAATTTAGCAAAGTCATTCATTACGGATCCTCCAGTACCATTCAGTTATATGAAAAGAGGGCTACCGTACCTAAGCTACGCTCGTCATCAGTTGCCTATCCAGAAGATTACATACTGACGAGATCAGGACAGCCATCGAGATCCAAGACGATCAAGGAACTCTATGCAGTCAAGGTATTCCGCCACTGCCACTCCCCGTACCTTCCTCGGAGTCGAAATGGAGCTCCCGAGCTCCGTCACCCCAATATTCTCCCGGTCATCGACATTCTCTACAATGCACGGGGACATCTCTGCCTTGTGATGCCCTACTGCGCCGGTGGCGACTTGCACTCTTTTCTCCTGCAAAGAGGGATGCGAAGACAATATCTACCCACCGACGAGGCGGATTGTTTGCAAATGCAGATAATGGGCGCGATTGCCTACTTACACGAAAACCGCATTGCTCATGGAGATATGAGACCGGAGAAAGTGCTTCTCACGACTCGAGGCGCGGTGAAGGTAGGTGGATTCGGGGAAGATGAAGAGGCGGTTCGCAAGGTGGCTCAATTATCACAACGTGATTGTTCTTCCTGGTCTTGTGCAAGCCTCAGCGGTGGTGCAACTCCAGGCCGGGACTCCACCTTAATTCTATGCATATGCAGAGGGGCCTCAGAGCTGAGTGTCCCATATCTTCCTCCAGAGAGGTCCCATGACCATTCTGGCTCTCGCGGTCAAGGGTATGAACAACAATACAACCCTAACTCTAGAGCGGGCGATATCTGGGCTTGCGGCATAATTTATATGGAACTGCGAACCGGCCAGCGCCCCTGGCACAGCGCCCAGATAGATAATCCCGACAAAAGGTTTTCCGAGTATCTCCGCTATCGTTTGAGGGAAGATGGGTATGGTCCCATCCAGGCTCTTGGAAACGTAAGTTCAATCGAACATGTTGATGTTGCTGCCACACCACTTGACACCTTCAGACCGTGACTCCTGGCGAACACTGAATACGGCCAAGCTGACTTGTAGTTTTGGACTTGGAAAGGAGCGATGCCAAAACGTGGTTTATGCCATGTTACATCCAGATTCGGGGTTGCGAATAACTGCGTCGGAGGTTCTGAGATCAGAATGGGCACTTGGGGTTGCGGTTTGTGAGGTTGGCGTCAGGGGATTGTGAGGGCGACGGAGGACGTTCTCCCGCTCTGACCAAGTTATATGGCCTTCCATGGCGAAGGTGTGATCCAGTATCAAGTTCGGTGTGTTTGGATTCCGGATTACTATAAGTTAAGTAGAGTCAAGGGCTTCAGCAAACTATTAAATAGCAAGAACTACCTACCCCTTTCTGGTCGCCTCTGTGACGATCACACTATTATACCATTATTATGGGCGTGTTGTAACTAGCAAGTTCCTGTTTACAACTACGGTGGTGGTTTTCTCATGGCAGTGCGCTGTGCCGTAGGACCTATGATTGGGATTTATCAAAGCTTCACGAAAATTCTCAAAGTTTGGATTAACCATGAAAAGTTCGATAGTAGCGTTCATTCAGATACAAGGAAATATAACTCCGACAGAATATTACAGAGCTCTGAGCTATATAAAAACTCAGGTCTATTCTATATAATATCAATAAATGTAATTTTACTGTATTCTTTTTATATATTAGACTTTAATTTCTGTCTAGATGTCTCTTTTAATATATCTATTATATACTTATCTATAATAATATACACGTGAATATTCATATGTATATATTTCCTGTAAAATAGAAAACTGTCAGTAGAGATATCTTAATACGTAGTACTAACTTTTGGTAAATTTTCTACTTAGCTTTTGTTCTTTCTGTATAGACTATTTAGGGTTTTGGGATAGTTATTGTAATCTATATAATAAACATAATTGAATATTTTGGGGGCGATAAAGGGGTCATTAGAGCTTGTTACTGTCTAGAAGACCTGTCACTAGGTCTATCATCTAACCTGCACTGTCGGCGCTAATACAGAGCAAACCCCGATGAGCGGGGAAACGTTGTCGAACCCATGAATTCTACTATTTCTGACCTGTTGATTCATGCTGCTTGCTATAAGCTGTTACTTGCCACGGCCTGAAGACTATAATTTAGTCTTCCCTTGCGTTGGGGCTAAAATGGTAAACGAGACTCATCAATATCATATACCACTCACTACACAAATCCGTCAAGTTCCATACCTACACATAACTGACAACCCCCACCACTTCTGAAACGGCAAGATACGAAGGAACAATGAAATACTTCTTCTCGCCTTCACCCCATCTAAAGACTCGATCGGATCGCACGGTCCCTCCTCCCAATCTCAACCGCAACACTACCAATAGCGCCGCCCGACTGATTCCAATACCCCGTTTCCACCCAGTAATTGTCGGCAAACCTCTCCACGCGGAACTGGTTGCGCTTCGAGCCCCAAGGACAGTCCCAGTAGACATTGGCGACTCGGACATCCCCATTGTACACATCGAAACTTCCCTCCGTGCCAGACGGCGAGTGTGCTCTGCCACATGCGAAGACGTTAAATGAACCGCCGGGAGCTGCCCTGAGAGCGTTGATGTCTGAGACCGGGATCTCTGCGCTCTTGTTGTTTTCCTTGTGGAATTTGCCCCTGATAATATGATATGTTAGAAACGAGGCCAGTTACGGTCTGGGTAGATTTGGCTTCTTGTACTTACCAGCCAAGCCAGGTGTTTCTGACACTTAGGGTGTCGAAGGACAAGGAGTTGACGACTCGGATGTGGACCCATTGGGCTTCTGCTCTCTCGGCCATGGCTGGAAGCTGTGATTTTGATATAATGGATGAAGTTTCCGAGTCTGCGGGAGAGACAATCCAGAGTATAATGTCCAGAGATTTAACGTGTGGAAGATTTGATTGCCTTTAGTAGAGCTCTGTTCTGAGCGACCGGGTCGATGGGCTTAATATGCGACATTCTGATAGCTGCAGAGGCCTGTAGTTTTTTACCACCGTCATCACCCTCCAGCTCAGGATGCGTAATTATCCACTACTAGCTACGTACGTCTATCTACAAGATTGTGTTCTGAGTTCTGCAGTCTGGATCCAGCTGAACTATCCCATTACGTACAACAGCAGAATTAGCAGGGATTGTGCAGCTTGTGTTGTCCCATTAACAGACACCGAGTTCTCCCTGTACTCTGTCCAGCGAAGAACATCATAGAGAACCAGCCATTAAGCCACAAGAGAAGTCCAACGATGTAACCCTACAGCAATGTGAAATGGGGATAGAAGGTCGAGCTGAAGGGCAAGCTGAGCAGTCACCAATGAGGGGTAGGGCTTTGCGGGATTTTCAACTCATGCATCCACTGACATACATTTGCCACTACAAGGGTCGAGCGGGAATAAAGAGCAGCTCTCCAGTAGTCAAAAGTCAACCAATCAACTTGAAGATAGGAAGGATCCATTCTTCCCCGAATGTTTACTCGATTACTCAAATTGATTGATTGATAAATCTATATCGCATCATCTCCCCGCTTCATGCGGACAGAACCCAGCGCCAGTCCAGTGGGTATTTCGGGGTCACCGATAACAAATCAGATCAGAATTGCGAGTCTACACACCGGCTTGGTTAGCTACATCTAGACACTTTGCATTCTTGACCCGACTGCAATCGTGACCTTTCACGTCCTTTGCTCCACAAATGTTCAGCCATCGTGGTCACCAGAAGTCGTCCACTCCTCACGAAAATGCCGCTCAGAGAGAATTGGAGGTTGCAGTTTGCCACCACAGAGTTGCCGTTCCGAGGGCATACTATCGGAATTTGCTGTGAATGACGTGATATCTGTATAGAGCTGAGGGTTGCTTGTGCACTGGTGCTCCAGCATATAAGAACACCAGCATTTGGTCGGAATGTGCTGAAACTGACCAAGCACTTTCAGAACCGTCTTTCAGACTTCTCATGCTGCACACTTTGGTCAGAGCAATCGCAATCCGATAGTTCAAGATGGCTGAACTTGTTCCATATTTCGACGGGATGCAGCAAGGACAGGGGTACGATCAATTTCTTTCCTTCCTTGCGCTATAATTGTGGTTTTTGCTAACCTACTGGACGATTCATCCTTCCTCTAGATACAATACCTACCTTCAACAAATTGGAGTAGCAGATGCTGTCACTATCACTCCTGGTCAGCCAGAGTCCGATACTTATGACCTCTTCTATTGGAGTGAAAGAATCGATGATTACACGTTCGCACTCCCTGGTCTTCCTTTACAGCGTAATACTGACTGTTTCTTGCCTTGCTGCTCAGCAAACTTGCGCGGTCTTTGGAGATAACCGCTGGCGCTGCTATTTCCGGCTGGAAACAGTCCTCTCAGATCGACGCGAGCTATCTTGACCGGCTCAGGTGAGTGTATCTGTCCTGTCACGATGTCTCGGGAGTTATACTTGGCTAAAGATTGCTCTTATTTGTACGCACAGCTTTGAAAGCAGCACGGTGACATATCAAGTCCAGGTCTCATCCAGGCAACAAGCATCAATTGGAAATTCGTATTCCTTCAATCACATTAACACCAATACCCCGAATAGGTTGTACGGAGATCGTTTTATTGCAGGTAAGATAGTGGATATAGATTATGTCTTCTAGCCATTGGTAGATGCTAATGTGGCCGTGGTCAGATTTCATCCGAGGTGGCCAATACTTTGCCCGCGTCTCCATCTCCTCAGTCAACAAATCGACCAGTGAAGAGATTAGGCAGGCGTAGGTTATGACAGTGAGTCCTCACAGCTTATTCCTACTCTCTAACATTGAAGCTAGGTCTGAGGTTGCTTTCTCGATGTACGGGGTCACCGGGTCCGTCACGAACGAAGTGAGAAGTGCCGTGGAGACAATCAACAAACACTCCCGCGTCACAGTCTGGATCCATACCTCTGGAGGCGGAGGCCGAGCTGGAGTCATCCATGCAGAACCTCACGACGGGGACGACTCACCTCTCTTTGCGATCAAGGAAGGTGCGGATAATTTCTACCAGGAGTTGAGGGAGGGAAAGCATAGATACAGACGATTGTGAGTCCTCGCTGCCCACTTTTCTTCCCTGTTCTAAGAGATATTTACGTTGAGGTAGTGCGCTCCTGTGGAGATACACCAACGTCCCGAATTTCAATAATGTATTTACCCCATTTGACTACACTGTTGCAAACCAGAGGGTAAGATGCTTTTCGCTGGACTCTGCTCACGGCATGAGACTAACTGTACCAGAGCTGGTACCTTTTTGAAGACTTTACGCAGTACGATGCATACCTCGAGCTCGTCAGGAAGAGTATGAAGCCTGCACCAAACCAGACTTATATAGATAAATTACTAATTGTTTATCTATATAATAGTTCCAGTTCAGAAGTTCATCAACGGCAGAGAGCAACAAGCCGAGCTGTACGAGGAAGGGGCGAACATACTTTCGGTGATCCGCACCAAAGTGAGTCAGAGCCCTCACAACGACACCATAGTTATCATTACTGACAGAGGAACAACAGGTCCAAGCGATCAACGAAAATCCGGAAGAAATAGACTCGCCAATCTCATATCCCATCCCAGTGGAATACCGGAAGGTTGTTCTAGTAAGTGAACAATACACCCCATGTACTCTCATTCCTGCGAACTACTAATTAATCTTCAATACAGCTGGCCATAAGAACAGTAACCATGATCGCCCAAGAACGAACCCTCGACAACGGCAGCTTCAGTGACGGTACGCTTCCCCAAGACTTCCCCCAATTAGGTTTGAGCAAGTAGGCTAATGATATAATACTTCTGCAGTTGCACTACCAACTCTCCTAGGAAATGCACGAACTCTCTTCAAGTTCCAGACATACGACTTCGACACAGGATTCGGGAACACGGTTGTTTCCTTTGGAAGACGAGACTCGTCCTTTATATGTCTGAGCGGCCAGCGAGTATCCGACGGATATCGGGAAGAAAGCTTCTTTTGGGCATTTGAAGACCCGGTAGAGGAGGTTTCGGAGCAACAGGTCCATGTGGCCAGTATGCGAACGAGGGATTTGCTCCTTTTGAGTCGGACGGACCCAGGGCCTAGACCATTGTTTACTTTTTATGCGAAGAGTAGTTGGTAGTCTATAGGGCAAATACATGGCACAAAGGCCCACCACCACTAACTCTAACCGCCATGGTTTATATTGCAAGATTATGAGGGAGAAAAGTAAGGCACAATATCTAGTAGAATAACAAATCATCGTGGTAGGCTCGGCACAATGAAGTACCACCGCCTTTTCCATGTATATAGGCTTTTCAAAAGCTCCTTGCTGTTAAAACAATAGTATATCATACACAAGCGATAGTCTAGAAATATCTATCGGAGCTATACCTAGTATATCGGAAGGAAACAATAAAATGTCTCAGGATGCATATTGAAATATATTCACTATTGATAGGTTGCCGATGCTAATTTATATAACAGCAGTTATCTGAAACAACAAGTATCCACTGTAAATAAGATACTGACTATCGCTATCTGTCTATATCCTAAATTATACTATATAAGTTTCAATTATATAGACAGTTCTATTTTCAAATAATTTATCCTTGTTGGACATGATAACTGAAGCATTTCTCTGCACGCGGTTAAACTGCTGTGGCCAATGGTATTGCATAGTCGTATCAAGCATTAAATGATGCTGTTGCAAAACTCAGGCCTGAATTGTCAGGCAACAATTTAATTACTCTGAAGCTTTCTTAGTGGCAGCGGGGTAACGGTACTAACGCTTATTAAGGACCAGACCCCAGCGTTCAATGCTTCAAACAACAATTTAAAGCTCCAAACTTACCCAAAATGCCTCGTTTTAAAGGAAGGAGTGCCAACGCCTGTTATTACTGTCGTAGCCAGAAGGTAAAATGTAGTGGTGGTAGGACTACATCTATCTATGAAAATCCAGTGGTGGCTCTGACAATTTCTGGAAACAGAACATCCTTGCGCCAAATGCCGATCAACCCAAAGAGAGTGCATCTTTGCATCAAAAGAGCGCCTATTAACAGTACCAGAGAGCTACCTACGCAAATTAGAGAAAGAAATTACTAGACTTCGCCCATCGCTGTCAGGGAGTCAGGAACTCTCAGTAGAAGCTGAGCCAGCATCCGACGGCGACTCCCAGAATGACCATTTACTAAATGAACGATTGATCGAAGACTCAACCACAGAACACTTCATATGGAAGCTCAAGGGGGTGCGTTCAGCCCTAACACAGGGAAATGCTCAAGACTCTTCGTTTCCTACAGCTCCAGCGTCGAGCAGAGCCAGTTTGCCACGCGACCTTGATGAGAAAAGTATGGCATCAAGCTACACGTATATTCCACTGGATTATGACAACGCCCGTGAGTGAAATGATTCAATTGAGTGGATCTTGAACATTGGTCTCATGATTTGGCACAGAAACAAAAGTTGTTATCAAGCTTCCCCCACATTCTTACGCTACCTACCTGCTTAGCCAATTTGAAACCTTTATAGGCTCCGACTATCATTGGTTTCGTCACCAACACTTTCGTGCTAGAATGGAGGCAACTTATAATGACCCCCACTCTCCATTAGTAGACAGAACATGGCTGTGCTGCTTTTCCGTGGTCTTAGCTCTTGGGGAGTCATATAATGATAGCGTTGCCCCGTCATTCTCCATTGACGACAGAACGGGCGTCAACCGAAACGATCAAAGCATACCAGATTCTCAGCAACTCACCCCTCCAGGAATTGAGCTATTCAAACAAGGGCTTCTTCTTCTCAGGCCCTCCTATGAGGAGCCTACTGTTGAGCAGGTTGAGGCTCTGAACCTTATTGTGAGTACATAGCTAACTTCATTTTGGAGAAGGGAAAGCATTAAATAATTTCCTATCCAGGCATTCTATTCATATTCTCTTAATAGACGAAAAACAGCATATGCATACGCCGGAATGGCACTTCGTCTCGCCAGTCTCTTGGGACTTTCAAACCCACTCCAGACTCTAACCAACGCGGCGGAAAAAGAGCACAGGAAGCGCGTTTGGTGGACAGCCATCTGCATGGATATGATGACCTGCACAGAGCTTTCCTTGGCACCGGAACGTGGCTTCAATGGCAACAGTCTCGAGTTTCCAGATAACCTCCAATTATCACCCGATGAGATTCGAGACTTCTCCGACCCACAGTATTTTACTGCACAGATCAAACTATGTCGCATTAAATACCGCGTCATCCAGACAATCTCAAACCTCCGCTTGGGAGATACCTATGAGACAAATACTCTCATTAATCCATGCTTGCAGGCCCTACATCAGTGGCGAATGGAGTTTCAACCTTGCTTGGATTTCACCGAGAATGGCCGGTTTTCGGACGCAACATTGGCCCATCCATCTATGCGGACTATTGCATCACTACTTATGCGATACAACCAGGTACGAGATAATATGACTCTTCTATTCAACGGAACGCTTACTTACTACTTTGCATTTAGTGTTTTATTCTCCTTCTCCGTCCTTTATTATTGAAACAACTCTATTCTTTCGTCCGAGATGGAAATCCATCTTACCCAAGCAGTGAACTATCAAGTCTGAATAACGAATGTTTGCGAGCTGCAACTGATAACACGATCATCCAGCATGCCCTTTCCAAATGTCATCGAATCGGTATGTAATCACTATCCATTATGACTTCCTAAAAGCTAAACCGACATGATAAAGCCAAATTCGGATTCTGGGAGTCATTGCACATCTTCTCCAGTCTCACAATCCATGTGATTACTCGGTTCATGACAGAGAAATATTCGGTTGTGTTCAATAGCACCCGGAGCAATGCCCCATTCGGACCTGTGCGAGATCTCCTTCGGGAAATGGCTCGAGTGGGCAACGCCGCATCCAAGGACCACGAACGCATGATTCAAGATGTGGAGGATTTGTTCACGGCTGACTCTGTGGGTGTTGAACTAACGGAAGAGATCGAGGATCTCATCGGGTGGTCTGACTGTGTGGATGGTGGAAATCTGCCCGGGTTTGATTTTCTTGAGCCATTTCCTTCGTTTGCAGGACTCTGAGCGGAAGGAGCAGGTACTGGGTGAACTGTAATTATTTATGTTTACTATTTCGAGGGTATTTTAATTATTTCACTTTTTTCTTTGAAAGAATTCGATATGTCGATTTTCAAGTCTCCTAGAAAACAATTTGACATAAGCTTAGAATGAATTCTGTTTGCTTATTCATGATTTTCTGATATGGATATATGGGGTTTCAATTTATCTCACCCAGAGAGTGGTTGGGCCTATCCACCTCAAGAAACATTGGACCCTGTACTTCCCCAGATTATACAAGATAGCGATATCTGTTAACTACCTGGTCCCCGTTTTCCATTGCTTCACTCTCCTCCCTCTCAGCCTTCTTGTTCAGTCTTTGCAATAGAAATCGAAACCCAGTCGCGGTCACAATAGATAACAGCGAAGTCCCTGTATTCACACTCATGGCCAAGACAAACCGTGGAGCTCCACTATCCGGGTATAAATAGGGGCTGTAGATCGAGGCACAGTTAGCAACGGCATTTGCAAAGGCCAACGCAGCCGCGCGCTTTGCAGCGGGTCGAGGAATGGTATTTGCCACCCAAGTAATTCCAATAATAAACGCTGTATAGACACCAGGTAACATGATCATCATAGCAAAGTACCGAGGGCCGAGCTGTGTCGTTGTCATTGAGATGATAAACCCCGCAATAGAGATCCAAAGTGGAATGCTGAAATGGAAATATCGCTCCCCGGTTCGATCGGCGTTGCGAGAGACGGCCATTGCCACAATACAGGATAGGAGGTAAGGGGGAGCCGTTAGAAGAAGAGTCTCAATACGACCTTTTCCCAGACTCTCAACGACGGTGGGGAAGAAGCTGTTGATCGTGCCACTGGACATAGCACCGAAGACGAGAATCACGAGGAACCACACCTTCCAGTCTGCCATGCATTCCTTAAACCCGTGGAATAGACTTTCTTGGTTTCCGTCGCTGTCCTCCAAGTTTCCTTCTCCAGTGTCTTGTGACAGTCGCCACATGGCTAACTGTCGTTCTTGGTCTGATATACCGGTCGTGTTGTGTGGGAAGTTTGGTAAGACAAAATAGGCACAAAAGGCAATAGCGACTGTTATTGCGCCCTAGATTCAGTAAAAGAAAGATATGGTAAGTGACTTGGAAATATAAAGTCAAGACAGGAATACATACCTCAATGATAAATAACCATCTCCATGCTAGAAGTCCTCGAACCCTGCATTTATAGTTAGTTTGCTTTCAATACCTTGAGATGATAAAACGCCCACCCATCCATATTATCAGTTATTCCAGCAGCAATTAATCCTGAAAAGGCACCGGCCAGAAGAGAACCACAGTAAAGAATCGCTGTGCGAAGCGAGAGTTCTTTTCGTGTATACCAAGCACTTAACGTTACCATACAACCTGGCTGTTCATCGTTAGTCGGTCATTGCCTTCGAAAAGGGAAAAGAAAGAAAGAAGGAAAGAAATTCTCAGTACTGACGAAATATGCGGCTTCCACAAAACCCAAGAGGAAACTTTGTAAGTTAGCTCTCGATCAATTGCAATATATGAAAGATGTCCATACCGACAGGCCAGAAGACCATCATAATCTTGAACAGCTCCACTTGCGGCACATAGAATCCCCTATCAATATAAGGATTTATTTTATTGTTCAGTATAGAGCTCATTTCTGGATTCAACTTACCCAAGCTATCATGCAAGATGGGAGATACAACGCAGGTTTTCCGATTTTGCTCAAGAATAAATTCGATGGAATCTGCATGAGGATATATCTAGGATTGTCAGTACTTCCCAATCATAAACATCTTGAATATAACATTAAACATACCCCACAAATAAAATGCTCACGCAGGTCTTAACACAGTCAGCCACAGGTATTATATGATCCATAGCCATGCCCACCACGACGTACCTGGAACTGGACAGAAGACAATTGAAGGTCTTCTGTGATACCACCGAGCTTTGCAGCCGCAATCGCATTTCTATATACAGCAGACGGGATATCAGTAGCAGCTCGGGGAGTAGAATGAATAGCATCGATCGCACACCTATCTAGATAGTTCATGATGTAAATAAGAACCAGCATTGGCATCAATCGGATGTCTAATTTTCTGACAAATCGCTTTTCCAGCGTCTGCCGCTCCTCGTCCGTGAGTCCTTGGAGTAAGGGAGGTATTCGTCGAATGGAGATGGTTGAACCACATTCCACCTCTTTTAGTGGGTACTTGCTGTTTGATAGAGACTTTTTCACTTCTTCCATGGTGGACAGGCAGTTGGGTTGTATGTAAGTTGAGTGGGAGAGAAGCAGAGTAGCTATTTTCTTAACAGCAGCATCAAGGGGCAATTTTATATCTCATCCTCTTATCACATTGCATCCTATTAGTTCAACTCTATGTATACTGTAACCCACGGAGGTGTGTATGGTCAACTACTATCCCCCCGTATTTCCCCGCATTTTTGATAAGATAAACTTTCAGATTCGGCATTTACGCCTGCTCTATCGCTCAGTGTTTATACTTTGTTGATATGATCTTGGGATTAATTACATCATGATCCATTCAAGTTCCAATCAAATTTTGGTATGCCTATCTACCAGAGCAATTGTGTTGATATCTTCGGCCGCTACGGAAAAATCAATCCACTAGTTCTTTGCCACCGAATACGAGATGCCGTAGCGGCCGATCTGAAATCGGCACCACCGGCCGGCTGTAATCTTATCTATACACGGCCCTACCTTCATATTGAGGCAACGAAATAGAACATATAAATCCATGCCAGAACCACAATCACGTAAAATTGTAAGTTTCAGTCTTCTCTCTCCCAAGTACGTTATCTCTAAACTCCAAAGCAGCAAAAACATGACCCAGCCATCTGTCCTCATTGTTGGTGGAGGGGCATTTGGAACCTCCACCGCATACCATCTCTCCCATCGTGGTTATGCAAATGTGACTGTTCTCGACCGATTCCCAGCCCCATCCAAGGATGCAGCAGCTACCGATTTGAACAAGATCATTCGATATGATTACCCCAATCCCCTTTACACAAAGCTCGGTCTGGAGGCTATGAGCGTATGGAAAGACCCGAATTCACTTTTCCGCGGCCTTTTTCGTGGGACTGGGTGGATCATGTCCGCCCATCAAATGACGCAGGGGTTTCTCAAGGCAGCGTATGAGGGTGCCTTGAAAGCGAACCGTAAGGCCGTCAGATGGATGAGCATCGCGGAGACGAAAGAGCGTTGGCCTGAATTCACCGGTTCCTTTGACGGATGGGTTAATCTGTGGAGTCCAGAGGCTGGTTGGGTAAGTTCGTTCTGTACAACGTTCAATTTGAACAATACTAAAACGCAATCTTGTTCATATACAGGTTCCCTCTGGACAAGCGCTTCTCCGATTTGCGTTGGCAGCTCAAGCGAATGGGGTGAAGTACGTATCAGGAGACGCTGGGTTTGTGAAACAATTGCTTTTCGATGGTAGCGGTAAATGCATCGGTGCCCTAGCTGCTAACGGACAAACACACCTTGCCGATGTTGTTATTCTCTGCACGGGTGCAAATACGGCAACCCTTGTGGACGCGAAGGATGAAATCGTTGCTCGATCTCACTGTGTGGGTATCATCCAGTTGACCCCAGCGGAAGTGGAGAAATACAAAAACTTGCCTATCGTGGACGACTTTGAACAAGGTACCGTACCTATACCTATACCTATACATAAATGATGCACGTATGAATACATCAAAATTCTCACATACGAAACAGGCATTTTGTTCCCGCCCGATGAAAATGGCCTCCTCAAAATGTGCAGTTGTCGCTTCATCACCAACTACTACAACTCCTTCATCCCGGGGGCCTCCATTGGTCATTCTCATGGTGACTATCCAGAGGATGGTGTTCCCCGGCAAATCGAAGAGGAAATGCGATCCTTCATGCGTGATATGATTCCGGAATTAGCCGATCGGCCGTGGGTTTCTACTCGTATGTGCTGGTAAGTATTCCCTTTTCCCTTGACATCCCCACTCCAATTACTAACTCCCAATTCCAGGGACGGTGACACTAAAGACGTCAACTTCCGAGTTTGCCCGTTCCCCAACACTGAAAACCTGTACATAGCCACAGCAGGCTCTGGCCATGGGTTCAAGTTCATGCCCGTCATTGGCAAGTACGTCGCGGATATGCTTGAAGGTAAGTTGGAAAACGACTACACAGACCTTTGGAAGTGGCGATTCGGGGCCATCCCTCCCAAGACTGGAAAGGAGCCCCATCCGTACCCTCAAAGAGATCTGGGGGAGTTGGATGGCTGGAAGGGGAGGAATAAGCGGATTATCCAGGGGAAGCTATAGAGCCTCGCAGTCTGGAGGTAAAGCCTTCTGATGATATGAAGAAATGGTATGGTCCTATCCTATAGCGCCCCCTTGTGATTGGGGGAAAGCGCTTTGATGGCAACATTCCGTTCGAATGGTAGTATACGAAGATGAAGAGTGCTATATGGGAGTATTAATATTATAAACAAGTCAATTTTTAAATTTGAACTAGAAAATGTACAACTTTTCACGGCGCGGCTAATCTTCGTTTGAGACGGTAAAAAAGGTGAAGATAGGAAATGCTCAGCCGATATCCGTGATAGAAGAGGTATATTAGGATACTGTACCTCAAGGGAGTTCACGGCCCTCGGTTTACTTACAAAATGACTACAAATGTTTATAACCAGTTTAGGTATATGATATTGGTGTTGATCTCATATTCTTCTTAACCTCATGGGCATTGGAAGACACATCTCACAGAGCAGAAAGAGCTACATAGAAGATTATCTCCTGGGTCGCAGGACACCTGAGCGTAAGCTGGTGATTGGCATCAACATTTCCATTCACACTTCACATTCGAAAGCTACCTACGTACATAGGTACACAGTACTGACCCCCCAACTCCGAACCAAATGAATGCCAGAGCCAAGGGACAGCCGCCGTAGAAACAACTGATTTCTAGTAGTTGTCAAAGTATTGGACGGTGAACTTTCCAGTGTCATCCTGAGTCACGACAGCGTAAAATTTCCCAGCACCTTTGCCCAAGGTAAAGTCAATCACAGCGGCTTCCCGGGTAACAGACTGGTAGTCGACAATGACTCCCGCCTCAAAAATGCTCTCCAGGATATAGAACTTCATCTTTGGAGTGAGCTGGATCTTCATGTTGTTGAACGGGTTGGTCTATGTCATCATGTCAGTGACCATTTCAATTTTCACAAGCAGTCAGAAATGAAAGAAAACGAAACATACTGAGGCAACAGGAGCAACGAGTCCACGGTTGTTAACCTTTCCAAGGCCGATCAAATACCTCTCATTTGGAACTGGGAAATCTGTTCCCGTGTTGATCTCGTATGCACTAGCGACAGCGCTGGGAGTGGATTGCGCGATCGTAGGAAAGTTGCGTTTGATCACCATGTTGAACGTGTCTATAACACAAACATGAGTAAATACTGGTAAAGGTTCTCTGGGTATTTCCACTTATATAAAGATACATACCTCCAGCGGTCGTCCCTTGGCCCAGGCGAGCTGGCAAGCTCATCCCAGTATTGACCATCACTCCTGGTGCAGGTTTGGCTGTGGCGGTTACAACCCCTACGAAGAGATTAGTTAGTTATGACAATGATATCTCTGCAAGCCGATCCACAATCGATTCAGACTCGGATAGTTTATTCATCACTAACACGCATAGTAATCAACACCAGTTTTAATATCGAAGTACCCGTTGTTGGGAACAAACGTGGAATACCAGACATTCATGAAGGCATCCGGGGAGGTTCCCGAAATACTGAGCACTGGAGGTTCCATGAAAACAGCATAGTTGCTGTCAGCGCCACGCTTGTTTTGAAAATTGATGGTGTACGTGGTGGTCATTTTTTTCGGCAGTAGACGAAGTTAAGTTGTCAAGGCGGGTTTATCTTGGTGGCTTGGGGATGAGGACTTTTGTGCAAGATGTGAATTGCTTGATGGGATGAGCAAGACAAGTCAAAAATGAGTGGACTTTAGGTCTTTAAATAGATCAACAGTCGGTCTGCAATGAGCCTTTTGCTCATCCTAGTATATCAGTTATTGCTAATACAAAATGAAGGACCCCGATACTGGCTATCTCTAGCGAGCCAAGAGACTGAGTGTGCAAGTGAATCTGGATCCTGTATTCCTCTTCTCTCTAAATCCCAGCTTACTTGCTGGTGTTCTCTCCTAAATTTTTCCCTTCTGGCAAGTCCTGTTTTAGCCAAATAGGACATTGCATGGAACTATTGCTGAGTATGTTAGACCCATCCTCAGGCCTAAAGCCATATACTATAAACCATTGGGAGATGTTTGTGGGTGCCAACATATTTTGAAACATTTACGAGCGGCTGAGATGATGGCTTGCTTAGGGCAGGGAACATCTGGTGGTTAGCTAATGGGTGGTGACAGCCATAACTACATTGCATGTTACCCTTGAGCAATCGAAATTGCGACTACACCTCAGTCAGGAGCCATCAGTCCATCGCTATATTCAGACTATATAATAACTCAGGTCTACCCAAATGTTCATTCAGGAGCAGCAGCATCTCATACAATTGACCAGCTATAATGGTAAGAATGTTACATTCAACTGGAACCAGAACGCCACCATTTCAAGTTCGAGGCTACAGGACCTAGACACAGGTACGAGTACAAGAGGTGGTGAAACACCACCACCCAGAGTCCACCTTTCTTGGAGCACGATTGGCCGAGTTCTGGCATTTCTCATTAGTCTCACTGTGACAAGTAATCATGTTGGCCCTCGATACCTATAAACTCGTACGTCTACAATGACATCCTGGGCACTGAATATGATATGTTGCTACCCGTAGAGAAAAGGCGTACTGGCGGTGCTGAAGGTTCGTCTCTGGTAGTAGACATGGGCGTCATTGGTATCTAGAATAGTGAGTGACGAATTCCATTGAGACTAAAGTAGGGGCGAATGGGGCTGGAACGAATCGAGTCCCAATATATTCGGTTTTATGGCCTTGAATCGTGTACAGCAACCATTCCAGGAAATTATAGACGAAATAGTCTTGTCAAAGGTACGTTCTTCCTTTGTTCAGCTTTCAGCTCTTCAAATACATCCACAACTGAGTCACACTAATGAGCCTATCATAAGTAGTTGAGCTCCATCATAGATTCTGACATGACGACGCATGAGCCATAACCATCTTCTTAATATCCTAACCATTTCATTCGATGTATCATATACCAATGCTGCACCGCTGGTTAGTCAATTAATCATCGAATTTCTTCAGTCCACAATATTACAATTTTGCCATTGTCAAGTACACTGCTCGCAGGCATAGACTGGCCTATGATCAAAATCCTACAGCCATTTTTTCCACATTTCCCACTGCCTTTCCATCTATTACCTTTTATCACTTTGTGGGAGTCTGGAAGGATGAGGTTACGATTATCAAACCAAGTAATATTTGCCATCACAAGATTGGGTATTATTAGACAACACAATCCTCCGAGAAATTTCACGTATAGCATGGTTGGTTGCCCTAAACGAGCACTCGAGATTAAACTTATTACCAGCCTCAGAATATCATAGTATTATTCGCATCATAGCTTCTTCACAATTGCTTCCACTTTTGGCGCATGGGTAAGAGCTCGCAACAAATTTGCAGGTCCACTTCTCAAGACTCCTGGGGGAGGTCTAGTCCCTGCAGTTTCTGTCTTGCGTTGCAACAGGGAATCTAAAAATTGCTACTATAGTATATGCGCGCGTTTGAGTTGTAGTAATCAAGATCAAAATCAGACATAACATACAAGTTGCTTGGAAAGGCATACGATATTTAGTGCATATTGCTTCCCTTCAATATACACTCTGTAGCCGACACCCTCGCCGCCACAGCCGAGTAGCTCTTGGTAGCTAATGTGTTTGTCGTGATGAATGAAACGGCGCAGCATAGGTCTTCCACGGTACTTGCGAGACGGATCATCCCAGGGGAGCTCGGAGAGAAAGCGGCCGATCATAGTATCATCCATTTCAGCAGCATATACTCGACGAGGCGACGCTTATCAGAGCCAGTGTGTCAAAGCCACGATGAAAGCAAGCTTGTCACGTAGCAGCTTACATAGAGCAAGAGCACTTTGTTGCTAGTGTCTCTGAATGCTTCACATACCTAAGTGGACTCTCTCTTTCTCTCTCTCCCTTGGGACTCCAAGCGGACGTGTATTTTGTTACTTGTTTCAGGCTTGGCACCTGCTGCAGCCTTGCTATGTTCGGAAAGGAGAAACTATAGGTAGTCCGTCTGCATCATCGTTTCTATCAATTGTTCTGCACTACAATCTTTCCATTCTTCGTTAAATGCATCAAAACTGTAGGATGTTGAATTGTCACCTACGAAACTAATATGAATCACACGGACTGGTCAGATGCGCGGGATCATCAGACAGGTACACAGTCAGGAACTTCACGCCTCTTCTCGAGCTTCGTGTCTCAACCCCATTCCAGGCGGGTTCCAGACTCCTATTCTTAGATTAGTCTAGAAAAGGATATTATAGAGAGACTCTACTTATTTATATAAGAAAATCTACTATTCTTTAGTTTTTTCTAAGCTCTATACAATCTCCCAGAATTACGTCCCTTAGATATCTAGATACTTTTATTTCTGCAAATATATTGACAAACTATCCCGGAGGTTAAATTCGTTGATTCGATTGATTATGTTGCTTGATTCTATCAACATGACTGTAGGAAATCGCTTAGGAAGAACAACAGCGCTAGGCCTAACTAGGCAGCGTCAACATATATTAATAGCAACTGGCTGCCAATATTTCAGTATAGTACCGGCATATATATTTGGCAATCGGGGATGTGATGAAGCTGGTACATTCAGACTTTCACAAGCCTCCTCGTGGTTATCTCTCTGGTACTTTTTATTATCAAACCATTCCCTTTGCAGAAAGGCTAGTGATGATAGGCCCGCAAGCCGACAAGCCTCATTTGAGGCGGCTTTGGGAGCTCTCAATAAGCTCAAGGGTAGAACGCAGTGCTTGCTCCGATTCAACTATAAGATAAAGGGTCAGTAACAATGGCACGGAAAGAGGGCAGGCAAGACGTACCGGATATAAGAGCCACGGGCGCTAAGGAGGATCTTGGGTTAGAGGCCATAGTAAGATAGTACTAAGCACGCTAAAGTCAGCATTTAGTAGATGGTATTCAGTGTAGGATATTGAAATACCAGAATTAGGAGTAATATACCAACTAGTTCAAAGTGACTGTACAGCTTGTGTACAAAAGATCCTTCTTCAAATCCTAAACTAGGCATGATAATGTCTCTCGTAGGGAAGTAGTACCCCAAGTGAACTGTACCAGTATTTATCATTGCCATACTTGCGTGAAGATGTGTGTCGATATCAAAACCCCACGGAGGGAAGCCTGATTTCTACCTAGTTCACCCAAGCCCGGTAAATCCGGGTACCCTGCCATTAGCGAGAGCCTTCACCATCGTGTTGATGAGGATAATCTAGGAAGCGAGTCACTAGTTTCGGCGTCACTAAGACGCAGACAATGGAGACACCAGCTGCGTCGTCCTCGGAAGAGGAACTGTCAGGAGATCAAGTTGTATTATCCAATGACCACGGGGTTTTACGCTTTTTGGCGCCCTCTTTCTCCGCAGGAAGGGGGCGGCAGGTCGTCTTCCCCCGAGACGTAGTCGAGGCCTACTGATTTCCTGCTCCCTAGTATGCAACAGCCTTTTCGTCCATCCTTGCAACTGCTTTGATCCGGATTCAAGATCACGGATACCGGCCATAACAGGGCTGTCTGTATTAGATATGGAGGACAATAAGAATGCTATTGTCACAGTCTTTGTGCTCACAAATCCAATCCACTTGGCTCTGACTGTCTGGGAGTTCAGTATGTTTTCGCGCAGGTCGAAATAAATAACAGTAAGCTAGTTATTTGATGTATTGAATGGTTTGGGTGGATTAGTAGGTTCGTCGGTGGGAGGTTTGGTAGGTGGGTCGAGAGGTGGCTTTGTAGGTAGGCCAGGAAAGATATCGGGTGGTATACCAGGCGAGTCAGCTCTTGCATCAGCAACACCTAGAGCAGTTGAAATTGTTATAGATGCGTTCTTGCCTTCAATGACCAGATTGACGGTAGCGCTCGACTCAGCATTCGACGCATGGCCTATCTTGCGTTTATTCGGGTATTGTTCCGATGTGCTGCCTTCTTCTCCGCCTCTTATATTTTCATGGCTTGGACGACTTCAACCAATCATGTAATCCCCGAGTCCTTTTTCCCACGCTTGGTTGTGTATCCTCAGCAGGTTTAAACGGAAACTTGCCCTCGGTTTTGCACTGAAGGTCGGCTTTCTTCAGACTAGCTAGAAATATAACCATCATCGCCTCATTATCTCATGGAATACATGGATCACGAAGGAATATTGATGGGAAAAGTCTCGATCATGAGATTATAGGAGATAGGACCGCTCTTCCTTTCCACTTGGCTGTCTTCAGAGAGGCCGAAAATCAAGACAACGGCCGACCTAACTAATCTCGTGTTTGTATTATGCTGACCCAGTTAAGTGATCCCTTAGAGGGAATGTGTAACTCTCTCTCCACGCCATAGTCAGCAGTTAGAGGGACATGGTTACTCAGAATATTCAACCATAAGTTGTCCACCCTATCCTGGAGCTGGAGAACCAGACTAAGTTTTGCACAGCCAAACGTATTGTCTCATGTCGTCGACCAGCTGCAAATATAGCAGACCTAACCTAGCTCTAGGACACAATGTTGTCTCTGCAAAGGGGGAAGCTCAGTCAAAAGTACACTATCGAGCTACTCGTTGGCGTCAGATAAATCAAAGACGGTTAGCCGGGTGGCAGAACGACCACGATACTTATGACAAGCATGCATGCCCAACAGTAAGCAGTTGAGTGGGCGTTCATTAGAAGCTAACAGCTGTCCTGAGAGTAGGATACTTTCATCATCCCTTGAAATTGCTATGGATTTTCAATGAGGTTTCTTCGGTTTCAACCCAGGTTTACATGAAGCAGTCTGTCTCTAGATATCGATGATTGTATGAGTAGCACTAGCCTTGTCAATAATGGCCATGAGTGTGGTATGGGAAATATATGCGTGCTGTTCGCGGCGTTGATATAGGTATGCCCTTATAACCGGGCTCGGGACATTTGGAGGGATTAACTGCCATTTCTCGAACGTAATCCTTGTTCTTCCCGCAATTATGACGATATCCACGGGGTCTTGAGCTCGCCCACGGACTTCACTGCCCCAGCTGGTCTGTGTCAGCAACATCTTGTTCCTTCTCTCGGATGTACTTATAGTGTACGCCGAGGTTTTTTCAAAACCAACTCGTTGGATCTGATGCTTATGTTCTGGAATCCGCTTAACGAAACAAGCTTTGGTTGACCCGATATAGAGTCTCCACCTTCTTCGCAAGGAATACTGACATAATCCAGATACACACCCTTTTCTTCTACGCGAAGGGCTCACCTTCGGAAATGCAAGAATATGTCTGCCGCTCAGTCTATCATAGCCCAAGATCGTGCGGGTAGACTCAGGGATAATCGCAACCACGCGAAAGTGGGGTTTCCCACTTCTCTTCGCACATTTCGCTATAGCTTATAGAAAGGATGAATGTTCCGGTAAACATCACGCGGTTTTATGATGGCATTGTAGAGGTGCAACTTTGGTAAGTGGGTATGTGTAATATGTTGTCTAGAGAAATATTGAGAAAGGTGTATCTTCCCATGTTGCGATGCCGCTCTTATAGGTGTCTAGGGCTTAAGACAGCAAGATCTACTGGGCGTTGGATTTGCAGTGGATCAATCAACGATGATCACCCGAGTCAGCATTTTGTTCACTAGGGTGACATGCAGAAGCAGGTGTGGATGGCAGTCATAAAAAAAGGTTATATAGACCAGTTGTTCGACAGCTTCATCGAATTGCCAGGCCCAAGCTTGGTAAGGTTACCCAGGGCTTTTTTGAATAGACCGGAAGATTTCGTCAGGCTGAACCAGTCGGTCGTCGACTCGGGCACGAAAAGACTGCCTTTAATTGAGTTTGTATCAGCGTCGCTGTTCAGTGGCAGATCACTGTATCTCAGTATTCCTGCTTCAACCCTGTTATGCCAGTGGCTGCCAGGATATATGTTGCATAGCCACGTCGATTTCTTTGCTTGCTGTTCCCGGATGAGTACATAGTACCCCTTGTAAACAGCTACACAGCGCTTGCTGTTTAGCTCGATAATCACTGTTCGACCGACGGTCACAATGATGAGCTGTCTCTGCACTAGCAGAGTTCACAAAGCATGTCTTCCTGACATTCCCATTAGCCTCGAAGTCGATGGGCCACTGGTACGCTCTTTCTCAGGACCAGTTGACATATGGAAGGTAAGGCATAACTCATTGAGTCTATGAAGGCAAAGCAAATTACAAGCCATCGTCTCACCGAGGCGTTCGTGTCACTGGGGGTTTCGTTCCACTCATTCTGCTTCCCCAGAGTTCCATTTTCATAGAGCATGGCAGCATGTATAATGAGACGCTTATTTCTGCCCTGAGCCTCAAGGGTCCGAACGGCATTAGCCTCCATAAGATCATGTGTGTATCGCATTATCCGGTCTGCGGTATGCTTCATCCTGAAGGAGATATACTGTTTTCCACAGGTAAAACTCAACATTGTCTGCTTTCCCAGTGGCAGATTCATAAGTGAAATCGGTTGACTGAGCGTAGGGTATCTGTCGAGCGGGTATTATAAACTCTCAACCTCAAGGTTGCTTCCATGAAGTGCCTGTCGGGATATCCGGCTGATTATGTAGGGATAGATGGATTCGTGAGAGCTGTTCTTCTATAATGAGTAGTAGCCACGGCACGTCACACAGGTATTATCTCCAAGTTCCGCAATTACTGGGGCGTCCCTTAGGCAAACTCGATGCTTTGACATTTCCATTCGCGTTGGAGTCTAAAGGTCAATTCATAACCCTTGTTTGTAAAGAAGCCGCTAGCAAGGCATTGCACACCAGGCATCGGATAAATTCGCTGATTTCGCTGGCCTTTCTTATTGAAAAGGGCTCCATAGCTTGTATATAAATATGGTGCATGGTTTCTGGAAGAGTATGGAAGTAAACACAGAGTTAAGAATGCCTTTATCCGGTCTCGTATAGGTAGATATCGAGGTTATGAGATCCTCAAGGACATTGAAGTTTATATATCGATGACCAGAGGAATAGCTGATCTGACTTCACTCAGCAATTCCATACATCACTCAACAGCATACATTCCTCCCATTACCTATCCAGAGTTAATAAACCCATACATTCCATAAAAACCAGAGAATTCTCTACATCACTTCCATCCCACCAGAAGCTAAACCAACAACAAAGATTCACGAACCGAAATTCAATAATCACTAGATCCACTACAAAAATTAATTCCCAAAAGCAGCCCAAGCCTGCAAAGCCCCCATAAGCGCAACCACAATACCATTACTCTTGACCCCACGTTTCAAATACCACCCGGAACTAATCCCCACAATAGCCGTCATTAGAGCCGCGACAGCCCGGTTAATAGGGTCGTTCAGCAGAGCCGGGTTTTGCGACCAGTTGTAGTTTATCAAGGCTATGTATTTGTTAAGTAGCCTTCTTTGGATGTGCAGGAAGTAATAGAAAATCCGAATAAAATTCGGAATTCTCGGTTCTAGCAAGAAACGTACCATTCATAAGAAAGAACCCACTCCCCTGGTACCAACCTGCTCTGGCACAGGTGTAGGCTAGATTAGGGAGGGTGCGGACTTGGGGGAGAGATTGCCAGTCTTTTGCTGAGAACTTTTGTTTGTAATGGTCTATCGTTAGTCTTTCTTTCCTTTTCTTCTTGGGGGATTATGCGGTTGGGGTTGGTGGTTTGTAGGTGTGTATGTACCGTGTGGCCGAGGGAGATTAAGAGCCAGCCTGCGGCTGTTGACTGGAGGGCGGTGGGCATCTTGGCTTGGATCTTGTTACGGTGGGTTGGAGTGATGAGTTGTTGAGGTGGATAGTTATCGTTGAGGTTTGAGGGGACTTCAGGGATGGATTAGAATAAATGAATGGGAATCAATGCCAAGGCCGAGGAACTCGGTCCGTTTGGTTGTCGATCTTTCAGTTGATGGTCGCTACTGGCTTTTTGAGCTTGGGATAGATCAATGTTTGTTGATAAAATATTTATATGACAGGGAATCTAAGTTAGAGAGAGGAGAAGTGTCGTCGGAAGTAACTGAGCCCTAACCTGCCCGGATGTTTCTCGGTTTTATGCTGAAGCTGCGGCTTTTCTCTTCAATGGTCCTTATAAACCTCGGCGTAACCGACATAGGTGAGGGTATACAAGTCAATCCAATATGCACCAAGCCCCTCGGATATCAATGTATGTACACCAGAATACAGCCTATTGTACTTGGGATATATGCTTCCAAAAGAGACCAACACATGAACACCAACCACACCAACTCCGCCATGCAAGGTCAACCTGACAATGTACAAACAAACACAACCATATATATATGCACCTATTTCCCCGCAGTTATTTCTCTGCATACTGTTCGTTGCTGGTAGAGGCCGCCCGACGTCCCCATCCAAAGAAGCCGCCGCCGCCGGTAGCGGGCTCCGTAGACGCCTTATGGAGACTTCCTGCGGACGAAGGTGATCGAACGATGGAATTGCGGTCACCGTTCTGCGACGGAGATCGTTGAGACGCTGCTATTAACTTCCTCATTCCATCCATCTTCACTTTCATCTCTTCCAATTCCTGCTTGGCTACCGCCTCCGCCGTCTTCGCATTAACCAATTCGAGCAGCAAGGCTTCGTCGGCAGCCGGTTTGTTGTTTTCCGTCGACAGGAAATTCTGCAAGCCGAGACTGCTAGTCCTCTTCGTGAACGTGCTCTTCTGCGAATTAGTGCGGACCAGTCTCAACTCCCGCAGGCCGCCTGGGATACCCTCTCCCGGTTCGCTGACTGGCGAGCCGTAATCCGTTGATGTCTCGGTACTACTTCGGGGGTTTCGCGCCGTGCGCAATTCGCGCAACATGCGTTCGAGCCGTTGCCGTTCCCGATATCCATCCTGAATGCGACCCCGCGCTTCGCGTACCTGCTCGCGCAGTGAGGTGTTCTCCTTCTCGTGTTCGTCAATCCGGCGCGTTAAATCATGGCACCGGCCGGATTCCACAGAATGCATTTCCTTCCACCGATTGAGGTCTTCCAGAAGCTGCTGCTTGGTTTGGCCGATCGATTCTCGTGCAGGGGCTTCGGTCGCGCCAAATCGCCCTTCCGCCTTGGTGATCAAATCGGTCGGGGAATTGTCGAGCTCCTTCATGTAACTCAGCATCGTTTTCGACAGTTCCTGATCTGCTTCACGCTCTTCGCGCTCTTGTTGTAGTTCCCGAGTGAGGTCCGCGTGCTGTCGCTGTAAGTCGCTGAGTGCCATGAGCAGATCTTCGATCTGCGTGTGGAGATCGCGATCCTTGTGCTGCGACATCATAGACTTGACACGCGGTTTCGGCACATCGCTGGACACCTCCGTCGGAGCAGTGCTAGCATCCGACGTGGATTCAATCGAATTGAGTGTCGAAGTCATGCTTTGTTTGGAAGTGGTGCGGCGAATGCTGGCCGAGGAACTCGCGTGGTTGGGGTTGAGGGTAAACGGCTTGGCAGACGTGTGAGAGCTTGACCCCGCCCAGAAACGGCCCAGAAACCTAGACGCCGCTGCTTGCATCTGTGGGAACGAAATGCCGGTCGGCACTCCTTGCGACTGGTTGTAGCTGGCCTCCAACGTCTGGAGACTCTCCTTGGTGACTAGCGAAGTCAACGAAACAAAATCGTTGACGAAATCGTCCGCGTGGCAGGCATATCTATCTCTGTTAGGCTGAGATTCTCCCGGCGGAAAGAGAAGACTTACGTATCCCACAAACTCCTCGAGAGCAAAAGCTGCATGACATCTTCAAATTCCGCGCATGCCATAATCTTTTTCTCATTGCGCTGCATGAGCGATAACGCCACTCGCATTAAAGTTTCACAGGCGCCTTCGAGGAAGATGACATCGTAAATCCGGAGAAGCATGGGCATTGGACACGCGACCGCAAAGAACGATAGGAACCATTGCGACACGTAGATCGGCTCGACGTGAAGTGACTCCAGGTGCGCATATAAAGCCGGACGAAGACGGGCGAGAAGATTTTGGAACTGGTACACACGGAGATGGAGCCCGGAGAGATCTGGAAGGTAGCATGTGCGCATGTCATAGTGGTCCATGAGCCTGATTCATCAGTCAATGGCTCAAGTTCAGTGGAGAGCAAATGGTGACTTACCGTACAAGGACGCAGAACGCTTCGGCGTCTGTCATGTGCATCAACAAAGGACCAACCACAAACCCCAGGCCTTGGCAGTAGCCGATTTTCGTATCGTAGAGACTGAAGCACTTCAGCACTCGAGCGAGCATTTGCTGTCCCTCTCCGTTCGGATCGCGGAACATCTCGACATTGGGGAAGCTACGGCCGATATCTTTCCCGATCAATCCTTCGTATGGACTCGTCTCGCCACAAAGTCGCTGGTACTCCGCTAATAATGTCGTATCCCGTGCTCCAGCCAAGCTAGGCCATACAACCCCTCGCAAAGGAGGTGGGATCCCACTGCGGATCTTGTTCGAGGTCAACGTCGGCAAGCGCTGGGCCGTCTGTGGGTAATCCGAGACGAGAGCCGCCCAAAATTCGAGCTCGGTCAACGGGGGCGGCGGAAGCTGGGAGTATCGCAGTGACCGCGGGTCATCGTTGATCAATTGCTTAACCTGACGCAATGACTGCGACCGGGACTTCCTCACTCCGCGAAACTGCTGTGCTTGCAAGCCCGATTTGGGATCAGTTGCCAGAGCATTATTCTCCTGTTCCAGCCGAGCTAACAGAAGCGAGGTAGACTAAATCTGGTCAATTTCTTCCATCATGCTTTCCCCGCGCCCATCAACCTCGTATGGTACATACCTCATCAGAACCCTCCCCACGCGGTTCTTGCTCTTCAGATTTATCCAGTTCCCTCCAGTCAACACCGTCGACCCCGCCACGGAAGATTTCTTCGCTACTTCGTGAAACGATCGAGGCGCGGTATGTCCGTGGTTGCAGAATATGTTGTTCCGAGTCTCGTGTAGGCGTGGTACTCGTAGGTTCGTCGGCCTCGACGCTCTCTCCCGTGGGTGATGTAACTTCGATCGGGGTCTGAGGAATGTCAAGCGACCGCCAATCGGGCTGGGTATGCTCGGAACTCGATTGTACGTCCGATAAGGGGACAGTTACCATTGAGTCGGAATGTTGATGGATCGGAGGGATATTCTTCGGCACGCCGGGCGAATGAAGTTGGGCGGTGGTCGCCTCGGAATTGTCCATCGTGTCAGAATTGCCTTTTCGTTATTTTTCTTTTCTTTATCTAAAATGGTCGAGATCAACGACTCATCCCTCCGCGGAGTCTCTCACTAGCGAAGGACGCGCCGATGGGATGACGGGGGGTTGAGGGGAACGAGGGGCTAACGGAGAGCGAGCACACGATAAGAAGAGTGGCGGCGATCAATCGAAGCAGTGGCCGTCAAGAATGACAGCATTTCTGAGTGCGACTACAGTGGATAAAGACAACGATGATATCGTAGCGGGGTGTAGAACGAGTAGAGGACCATTCAAGCACAAAATTAAAAATTTTCCCAGGAAAAGAGGAAGGGGGGAAGAAAGTTGAGTGATCGGACTCCTGAAGAAGAAAGAATAATGACAGCAGGTGTAGGAAGTTGTTTAGCTTGAGTAATTAGTGCCGGCCACTAGTACCACAATACTATGGAACCCACTAGTATTTCCATAGTCGTTAGTACACGGTCATGACAGCCGGCCCTCAGGGGAAATTCAAATTAGTCTTCGCATTTTCGTCCCCTCCGAGTCCCTAAGAGTCTCGCCTGCCGATCGCTTTTCAATAATTATCTTCGCTTCTCTCGTCCTGGATCTCCTCTTCTTCTTTGTGGTGCTCATTGTGCGGGACTGCAAGGATTGTGAGTTCGTGGACATGGTCCCATATTGACCTGGATCCGGTACTCGGTACCTCCTGGGTACATCCAGGGTACTTCCACCCTGACCTGAACCATGGGATTGTCCTCCACTCCAACCCCGAAAATAGATCTTCTCTGTGACTGACCACGGATGGATCACTCTCCTGTGTCAATCTATTGTATTGACGGGGGTAATCTCCGAATCCAAGACGAAAAAAGCCCTATGGAAACACCATGGAATTAGTGAGTGCCTTTGGATTCTCTGGATCCGGTCGATCCAGACCGAGTCTCCACTGCACTATAATCGTCCATAACAGTTTTTGAACGCTGCAGGTGATTACCCACTTCGATACGGTGAGGAGAACAACTTGGAGCTTTGACATGGACCACCCGAAAAAAAAGGCATGGCACCGATGATCATATCATCTCCTCTTTGACAATCGACTGTCGCTGACCTGTTTACGCTTCCCCGTACAATCTATTGCATGAGTCCTTGGTGGCATACAGTACTAGTACAGTACTAATGTGTGTACGGTACCTGCATGCAGTCCCTGAGGGCAAAGACAATAGAAATTCCATGACTGGCCCATTCAGGGCGCCTTCCCCTGAATGTAATGATACCGCCTAATAACGAGTTTCATGCGTTTCGGGTATGATGGTGTGTAGATTGATTGGCTGGTCAGACTGCTGACGCGACATCATTGGCCGCCATGTAATATAACCTGTATCGGGTATGGTATGCCAAGACCAGCCTGATGTTCCTTGTTCGCCGTTGGGCAACTTCTGTTCATATCAAATTAACATTAATCTATTGAGATGATTAAAAGTAAAAGGAGGATTAAGAAGCATGTGAAAGTGATACCAATGGAAACTTCCATCATAGTTTTAGAACATTCCTCTACAGAGCTAACTTCAAATGGTTAGTGACTCGAGTATATAGAGTGCTTGGCTAAAGCATCGGCCGTTGGTAGTACGAGTCAGTGGTCACTAATGCGACAAATATATATCTTGGAAAAGGGGAAATTTCCGCCGAACCCACTACCAGTGGTCGCACTACAAGGTCTACCAGCCATTATCGTTCTGGATATAGAAGTCCCCATCTGTTCTGAGACAGAATAAAGCGTTTTTGGTCAAATACAACGGACACATCGACGCTGAATTGTGTACCAGGAGCTATACTTCTGTATGGATCATACGGATTGATTGGTCTGGTTGTCTAGGGGAACGAAGCTGTAAAAGAACTGTCATGAACCACTTCGCCCTGTTTTCAGTTTTATACAAGAAGTAGAAGAGGTGTGCAATGACCACAGATAAGAATACGTCGCGTACACTCACTCGGTCATTGTAATCAAGTCTGGCTCGTGTCCAGGCGGATTTCCCCTCCCCCGCCGCCCCCTGGATGTTTTGGTCGCCATTTCCCTTTCGGGCGCAAGTGTTTGGGAATTGCCCGTTGCGGCTAAACCTCCGCCACCCCGGGGCGGAACAATGCTGAACCGATGGCGGAAGGACAGTTTCTGCCGTCAACCCATCAGTCGCATGGGCGCGTCAACAACAAAAAATCAACACAAGAGACGACAAAGGAGGAGATTCTGACTGGGGAACTTTACTGTGGTTTTGTTCATTTATTCTCAACGCCACCTAACTTCTGTTGCTTCTGGGAGAGCGCTCACATGTCTTCTCCCCTATTTCTCTAATTTTCTGTCACTCGTTGCGCAACGTTTCCTATACTTTCTCCTACCTTTTCAGTTCTCTCACCATGGACGACTCGATAATGGATGATTCCGTCTTTGAGGACGACGGCTCTGACTTTGAGCCCGAGCCCGTATGTTGGATTGTCACATCCCTCAATCTATCTGGACATATACTGACAGTCGCATAGAAGCCCAAGGCGAAGGCGGCCCCCAAGAAAGCAGCGGCGCCTAAGAAGATGACGCAAACAACTCTCACAGGCAAAGCGACCGGAAAGGCCACTGCTTCAAAGAAGCGCGCCAAGCCAGACAGCGACGACGATGAGATGTCAGACGGCGGTCAGCTCGACGATGACGACTCCGTCCTGTCACATACACCTCCGAAGAAGGCGAAGAAAGCTCCCGCAGCGAAGAAGGGCGGCGCCAAGCCTCTTGCAGATGTGGAAAATGAATCCTTCACGAATGATGCTGACGCCGGCCCCAAGGACTCAAATGTATCAGAGAAGTACCAGAAGGCAAGTAGCGGCCCGGACAATGGCCAAGTCGCTAGCTAACCAGAAGACGCAGCTCACACAACTTGAACATATCATTAAACGTCCGGATACATATATCGGGTCCATTGAACGTACCGCGCAGCACATGTGGGTGTACAGTTCGGAGACGGAGGGGATGGAGTTCCGTGAGGTCTCGTATGTCCCTGGTCTCTACAAGATCTTCGATGAAATCGTCGTCAACGCGGCCGATAACAAACAAAATGATGCGAACATGGATGAGATTCGCGTGACCATTAGCCGGGAAACCGGCGAAATCAGCGTCTGGAACAACGGTCGCGGTATCCCAATTGAAATGCATGCAAAGGAGAAGATTTACGTTCCGGAACTCATTTTCGGTCATTTGCTCACCTCCTCCAACTACGATGATACCCAGCAAAAGGTCACTGGTGGTCGTAACGGGTTCGGTGCTAAGCTCTGTAACGTCTTCTCCACCGAGTTCAGCATCGAGACTCAGGACTCGCGGCAGAAGAAGAAATACAAACAAACGTGGACCAGCAACATGACGAAAATGGGCAAGGCGAAGATCACTGATGCTAAGGGTGATGACTACACCAAGGTCACATTCAAGCCAGACTACGCCAAGTTTGGAATGGACGGCATGGATAACGACTTCGAGGCCCTTGTGAAGCGTCGTGTTTACGATTTGGCGGGAACCGCGAAAGTGGCGGTCAAGTTGAACGGCAGCCGGGTGCCCGTTCGCAACTTCAAGAAGTACATGGAGATGTACACCAAAGCGATCCGCCGGGAACGAGGTGACGATGGTCCTGCCGCTAAGGACGAGATTATCACTTGCAGCCCCGATCCTCGTTGGGAAGTCGGCTTTGCAGTCTCAGATGGCTCCTTCCAACAGGTGTCGTTCGTGAACTCGATTGCGACGACCTCCGGTGGTACCCATGTGAACTATATTGCCGACCAGATCTGTAACAAACTGGCCGAGCAAGTGAAGAAAAAGAACAAGAATGGTGCCACTCTAAAGCCTGCTCAGATTCGGAATCACATCTTTATTTTCGTGAACGCTCAGATTGTCAACCCGGCCTTCACCTCTCAAACGAAGGAGCAGCTGACCACCAAGACCTCTCAATTCGGCAGCAAATGTGTTCTGGAAGAGGACTTCTACAAGAAGATCTTGAAGACGGACGTCATGTCCAATATTTTGCATTTCGCTCAGCAAAAGGCCGACCAGATGCTGAAGAAGACCGATGGTGGTCGCCGTGCTCGTATGAACAATCCCAAGCTGACCGATGCCAACAAGGCTGGTACCAAGGATGGCCATCATTGCACACTAATTCTGACAGAAGGTGACTCGGCCAAGGGTCTGGCCATGGCTGGGCGTGCGGTGGTCGGTCCAGATCTCTTTGGTGTTTTCCCCCTCCGAGGAAAATTGCTCAACGTCCGTGATGCCACTTTCGAACAGATCTCGAAGAACGCAGAAATCCAGAACATCAAAAACTTCCTTGGGTTGCAGCACAAGAAAGAATACACGGATACCCGTGGGCTGCGTTATGGACACTTGATGATCATGACCGATCAGGATCATGATGGTTCTCACATCAAGGGTTTGCTCATTAACTTTTTGCAAGCTCAATTCCCGAGTTTGTTGAAAATTCCGGAGTTTCTCATCGAGTTCATCACGCCCATTGTGAAAGTGTGGAAGGGTGACCCGAAGAATCCGACGAAGCAACGCTCGTTCTTCACCATGCCTGAGTATGAGGCCTGGAAGGAGGAACACAGGCACGAACGCGGCTGGGACCACAAGTACTACAAGGGTTTGGGTACCAGTACCACCGAAGATGCACAAATCTACTTCCGGGACCTTGACCGCCATCTCAAGGAGTTCCACACCATGCAGGACAACGAGGTGGGACTGATTGAGCTTGCTTTCTCCAAGAAGAAGGCCGACGAGCGAAAAGAGTGGTTGCGTCAATTCAAGCCGGGAACTTTCTTGGATCACTCAGTGTCCAAGATTTCTTACACGGACTTCATCAACAAGGAACTTATCCTGTTCAGTATGGCGGACAATATCCGTTCGATCCCTTCGGTCGTGGATGGCCTCAAGCCCGGTCAACGCAAGGTTCTCTATACCTGTTTCCGCCGCAACTTGAAGAAGGATATGAAGGTGGTCGAGTTGGCGGGTCACGTTTCTGGTATGACTGCATATCAACATGGTGACACCTCCTTGCAGCAGACCATCGTCGGCCTGGCACAGAGTTTCGTCGGGTCCAACAATGTGAACTGTCTGGAGCCTAGTGGTAACTTTGGTAGTCGTCTTCAGGGTGGATCCGACTGTGCCAGTGCTCGTTATATCTACACTCGCCTGTCGCCATTCGCTCGACGTGTCTTCCATGCCCATGACGATCCTCTACTTACTTACAATGAGGATGATGGTGAAAAGATTGAGCCGGAAGTCTACGTGCCCGTGGTTCCCATGATCCTGGTCAACGGTGCTGATGGTATTGGTACCGGCTGGAGTTCATCCATCCCCAACTACAACCCCGAGGACATCGTGGACAATCTCAAGCGACTCATGGACGGAGAAGAAATCCGACCCATGCAGCCATGGTTCCGTGGATTCACCGGTGAAGTCACCGATGTCGGTGGCGATCGCTTTAAGTTCAGTGGTATCATTAAAGAAACTGGCGAGAAGGAAGTTGAGATCACCGAACTTCCTATCCGGACCTGGACTCAGGATTTTAAGGACAAGCTGGAGGATATCATCAAGGCTGAGAAGACTCCGTCGTTCATCAAGGACTACAAGGACTACAACACCCATACCAAGGTACATTTTGTTATCCAGCTGGATGAGAAGAACATGAAGAGCGCTCTATCTGAAGGCCTGGAGGAGAAGTTCAAATTGTCCAAAACGGTGGCGACCACTAACTTGGTGGCTTTCGACCCAGAAGGTCGGATCACAAAGTATGCGGCCGTTGATGACATCCTTAAGGAATTCTATACCTACCGTCTCAAGTTCTACGAGAAGCGCAAGCAGTACCAGCTCTCGCAGCTTCAAAAGGAGCTCGACAAGCTCAGCAACCAGGCGCGCTTTGTCCAGGAGATCATCGATGGGAAGTTGGTCGTCTCCAAGAAGAAGAAGAATGTCTTGGTCCAGGAACTGAAAGACAAAGGCTACAAGGCATTCCCGAAGGTGGCTGAAGCCGTCAAGGCTGGAGAAGAAGAGCGCGTCGTTGAGGAAGAGGATGACGAGTCTGACTCTCAGGACACCGAAGTTCTTTCCAGTGCCTACGATTACCTCTTAGGCATGGCCATTTGGTCCTTGACCCAGGAGCGTGTCGAAAAGCTCCGCCGCCAGATTGGCGACAAGGAGGTCGAGGTCGACGCGTTGATCAAGATGTCAAAGGAGGATATCTGGAAGCGTGACCTGGAAGAGTTCATCGCTGAATGGAGATTCCAGCTCGAGGATGAACATCGTCGCCAGCGTAAGGTGGCCATGATGGGTCGGCGCGGGTCCTCGAAGCTCATGACGACGGCTGGCCGTGGAGCGGGAGCGAAGAAGCGCAAGGCTGCTCTTGGAGATGACCCGGATGATGAGGACTTTGCCGCCCCTAAGACGAAGAAGTCCGCTGCGGCCAAGAAAGCTGAACCGAAAGGCGGCCTCCTCAACTACCTGAACAAACCAGCCACGAAACCTAAATCTCCTCCCAAGGACGAAGACAACTCCGACGAAGACTCCGATCTGGAAGTAATGCCTAAGAAGAAGCGTGGAGCGTCCAAGCCTCCCAAGGAGGAGGATGAAGATGACGACTTCGGCCTATCAGAAGTAGAAGAGATTGTGCCGAAGAAGAGTCGTGGAGCACCTAAAGCCGCCGCTAAACCCGCTTCCAAAGCGAAAGAAGTGGACGAGGATGTAATGGAAGTCGAGGCACCTCCCAAGAGGGGCCGCCCAGCGGCTAAAGCCAAACCTAAGCCTACGGCTAAGCCTAAGGACGAGGAGGACGAGGACGATCTTGACGATGATGACTTTGCTGAGATCACGAAGGCTGAGGCGGCTAAGTCGTCCGCTCCCCCTAGCCGGTCTCGCAAACCGATCAAGTATGCTATGAGCGACTCTGACAGTGACAACGGAGATGATCTCCTGGGTGATGTCAGCCAAATGGTCAAGGGCATTGGAGCCAAGGATAGCGCTACGTCCGACTCCCGAGAGCTTTTCTCCGAGCATAAGCCCGGCAGCAGCTCCGGATTGCAGACGAGCCCTCCGAAGGCATCGAGGATTTCGTCTGATTTCGACGATGAGACTGATTACGGCAAGCTCTTGCCCTCGAAGTCTCCGCGGCGATCGTTGCAGGTCAAGCCCAAGGAAGTGAAGGTCTCGGATGATAACGTCGTAGAAGAGGACGATGAGGAGGAGCCTGTGAAGCCCGCCGCTTCTAAAGCTAAGCCCGCCGCAAGGGGCAAGGCGGCAGCCACTGCCGCGAAGCCGACCACCGCGAAGGCGCGCGGTCGTCCTAAGAAGGATGCCACCGCTGCTGCTAAGACGGCTGCGGCCGCCAAGCAGACCACCTTGTCACCAGCTGCCAAGGCCTACGCTTCCAAGCAAGCCAAGACCACTACCCGGAAGAAGAAATTGGCCGATGACTTGTCCGATGACGATATTGACGCTATGGCCAATGATATCTTGGACTCCCCCGCTGGGGCCAAGAAGGCTGCCGATTCGGACGAAGAAGAGGAGGTGCGTCCTGCTCGGAAGCCCGCTGGTCGGCCTGCACGGCGGACTGCAGCAGCTAAGAAAACCTACGTGATCGATGATGACAGCGAGGACGGAAGAGATGCTTCGGAAGATGATTTCCAGGAGGACAGCGAGTGAAGCAAGAAGTGATATACCGGGAGACGTTGAGCGTCTAGATTTCATTTCGTGATGGTATCAAACTATTAACGGCCATTCTCTATTGTGTTCCATATCTCTCTTTTCTCTTTATGTTTTTCTTGATGCTGTATCTTGGCGTTGGGTCTCGGGATTGACTCGGCCTTAGGGAGTAGTAGTAATATAAGGCATTTACCACCGAGCAGAAAACCAGTCACTTTATGGCATTTGTAAGCCGGCGTGAAGTCCGAAGCCCCACATCTTGATTGACAAGCTTTTTTCTCCGAGTCGGGAAATCGGGCGTTAGGGTGCGGGCCCGATAACCCTTTCAGGTAATCTTTCAAGGGTTTCTATGCAGCAGCAGTCACCGTCTAGATTCTATCACCATCATCCCTGTCACTGGTCCCAACCCACTAAAGCTCCCGAATTGCTCCACTGTAAATCCGAGATAAGTAAAAAAAAAAAAAAAAAAAAAAAAAAAAAGAAAAAAAAAAAAAAAAAAATAAAAAAAAAAAAAAAAAAAGGGCCCTATTATTCAGCAGCTCAATGACCCTATATTGACTGTGCGATTCCCCTCGTTTTCTTCTTTCCTGGACGGTAGCCAACACTGACTCTTTACCATGCAGTCCTATCTTCAATACCATCGCATCGGCCAGGCCGTGCGCAAACAGCTTGCCGACCATCCAGAATGGGGCCAAAGCGTACAAGGCGAAAGCAGACATACCAGCGGTAACACCAGCGAAAATGACGAGACGGTCTGGGAGAAGAGACCTGAATCGCGACCACTGGCGCTACCGCCAGGCGTACAGCGCAGAGACATCACAGACAGCAGTAGTGGGGTGCCTTCGTCAGTCTTCCTCGTAGGCTGGGAGCAGGACCAGGATCCCATGAATCCGCGCCACTATAGCATGACAACACGAATCACGGCCACCCTGATCGTTTCCGCCCTCGCCTTCGCGGTCGGTGCCGCATCATCCATCGAATCCGCCGTGATACCCCAAAACGCCGCTGCCTTCAACGTCAGTGAGGTCGTCGCCTCCCTCGCAACAGGAATCTACCTCCTGGGCTTTGCCGCCGGCTCTCTCGTCTCAGGACCCTTATCCGAAATCCTCGGCCGCAACGCCGTCTACATCGGCTCCCTCACCCTCTTCATGATCTTCATCATGGCCAGCGGCCTCGCACCCAACATCGGCGCCCAGCTCGCCTTCCGCTTCCTCGCTGGCGTCTTCGGCTGCCCACCTCTCACCTGCGCCGGCGGCACAATCGCCGACCTCTGGAACCCGCTCGAAAAAACACTCACCTTCCCCCTCTACGCGATCACCTCCTTCGGCGGACCCGTCTTCGGCCCCGTCATCTCCTCCTACATGGGCCAGGGCACGCTCTCCTGGCGCTGGACAAACTGGATCATGCTCATAATGTCCGGTCTGATAATGGGCCTAATCCTCCTCTTCCAACCAGAGACCTACGGACCCCTCCTCTTAAAATGGAAAGCCGCCCACCTGCGCCAGGTCACCGGAGACAAACGGTATCGGTCCGAAATGGACGTGCAGAAGATTGCCCTCTTCGAACGGATTCTCGGGGCCTGCAAACGCCAGTTCTCACTCACGGTTCACGAACCAATTATCCTGCTCATTTCATTGTATATGACGGTTATATATATCGTGCTGTTTACGTTCTTTGACGGTTATCCGTTTATCTTTCAGGATGTCCATGGTCTTAGTCAGGGTCTGACCAATATTGTCTGGGTCGCTATGTATGTCGGTATTGCGGCGGCCGGGTTATGGGTTCCTGTTGTTTATGTTTGGACTAAGAGGGAGTTTGAGGCTGCTGCTGCTGCTGCTTCTTCCAATACTTCTAATACTTCAACTTCGGTTTCGCAGTCAGGGACAGATCCAACTTGCAATGTAGAAGGTGAACAAGAACAACAGGGTGAACAACAAAATCCCAAAACCCCCCACCCAACAAGACCCGAAAACAGACTCTGGTTCGCCATGCTCGGCGCCCCATTCATTCCTATCGGATTATTCTGGATGGGCTGGACAGACTACGTAAGTCATAACCTTTCCCTCCCCCTAACCATACCATCCCCAATCCAAATACTAACAAAGAATAAAGGAATGGATCTCAATCTGGTCCCCCATCATCGCCTCTGCAATCTTCGGCTTCGGAACCATAACCGTCTTCATCTCTAGCTACATGTACGTAATCGACAGTTATGACATCTACGCAGCTTCAGCGTTGGGCTTCATGACTGTCTCGCGGTATTGTGCTGCGGGCGGGATGACGGTTGTCGGGATCCCGTTTTATAAGAATTTGGGCGTGCAGTATACACTTACCATCTTGGCGTGTATTAGTGCCCTTATGACACCTGTGCCGTATATTTTTTGGTATTGGGGGGAGAGGATTAGGGGGTGGTCACGGTTTGCGGTTGATTCTTAGGGTTCTTTGGGGGGTTTATTTGGGGCTGGATATAGAGGGTAGAAGGAAGGGAAAGGGGGATTGTAGGTTGCGGTGTAGGGGATGAAGGTATGTTTGGATGGTCTAAAAGATAGATGATTATAGATATAGATATGTTAATCATAATAAAATGTTAATTCAATTAGAATGACTACAGGACATAAAACCAAACTCCGACCTGTCTATGGTATTCATTTCTCGTCTCGGTTTTTCGCTGTTGTAACCCTTCATAGAAAGACCGGCTAAGCAGACGCCCTGCGTCTCTTCCTTCCCCTGTCCACCCAGACATATTCCTCATCGCTGCCGGTGGCATCCTGCATGCACAACCTAAGCAGAGCATGCGCAGCCTTTACTTCCCGGGCGAAGAGCGCCGACCTGTACTGTCGTCGGGCGCGCATCTCAACTTTGTATTCGTCATCATCATTCGCTGGGGTATTCTGCAGCCGGGTGATATTGCCGACGGCAATGCCATCGGCACCGTCGCTAGCATGATACTCATCATCAGAGTCGGAAAGACACTCGGTCGGTGTGTCCATGCTCTCTGAGTACGGTGTAGAAGAATGGGTCACCTCGGAACAACTATCGTCGGTGGTTATGCCGCGCACACTCGAAAGAGAAGCCAGGACCTGCCGTGGGCTCGAAGACGCTGCCCCTGTGCTGCGGGGTGTGTTCACCGGGGTGAATGTGTTGTGGATCGGACTGGTTGGGGTCCCATAGTATATGTCTGGAGTGCTGCGCTCTGGAGATGAGGTAGAGCGATCAGGCTCGCCATTGTGAAGTTTAGGAGGGTGGAAGATAGGTCCGGGGGAGGTGACTACCGGAGAGCGGAGCTCGAGCATGCGGTAGTAGTTTGCGGTTTCGGTGGCTTTTTGCACGGTCTCCCGATCTATGAGCATGTGTCCGTATTGACTGGTGTTGGTGGGGGGCACGCATAAAGATGGGAAGTCGAGGCCGAACAACGGCGTGAGCGCGTAGCGGATATTCCAGCAGAATGTTGCGGCGACGGCCTTTGCGGCTGCAAAGGGCATCCAGTATCCTATCGAAGGTTAGTTGGTTATAAATGATGGGTGATGGAAAATGATCGGTACCTTGTGCTGCGATCGCCCCGCCTGTGATACTGTGACAGATGTCGCGAAGACCGGGGTTCGCATTCAGGACTTTGGCAGGAGTGGTCTAAAATCATCCGGTGAGTTCGAGGCCGCGCCCGGTGTCATGGGCATACACATACCTTGGAGTATTGTTGGCACTTGAAAAAATGTGTTGTGCGGACAAGCCCGATGTTATAGTCCCACGTCACGGTCCATTGCTTCTCCTGTCCCGGGATCTTGAACGTATACTGGAACACTGTGGATATCAGGATCGCTGTCTTTGTCCATAGATAAGCACGACACACCTTCAAAGCTCTCTCGTCCAGTCTTCTCCTGGAACGACTTCTTGTCGCTGTTGTAGGGTATGTGTCTAGGATATTCGACGATATCCCCCATGGGATGGAGTTGAAAATCGCGATGCGCTTTGGTTAGTGCTTCGCTGCGCTCCTCACAGGGTGGATACCGTAGCTCCCCTCTAATCTTTCCCCTGTTGAAGATCGGAGCATCCTTCGCGAGCTTTGGTCTCTTCTGACGTGGTTCACTGCAAGGAACCAGGTCGGAGCTTGTCGGCGCCGGGCTTGGGAGAGAGAACTGACTTGCATCAGGAAGCGGGTTCAGAAGTGATTCTATGGATGCCATGTCTCGATAGAGTTTGTGAGCAGCAAGTGGTTCCAGGTACTAATGAAGCATGAAGAAGTGTCGTCCCGAATAACGCAGTCGGTGAAGGTGGCGAGATGATAAGGGAGGGATTTATCTGACTTCGCAGGACTAGCGATCCTTATTAGACCCTCAGCCACAGATAAACGGTTGTAGAGATTCTAGCCCGCATCAGGGATGTGCGAGACAATGACGGAGGCAAAAGGAAGCAGATGGATATGAGGGTAGATATCCAAGCTTACCGCTACTCTGGGCATTCATCTGAATCTCTGACAACTTGGAAGACAAGAAATGTAAAAATAAACCATAGATTTACAAAAATAACAAATATTAACGTGTGAGGTAACCTACGCCACAACATCTCCTTTGTCAGGTACCTCCAGCGGCGCAACCTAGAACCACGGAGTGGATACTTAACGACATCCGACAAAAAGGATTAGATAACTCCTCTGTTTGCCAGAAGCCGTCCCTGTTCGAGGCAATGGGCCATCTAAGGCAGCGGTGAGCCAGACTTACAGCTACATCTTCCACTGGACAACTAGGTTGGGTTTCATGTCTTAGAGTTGTCGGCATAAGAAAACCTCACCGGTACTTGGCCAACGGGGCATCACGAGGCACCCATCAGATTGGGCAGACAGCATTGGCGAACCCATTCTGCCATACCTCACGCCAAATAGGGTATAGCAAGTACTCTCCAAGCAAAAATAGAACTTGACTCGGCAACGAGCTCTGGATCTGTGCAGTTGCGATCCCAGCAGGCGATTTTGCGAAGGACGATTTCACTTCTCTTCGAGGCTTCACTTGTTCCACCTTCCGACCTGCAGCTACCCCCTTCGAGATGACGCAGAACCAGGAACGAAACAGGGTAGATCAGTTTCAGACACTTTCGTCCCATGTGGCGGTCTTACCTGGTCGAGCAGGACTGAAACCACACTCATTGCTTTTTTGTTGATCCTGATCTCCGCGCCATGCAAACAGACGGATACGGCGGTCTGGTAAGCGTAAACCTAAACGAGAAGAGGAACCATCGAACCTGAAGCTATCCATTTGTATCGCAATCAATTGTGCGCAATCCTCTGCCAGTCCTTTTCCAACCATGCGATATGAGGCGAGCTACCCCGCGACTGGTATAAAGTAACTGTGTATATGAGTTCGTTCTCAGAACGAGCGAGGGATAGGGCCGCTGAGACATTAACTCCTATGAGTGTACGGCCAATAAACGAATGGGTGCCGGGCTTGTGAGGCCGTCATTGGGAGGGTCTCACTTACGGATACCTGCATACTTTCCCAACGAATGAGTTATCTCCGATGGCCAAGCCTCTATCCAGTCAATTTAGTGTCTGCATTTTCTAAAGATAAGAAGAGAAAGCTTAGGATAAGCCATGTGAACCTGCAACTGTTGACCGCTAGCCCATGAGCGAAGCCCAAAAGTAGCCCCGATGCCGCGGACAATAATTATACAGAGCGTTACCGAGAGTACTGGGATCATTTCATTCTCCATCTTTGTAAGCCAATGCTACGTCACGCCATGAGCGATGCCTCTTTAGTAACTTGGTCTAAGTTCAGCTGAAGCCTCACCTCTCATCGAGCGTAACACCACTCCACCCACTAGGCTGGTTGCTCGGTATCCTTGAAACAAAACTTCCACATTGGTCTGAAGGTTTGTTCCCGCGAAGGTATTTGTCATAAATGCATCCAATGTTTAAGACAACTTGGCTATGGGCATCAAAGAACCTTCCACGCAGGCTTCTCTGCAAGTCCCACTCATGGTGGCGTCGTTTCGCAATGTTTGCCTTGCTAATTTCTTGATTCAGGGGTTTACATTGATGGAAATCCTCCTTTTCTTTCTCTATGTCCTTTGTGGTAACAGCCCTAGGCTTTTCGACAAGGATCGCTTACCTCTTGCGGGAAACCAAGTTCGATAGTAGTCTGCAATCCCGGGCTCAGGGTTAACCAGCTATTCTGCAGAGGGTGTTGGCTTCTAGCTCAGGGGTAGGGAAAGCACAGTAGAGAGAAATATTAGAATGCCTTTGGCCAGTCACTTAGCAAATGGCTCGGGATTGAGACAAAACATACGCTGTAACAACAGGAAGGAAGCCCAATATCCGAAACATACGGTTCCTGGTTTGGAGTGACACCAAAAGCACGAGGGGATTCAGGCCGTTCGCTCTGTGTCTTTAACTGGAAAAGACAGCATGTCAAACGATCCCAAAGAGCAATGAGTAGGATTCGAAAAAAGAGGCTTAAACATAAGAAACCACGGCGTGAGTTGTAAGACATTCTTTCGTGTTTAAATTTGACTGCTGCAATCACACGTGGGCCTGGCTTGCTCTGTGGTACAACATTTCAGTTACGAGCAAACGAAGTGCCCAGGTAAAAGGAAGCGATTGGATGGATTGGCACTGTTGTTGAACAGTAGTCAGACTAGTAATGTACTATCCTTGAAGTCTTTTGCTGCAATGGAGGTCCCGTCGGCTTGCCCGATGCGGATAAATGCCGCCACTTTTGTAAGGGCAAAGGGCACCACGTGAGCGCCCCAGATGTAAGCACCAAAGGACAACTCACTGATCGCTCACTGAGCACACACCTGGTACTCCAGAAGCCTCCATCTTTGGGCTATGAAATCAAGTTGGGATAAACTAGTCACAAGGCAAGGGCGTTTCTTCCGATCCAGCTTTTTTTCTACTTATTTCTTCCGGTTACCTCCTTACCTACTAGTATGTACCATGCCGCCTCATGTAGGAGTCATTGTTAATCCGTCTGCGCGCCGCGTTGCCTGCGACCAGTGTCATGCTCAAAAGTTGCGTTGTACAAAACTAGAAAATTGCACTGTGTGTATTCGATGTCAGCGTCTGAACCGCCAGTGTATCTGGAGTCCTCCATCGCGGAGCGGCCGCCCAGCAAAGACTACTGCCGGGGAAACGCTGGTCAGGCGTAGTAATGCGCGGGAGAAGCGTCGCAAACGATCGTTAAGTGCTCTAGAAATGACACCAGAAGAGGATGGTCATCCGGACAGTGCGCGAGAGCATGTTCGTTCCAGCTCTGTCAGTACTCTCGCTCATACCGACCACAACAACCGTCCTCAGCCCACCCTCCTGGCTGTCGGGATATCAGAGGTACCGCCATCAGGGCCTCCATCCATTACAGACTGGAACATGTCCGATATTTTCAGCTTTTCAAGTCCGCGTGATAGCTCGCGGGAGAACCTACTATTCCCCTCTTTGTGGACTCCAGACAGCGTACCTCCGATGCCCAATTTGGCCGACTATTTCCAATTGCCCGCCAATGGATTAGGAGGGCTGGGGACTCAACCCAGAATCCCGGACGATAGAAGCGCACCCTCGGGATTGGACTCTCTGCAGGACATCACCCGAGAGCTCTCCAACGTCAACCTGTCGCTATTCGACCTCGAGCAATCTCTTCACGCCGAGCCATGGGGTCCGATGTTTGCGTCACCAACCGCTGTGATCACTAAACTAAGCACCTGTAGCGGTGACCAGCCGGACGACACGCTCGCCCATGGGTATCCATTGATCGACACATTTAAGAAAACACAGCGCTTTATCGACATGGCAAAGCAAACGCGCGTTTATTTCGCCTCACTGCCCACCCCACCACCTGCGTCAACGTCGACCTCGTCCTCCACCGGTCGTCCCTCTTCCATAGGTCAAGCACCATCATGGCGCCCGTCGCACGTCTTGCACCCCGATAGCGACACCTCCAGCCAGGGATCATCTCCTTTCTCCCCGCCGCGTGACATGCCTCCGCCGTACTCTACGGCTTCTTCTAGCACGACGCGAGGAGACCGTCCGGGCCGCACAGAAGGCTGCGATTTACCTACCGCCCTTCTCTTTACCACTGGCTACGCGCGGATTCTCGAACTTTACATGACCGTCTTGACACAGATGTCGCATTTCGTCCACGCACTCTCCGTGCAATCGATGGCGGGGGGCCCGGACTATCGCCAAAGGATGCACCCCGTTATCCCACCGTTGCAGTGGGGTGGATTCCAGCCCACCAACTACGGTGCCCTGCAGATATTAATGGCCATCCAGGTGATTTCCTACCTGCTCACCGAGGTTGAACGGGCCCTCGGTGTCGACGAATGGGAATACGAGCTGACTCGCGAGCGACCCCGGTCTGAGGAGAGTAGATCCTACTTATTTACTCAGATGCATGGGGAGTCCCGTCGAAGGGATTCGGTAGTCGGCGAAGGGGACCGAGCTGGAGCTAGTAGAGGATTAATCAGCCCTGCCATGATTGAGCTTGTGGTCCAAGGGGAGGGGCCAGGAAACCGCCGGGGAAAGGTTGGGCTGTTGCGGAGAAAACTCCGACAACTGAAGAAGGAGCTAGAGAAGAGCATGCATATTTAGAAAATAGAGTTACTCTTCCACAATCGTTGCCAAGAAGCCAAATATCTGTCCACATGGCAAGTCAGGTTCGATTGAAGCTTATAAGCGTTTCCTAGTAAATGAAGTAAAACTCACCGATGCCGAACCGGGCCTGACGCCGAACAACAGTTGTAAGCCCTAAGCATCATGCTGTAGACCCCAGCCCAAAGGGGAATGAAAGACGGTCTTTTGAATTATACAGGTTTCACAGTACCCGACAGGTCGCAGATCATCCGTTTCACGCCAGGGGCTTTCTCTCTCTCTCTCTCTCTATCTATCTAAGCATAATGGCCTTTTCAGAGTTTCAGAGCGCGCTCACAGCCCTCACGGAAGGGCAATACACCCTCAACACCACCCACCATCTACCGTCACACAACCCTCTCTACCTCTATTTTATGCTCTCATCCGGGTATCCTTCGTTGCTCTGAACCCATGTAACTGGAAGATGATAGATTTCTCTCCGCCAGTCGGCACCGTGGGCGGCAACGACTTCAGCGGTTGGATTGTGGCCATCGGCTCAGCCGTGCGTAAGTGGCGGATTGGAGACTCCGTCTGTGGTTTCCTCTACGGGTTGGATCCACATGTGGGGGAGGGGGAATGGGCCGGGGTGTTCCCCGAGTACGTGAGCGTTCCCGAAGACCTAGTCATGCGGGTCGTCGAGAACCACGTCAGTATGGCCGAAGCGGCATGTCTCGGGGCTGGGGTAGTAACAGCGGGCACTGCGGGATCTGGGCATTTCGTTAGAGACTGCTCTGAGGGAGTTGACTCTACGTGATGATGATGATGATGATGACGATGATGACGATGAGGCTAGCCGGGGTACAGGGAGCAGAAAAGCAAGTACATGTCTTTATATCCTGCTGTATGGAGGCAGTACTGCCACAGGGACTATGGCGATTCAACTGGCCAAACTGTATGAACCCTAGACAGATGCTGAAAGTATTTCCCAGGAAGTGCTAACAATGATAACGAATAGAGCGTGATATAGTCCAATCACGACCTGTTCGCCTGGCCACAGCGCCCTTGTGCAGTCCTATGGGGCTGTCAAAGCCTTCGACTATCGCGCTGCATCGTGTGGGGTGGCTATCCGTGCTTTTACTAAGGGTAGATTATCTCTGATTCTCGACTGCATCACCTCCACGGATAGCATGAAGATCTGATATGCTGCCATGGGCGGTTGTGGGGGGCGGTATGTTGCCCTGAAACCACCGGCAACCCGTGTCCAGACCGCGCGCAAGGACATGCAGACAGACTGGGTCATGACGTTGACCATCTTTGGGAAACTGGTGGATCTGAAAGGGCCATTTCGGCGAGCCGCCGGGGGACTACAAGTGGGCAGCTCAGTGGTATGCACAGGTAGAGCAGCTAGTCGAGAAGGGCCTCCTAAGACCCCACCCTGCATCTCTTCGGCCAGGCGGATAGCGGGGCATTCTGGAGGGAATTGAGGAATTGAGATGTGGACTGGTGAGGGGGAAGAAGGTAGTTTATGCCGTTGGCGAATAATTATCGCCTTGTGTCTTTGAACTTGACATCGGAATCTTAAAGTAATACAGACACTTCTATTATTACTACTATTACTAATGCTGCTGCTGCTCCTGCCCCTGTTCCTCTTTTCCTTTGATTTCAGTCACCTTCCACTGCAATCCTGCCTTTTCCAACCGCTGCACGTATGAGATCCCCAACGATGCCGGGGTGAGAATCCCGCCTCCCAATTTCTTGGCCATCGAGCCCTCTTCGTTTCCTTCCAAGATTTGCAGCAGGGTCAAGGCGGCTTCACTAACTAAAGTCGCGCAGACGCTATACACATCCGTATCCATGCGCATGGCACCCAAGGCGCTGGGTTCACTTACATCAGTCCCATCCGCTGCGACTGTGGCCTTCCATTCCACGAAATGTCTCTCCCCCGGTTTCAACTGCGGCCCTGTTCCCGGTTGCGGGGAGAGCCGTGTAAGCAGCCACCGGAGTGGCGGAAATAGCAGGATATAGAAAACCGCGAGGGATATGGAGAGAAACGAAGACCACGCCTGCAGCCAGCTCTGCGCAGCGGTATAGCCCTGGAAGCTGAATCGGTCCCCATATTGTTCGGCTTGGCCCCCGTATCGCTGTAGGAGTGACCAGGTGCGCATGACGACAGCTCGATCCGCCATCGCGGAGGGGTTGAAGGTGAGGTCGCCGAGAAAGTGATCCCGCCGGACGGGGAGGTTCGGAACGGAATGAGGCCGATGTGGTCCGGTATCTGGGATACAGGACGCGCGTGGCGCACTGGCAGCCATCATCTGCCGGAGCGAGTACGTCTCTAGACCAGCGAGGATGCTTGCAATGGTTCCCCCGCTGTAACCGGTCCAGGAATGCTGAATCGTGAAGAATATGGGCCCAAGCGGACGGCGCAGTTTCCGTGCCAGAAGGAGCGTCATAAGGTCCGGGGGGCTTGACTCCACGGCGCATTGTGGGATAATCTGCTCCGTCAATCATCTGTTTGTACATCGTTCTGCGGGGAGCAATACAATTGCCTTGTGGGCCATCGCCTTTTCGTGCCACTGTGCTGCCAGCTGCTGCGTCCAAATGTGTTCCCCCGTTGAATCCACATAAGCCGTGGAATGCTCTATACAGGCTGCTACAACAAGTGTCCCATATTTGCAAAAGGGCTATACTGTCAGCCGTTTTGGTTACAGCGCGGTAGACAGTAGGAGACATACTCCGACGGTGTTGAGCACAAGGCGTGTTTGGGAGGCCATGCGCCCCAAGTCCTCGCCACTGAGGGCGGCCACCATAATATGAGGCAGCCTGCGGTGGGATTGGGATTGGTCTAATGAGTCCACAAGGGTTGCCAGCTTCTGCTCGCTGCGGCCAGCAACAGCCCATCGGATGGCTGGTGGATCATGAGCCCACAGGTACTGCACCACCAGAGACCCCAGGTAGCCGGTGGCACCATACACAATCAGATCATATGGGCGGTTCATTTCTTCTCGGTCAAAGTTCCATCAAACAAACATGAGTGAGAAATGGGAGTAGCATAGTTGGGACCGAATGGATGAACCCATTTGAATGAATGGACTCGTCCTCCTCTAACCGCTTTTGGTAAAACCCGCCGAATGTGTATTTATGCAGATCAGTCAAAACATGAGTTAGGTATAAGAGAATTCCCGAGGAAATACAGCGGCAACAACACTCAATAGGTTGGAAAAGCATCAGCTTGAGTGAAGATGGCAGCACTAGTCTTCCTTCGCGTTCTTCCTCTCCTCACCACCTCGTCCTATCTTACTTTCACAATCGCCGAGGACCTCTACTTCAAACCCTACCTAGAGCCCTCGGTCGTCGGAGTTGCCGATCACCTTCTCCCATCCTATATCACCGTATGGTACAACCGGGGCATGACTCTCATCTCCATCATATACCCGTTAACCTGGTGCACGGCCATTGTGGATCTCCCGGTGGCCCATCTGTGGCATACTAGTATCGCAGCCTTCGTCTTGTATCTCCTCGGACTCCTCTTCAGCATTGCACACATGCTCTGGGGACCTCAAGCAATGAATCTCCTAAACTCAACTAAGAAGCAAGACAGCTCAGGAATCACGGAGATTCCTCGTCGATGGTGTCGAATGAATCTGATTCGGGGCGCCTTGGTGGATGTGCCGGCCTGGGGCTGTTTTCTGGCTGGATTTCTTGTATGGGAAAGTGCGCGGTGGCCTGAATCTCACCTCGGAACTAGATTAAGGCTCTATCATTTTTCCTGAGTAGCTTGGGCGTCGGGATGTCCAACATCACCCAAATTCAGTAGAGAGCAATCGGCGGGTTCGGCTTTTTTACGACTGTAAGCGCAATGCTCGCCTGTAGAACTATGTACATACATAGGGAGAAAATAGGTATCATTGTGCCCCGAAGCGCATTATACAGGTCTCTGATCCAATCCGGTGAGGATCGAAAGTAATGGTTACCTCCCAGGAGTTCCAATTTTATAATTTCAATGTGCTGGAGTAACCATTCTCCAAGCCCTAATGTACTTCTATACACACATCTAACTTTCCTCCAGTTGCGACAGGAACCTGATCACCAACGGCGAAACCAGAGAATCTGGAGGTGTATTTAGTTGAGTTACTACTAAGCGAGTGATTATCCTCTCCCATTGGTTCCGTTTCTTTTTTCTTTGTTTTTTTTTTTTCTTGTATTCGGTGGGTTTTACCCTAAATGGAAGTCCGCCGAAGATACTATTTTATATTCAAGCCAACTCCTATGAAACCGAGATCAAAGCCTGGCTACTGCTTTTCGTAAGGGCAAATCTATCAATTGACTCGATTCACCGATTTGCCATTTGACTATCATGGCTGCTGTCGAGAACGACACGCCGACAACGAGCAGCACTGATGCCCAACCCATCCCAGACGAGCAGAAACCTGTCAAGAAGGGCTATGGATGGCGGTTCTGGGCTATATTCCCCGGTCTATGCATCGGGGGCTTGCTGAGTGCCCTTGACTCGACCATTCTTTTCACTGTCCTGCCCACCATATCCCACGAACTAGACTCGCAGTTACTATACGTCTGGGCAATCAATGGGTACTTCGTCAGGCAAACCGCGGTTGCAGAGCGTCCCTGTAGGCGGAGGTGCATACCAATCTACTACCAAAGCATTCATGGAATCGTTCGACGACACGCCCGTGGTCAAAGCGCAGGTTGTGAGCGTGTATGTGGACAGCTTGAAGCTTGTGTGGCAGGTCGGGATTGCCTTTGCTGCACTTGGAGTGCCTTTGTCTTTGTTTGCTTCGGAGGTCTTATATTACGCAACGAGTTGAATACGGAGTTTGGGTTTGAGGAGAGAAAGACGGAGGTTGTCGAGGAAGTGAAGGTGTAGGAGCATCTCGACCACGGTGCAAATATCGGGCCTCCTGGGTGAATTTGAGCAATTGTACTGGAATTAGAACGCTTAGGGAATGGCTAGAGTTCGTGATGAATACTTTATATTGTAATAGCAGGAGTATTACTGGCGACACGTGGGTCCTCCCAGACACGGCGGCAAAGGGCCTCAAGATCGCCAAGGACACTGATTTCTTCGAAGCTGGAGGCAACTCCCTTTCCCTAGTGCGGCTACAATCATTCATTAAAGAACGGCTAGGAGTCCAGATTCCCGTGGTGGAGTTGGTTGTGTCCTGCTCACCTGAAGCGATGGCTCGGCGACTCTCATCAAATCATTCGGTTTCTTCAAGTATTTTGCATGGGAGGACGAGGCATGCGTACTGGAATCAGATCAGGATCTGGAATACGCCAATCTCGAAGCTGATCCTTCCAGTATAACTGGCGATGCTGGCAAAATCATGATCATCACCGGTGCTTCCGGATTCCTTGGGAAACAAGTTCTCCAAGGCCTCGTTTTGTCTTCTACGGTATCCGAAGTGCACTGTATTGCCGTTCGCTCTCAAACATCCATGGAGAAGTTAGAAGCGATAGGGTCTCCCAAGATCATCGTTCATACCGGAGACCTGGCTCTTCTCCGTCTAGGGCTAGACATCACAACGGCTCGGTCACTTGCATCAAAAGCCATCATCGTCCACAACGGTGCTGATGTGTCCTTCCTGAAATCGTACAGCTCACTGAAAAAGACCAACGTGGGCTCAACCGTTAGGCTTGTTCACCTCGCAAAACCACGTCGCATCCCCATTCATCTCGTCTCCTCGGCCGGCGTCGCAGGATTCGTTCCGCGCAATGAGCTACTTCTCCGTGAGGTGGGTGTAGCTGCCTATCCACCACCTAGGGGTTCGAGTACACACCGTTACCAGATCGCAAAGTGGGTGAGTGAGTGTCTCCTTGGAAGGGAAAATCAACAATATGGCCTTGATATTGTCCTGCATCGACTAACGAGTATTGTGGGGGAGGGGGCTCCCGACGCCGACATTCTGGACAATCTCCTTCACTATTCGAGGCAGATAGGGCTGGCACCGGACATGGATAGCTGGGATGGTTATCTATATTATACAAGTTTAAACCTACTCTGTACTGTCGGTACTAGTCGGGAGAGTATTTTGAAAGAGGCGGGTGGCTTGCTACACCAGATTAGCACTATCCGGTCCATCACACATATTGTTGTGCCATGGCTTAGGGGAGTATACTCGTGAAACAAGTACGTGAGCTGGAAACAAGAAGACTAAAACTAACAACTTCTATAGACGTTAGATCGCTGAATGGAAACTAGAAGTGCTGAGAACTAAGTCTGCAAGACAGAGACTTGTTTTCTTTGGGACACCTCATCGAATGCCAGGATGACCACCTAATTCTTCCTATAGAGACTTAGACGAGGTGAGTATTGCCTTTCAGCTGAAGTCTTAGAGGTTGCCGGCGGATATGTTTAGGTGGTACGCAGGTTCATCTAAGTTCGAATCACGAAGGTCTATACCGTTTCTATATCGGCTCGGACAATTCAGGTTATAGGAAGGTAGCACAAAACTTGTTGCAGCTTTGCTCACCCAGATGATGAGAGAAACTTGCAGTAAAGTGCTTGAACTGCCCCAAGCTCCTAAAATAATATTCCCATCGTCTTTAGTTATGAACATGATTAGTACATGATGTTAGCTCAGGCAGGCACTTTTGTGCTTACTCCACGCTTCCCGGCTGCTCAGTGACCAAAAAGCGGCGGTGCAAACAGAACAAACTTCTCTTCCTGTCCGGTTGGTCAGCTGACATGGAACACTCAGCCAATGACGTCGATATCATTTTCCATTTCTATAGAATTTACGATGGTCGACTCTTCAGGGCCGGGGAGACCTTCAGAGCTATATAGAATACAATTCCATTGCATCCCAGCCCTGGTGGCCTGACACGAGATGCAGTTGCGTCGTGAAACAGCCTGGCAGCACTTGTGCGACATCTCTCGACCTGGGACAGTGGAAAGGTGTACGGGCGAAGGTACCTGGTCTGCTCTGTTGTCAAACGCGGACAGTCATGGCTCGAATCCCGGGCTAGAGTCTTGCAGGAAGAGAGTCATGTCGCATTGATAAGATTGGGGATATGGTGAGACGACGCCGAGGTCCGCGGCTGCAACGGTAAAAAAATTACATATGTTCGTAGAAAAATCCCCGGAACACCAGTTGCATCTCAGATGAGCACAGCCAGTGCGTCGCACAATATCTGCAATCTCCTGAAAGTACTTTTTTTTGCCTCTGTCCCTGTGTGTTTCTCGTTCTTTCCCACCCTTTTCTTTCCCTTGTTGTGTCTTCTCCTACTTTGTGTTTGTCTTTCCGTATGTCTTCGCCCGCTATAGGACCTTAGTATTATTTTCCCCGATAATGAAAAGCAGAAAAATTAGAAGGCTCAATTGAACGTCAAAGATGTACATACAAAGGCCGAAGGTACGAACGAGAATAAAGATGAAAATGGTGTCGAGCTGAAAAACGAAATGGGGAAAAAGAAAAGACAATATCTTCGGCGCAATAGAGAATTTTAAAAAGTCAAACCTTCAAGCCGCATCATACCATCGTACACGCCTATTTTTCCATCCTTATACCTCAACATTCAGTACAATTTTGGTCGGGCGTGTCCCACAAAACAGTGCCGAATAAGGAAGCCCTTGCGCGATCAGCATCCCCATCGCCCGATTCGATCATTGGTGGGGTGGCCGATCGAGCAAGACATAAAATGGCCGAGGCATCTTAAGCCGCCAGGAGGGGCTCCTTCTCCGCGTTCACGGCAGGATGCTCAATCGACTCCGCCACCGCCACGGGTTCCTCCTTCACAGCCACGGGCTCCTCCTTGGGTGCCTCCGGGAAATCCGTAGTCTTAAATGCGGGCTCGGTGTCGATCTCCTTCTTGATCACGGGCTCCGGGGTGGAAACCTTGGCCATCTGCGGCGATACGGAGCGACGCTGGCCGATATATCCCTGGGCCTTGGCGCTGTAGTCATCCACGTACTGCTTCATCAAGCCCGTCGCATGGGAGGTCCGTTCCTCAGCAAGGTCCTTCAGTTGGTGGGCCTGGGAGTTAACAACTTCTTGGATGTGCTCAATCTGTGCATCGATGACTTCACGGTTGTTCATGTAGACCAGAGGTCCAATGTAAGCGATAATCACGGCGATCAGAGACAGGCCCCAGAATGGAAGCCATTTGATCAACCAATAGGCGCTGAAGGCGGCCGCGAACGCCTGTCCGGGTGAGAAATTTATTAGTGGAGGGCACTTCTACATCGATATGTTCACAACTTACAGCGACCGTGTGGACGATGTTCTCGGCAAACAGGATGCGCTGGAATTCGAGGAGAACGAAGTTCAGGAGCTGCTCGAGGTCCTCATAGACTCCCTCGATGGTCTCCTTCGGGATGGTGTAGTATTTCCGAGGGCGGAACGAGCTTGCGAGGCCCTGCGACAGCACGAGTCGACCACCGAGCTCCGCGGCAGCGGTGACTAGACAGGTCAATTATTGCCCCGTTTCTCTCAAACGGGAGATCGCAACTCACATCCTAAAGCCACGTAGATGAACTTAAAGAACCAGCGGAGCAGAGGCAGGTAACGGGCGGCGAAAATAAAAGTCACGACGGTCGCAAACGAAGCAGCGGTAGCTCGGGGTTGTTCCCACTGGTCACCGGTTAGGTTGAAAGGGTCTATCACGGTGCAATGGCTCACTCACGCTCAGGAGGCTGTACAACAGGGAGTGGTAGTCTGGAACGAATTAGCCGTGGTTTCGTGGCGTTGTGGACTCGCTTCACCACATACAAGTCAGGTGTTGGCCGGTCGCAGTTGTGGTCGAGGGCGTCACACGAGCGTTTTTCAATTCGCGTAGCTCTTGTTCGGTACGGGCTGCTTCCGACTTGATGTGATCAACAACGGGCCCTATTAAGAAATCTGTCAGGTCCATTGTCCCTTGGCCACTGGCTTTTTAGCATCGCGGGTGTTGTCGAATTACCATTAGTTACGGCATTTTTGATACCTAACGATAAGTGGTTAGCATCAGGTTGTGGAACCGTTTCCAATGACCCTTTTCGGGGAGTTTTTGAGAATGGAAAACTAAGATTCCGTCAGCTATTGCTCCTGTGCCAGTCAATCACGATCCAATGGATTTCCCGCCTACCTTACTGCTTCCATTGGTGTCGGGATAGCTCACATCGCCGGGTCTGGTGCTGTCGGCCATGTCGGAAAGATGTTTGTGCAGCCCTGACGCTGGGTAAGATAAGAAATTACAGAAAAGAGAAAGGTGAAAGGGAGGATTAAAATAGGCACCACTTGTATCGTGGAGGGATTGAATGAAGTAATCAAGAAGAGAAAGAGCGAAAGAGAAGAAGAAAAGAGGGGGTGCAGGGTAAGAGTTCTGGGGGGCCTGTGAGGGAGAAGAAGATAGGAGAAGGTGAGGGAGGAGGGTGATGCAATTGACAAGCGAGAGAGAGAGAGAGAGAGCCTAGGGGCCTGAAAGGGTCGTGTGAGGGAAACCTACTACGAACTACAATGGAATTTCTCTTCTGACTGGCGTCTACGCCGCTTTTTTTTTCTTTTCTTTGCTCAAAAAGAAATACTGTTAATTAGTCTGTTGATTGTCTTCACAGATGACACTATGTCGATGGAGTATTTCCAAGCGTTGTTTTTTGTTGTTGACTTTTATTTCGGATCTTCTTTGCTTTCATTTCTTTAAATATTTTTTTAAGAGGTATTTTTGCAATGACTGCCTATCATCGTCATTGTTTGAAACAAACGAACCGCTACGTAAGGATTACGGTACCTTTACCGCGGTTCCTTTTCTTAGTGTGTCTCAAATTCCCTTTTTAGTTCTTCCTTTCCGCCAGTCCAGACCAATAGACATGTGATCTTTTTTTACTTTCCTTATGAACTGAGCTGCCAACTTAACTTTCCGACTTAAATGTTTAGCGTGCCGCAAGTGGTTGATCTAAACACTTGAATAGAAAATAGGAAGACAAGGGAACCCTCCAAGGAAGAAAGAACAGAGGGGGGGGATATTTAAAAACAAAATAAAATAAAATAAAATCTAAACAAAAGAAGCTGAAAAAAAACATCGTGTTGTTCTTGTACGGGCGGTAATGGACAAGTCACAAGTGTGAAATATTAAGCCTCCTGGTTCCTTAGGTGGCAGCTCTGAGCGGCTCTAGACGAGCTACTGACTGACTTTATAGGAACTAGCGGTCCGCACCGTGCTGCATGTAAAGTTGGTCTCGAAGCAATTTGTGCGGGAGGATGATTCCCAATCAACACTCCAGACCGGGTTCAGAATTCAGTCATCCTGGATGTTCCAAATCCAACAGCAAAACGGTAGGTTTGTTGTCTAGGAGCTATACATCGTGTCCAAACAGATGTGGTGCTTCTAGCAAAGAATTCATGACGGGCGATCGTTTCCGAGGTAGATCGAATGCGATGAGCGGTGTCTCCCGTATATTTAGAAACCCATGATGTTGTAGCCAGCGCTGCGATCCTTTTGAGCGTTGCAAACGTGGCTAGTGGAGAGCTGCGTACCCTGCCCAACGAGACGATATCTGATCGATTCCCCGGGTGAGTTGTCAGATGCGCGATACAGCTTGGGCCTCGAACACCGCTTTTGCTCGTTTGGCATGATTTTCTGAATGCAGTCGGACAAAGCATGTCGGTTTCAAGGATCTTCGACCTGCGTTCTTGACTTCATTTGTCGGTCAACGAGTTTGAAACAACGTCTTTGCTTCTCAACGTCCGACGATGCTTGGGCCGCATTCCGATGCCTAAGGCCGGCCGTATTGCCATATCTATTTCATGGAAGAAAGCAAGCTACGAGGTGCAGATGGATGTGAGTCCAACACATTTGACTTCTATTTTGATTGAAATATTCATGCCAGTGCCACGATTCCTAAAGGAATGAACCAAGGTACTCCAGAATCCTTACTTATAGAGCTTTCTCCTCACTCAAACACGTTGCCATAAGCTGTCTCGGTTAATCTGCTCTATCAGTTCAGTCATGAAGGTTTCGCTGTAGTTAGTTCACGGGTAGCTTGAGCCCAGTACGATTAATAGTACCGGACAGAGTCGCAGATTGTCGCTAGAACTTCAGCATCAACCGATTAGCATTATTTTACTAGCCATCAAGCCCTTCAGGTTCTCCTCAGTAGATGGGTATCTATAGATAGCCCTAGCGAGAAACCCATGGCCGTGGATGAAAAACCCTAAGGCACATACAAATGCTAGACGTAAGGGACATTGACTTTACTACCCTACACCGCAAGATACCAGCATGCACTACAAAATCCAAGGGATGAACTGACTACATCTGGTAACACCTAAATTCATTCCCTCGGCTTCTTCAGGTACAGATCTCTTTATCTTGACTCCCAGAACGTGACTCGTTTCGCCATTTCTCAATCCGGACATATATGGATCTAGATTCCGCCGACATGACCATGACATCATAACATCCGGAAAGCTCTTGCGAATCGAATTGCTGAACCCATTAAATAATCTTCAATCGAATTACTTGTTGAAAGAATTAGCTGCAGAGCGCAGGAACTTTCTTTTGACTGGGGTCGAAGCGGGGAAGTGGAAGTGCACTATCCATTCCACGCATATTACAGTCTCAGTAAATATAATGTTGATATAAAAGGAATAGGAAATTCATATATTCGTACTCGGTCTCATATACTAGACCATGACTGTTGACAAGCATGCCGATAAGACCCGGAAAATTCATGCCTGTACAATCAGGCACACATGATGTAAAGTCACGTGTGTAGGTGGGACTCACGCGTTTCCCGATGTTTTGATGCCTCGACTCTTGCCGACGACGGACATCCTCAGCCCACCGACGACAACCAATATCCACCGACTCCACGCCAACTTTCAATGCCGCTGTCGCCCCGGCCGCTATCCTAGTTCGGGCTTTGTTTGCCCCCGTTTCACTCGTTCAATCTGAAGATCGACCTCAACTGACCGCCGGCTGGGAATCGCGTTTGTTTACATCGTCATGGCCGCTAGTGGCGCGAGGGCGCAGAAGCCTGTGGGCTCTGCGGCATGGATTTCCACGGAGAAGGAGAATTTTACGAACCTGCTCAATCAAGAGATGGAAGAAGTGGAATACCCGGTGCGCCATGAGATGGATTGGCTGAATGAGCATATGGCCGAGATCTTCTCCAACAACCAATTGTCCGTTGCGACCGACGTACCCCCCTACATCCGTTCCCGTGCTGACACCTGCATAGTAATTTTACGGAAGCGTTTAAAACTCCCGGGAAGCTGAGAGGCAAGACGCCTCGAACTGCACGCAAAAGGGATCCGGCCGAGAGCCGAGTGGTATGTTTCCCATTATCCCTGGCTCGTCTTCGGCTCTACTGACCTCTTTAGCCCTTGAGTGAGATCTTTTCAACGTCGCATAATAGGTTTGAGGATAAGGTTGCAAGTCCAACACCTCACCGCTCCCCTGCTAAACAAAAGGCCCCGGTTTCCATGCCTACTCCTGCTCCAGCGGCCGCTACACCTACAAAACCCAAGCACGCTACAGAGAATGCCCCGCAACTTCGGTACCCTGATCTCAGCAAGAACATGAACTCTTTCACGACGTACAACACGGACTCGGGCTACCATGGAATGCCGGATGAGGGCGAGGAGGAAGAAGAAGATGACGATGTTGTTCTGACACAGGTGCAGCCTGAATCGCAAACATCCACTCAGCCCTTCGACAGTCAGCCCACCCCTAAAGATGTACAGGAACATCGTTCTTCAATTAGCCGCCGCTCCACGGGCGCTTCCTTCCACTCAGCCCGCGAGGACGTTCAACAGCGCGGAAACACGGTGGAGCCTATGCAAGTTGACTCAACTCCGAAAGAGGCCACAAAGGAACATACTCCCCAGCCGCTGCCGAAGGCGAAAGAACCAGAGCCAAAACCAGAAAACGAGGTGCAGCCTGAGCCTGAACCTGAGCTTGAGTCTGAGCCTGAGATACAACCAGACGCGGAGCCCGATGTCGAAGACGACGCAAAACCTGAATCGAAAGAGCCAACTGCCGCACTGCAGCCAGAACCGGAACAAGCAGAAGAGCCAGAAGAGGTACCAGAAACTCAACTACCAGAAAAGACAATATCGTCACCTGCAAAATCATCTCCTATGAAAACTCCCGCTCCCCAGCCGTCGGAGCCTCATGAAGAAGAGAAGGATGACGCAAAGGATGAGATGGCCCTGGACGATGAAAATTTGGATGATATTGGCTCGCCTTCGGATGGCTCTACTCCCGATCGCCCGCTGATTCGTAAGAGCAGCCTTTCTTTTGCCTCGCTCCCGGCTCGCGAGCCTCTCATGAAGAAGAGTCTGGGTGGTTCCCGTATCTCCCGAACAAGCCATATTGATATTGCCAAGATCAACAGCACCGGGGGCTCTGGCTTCTTCGGTAGGCAGACTGGTGGACACAGATCAACTCAGGCTGCTCTAGATGAGAATGCGGCACATGATGAGAAGATGGACCTCGATGATGATAAGGAGGGCTCCCAGGAAGACACGGACGCAGACACAAAAGCCAGCAAGCTGCACAACAAGTCATCTACCCAACGATTGCATGAGAAGATCAGTATGCTTGGCAAACTTCAGCCATCACGACCTACAAAGTCTATTCCGGCGGTCCAGGGCTTGTCCTCAACACAGGTAACCTATCCAGAGCTTCCGTCATCTAAAGCCGATGCCAAACCGGAGACGAGCTCCCAGAAATCTCGCGAAACGCCAGCTCCAGAGCCCATGGAAATGGAGGATGACGATTGGATCCGGCCCTTGAGCTCCCCCTCGAAGGCAAACTTCCCCAGAGGTCAGACAGCAGATGCTCCAGAGAAACACTCTGGCGTGGATGTAAGCCATAGCATTGACCATGATGATGATGCTTCTGTTGCTCGAAAGGAGCGTGCAGCCCCTGAAGAGCCAGCGAGATCCAGCGCAAAACAAGGCTTGGAAGCGGTCCTTGGCAAATATTCGACCCCAACGTATTCATCCCCTCAGCGCCCTAGTCACCAGGCCAAAGCCTCCACTTCACATATGGATAGCCAAGTGTCGACCACTCCTACAGGCTCTCCTATCGCTCAAGACGGACTGGTGAGTGCGTCGAAGTCCAGATTACAATCCATCGTGAGGTCTGCTAAAGGCCTTTTCACGAATTCTGGTGGTGTTGCTGCGGCTGCAAGAATGGAGGCCTCTTCCCCGGACGAGCACAGAGTACAGCGCAGCGAGCGTGTTGAGCCAGACAGAACCAGTAGGAAAGTGCCACAACCAACGCGGGACCACAGCCCCCCGCGACAAGAAGGCCGCAGAACACGAAGCTCTACTGAGCGGGAAGAGCGTCGAAAGCAGAAGGAACTTGAAGATCGCCAACGTGAGGAGGAAGAAGAGCAGGCA